CCAAAAAGTTTGGTGGTGGATCAGTCATGGTGTGGGGATGTATGATGTGGGATGGGGTTGGGATGGCATGCAAGATTGATGGGAGGATGGATGGGGAGCTTTACTGCCAAATCCTGGATGATGAACTCCAACAAACCCTATCATATTATGGCAAGAACCCTGCCCATGTCCTCTTCCAACAGGACAATGATCCCAAACATACCAGCAAAAGGGCCCATAACTGGTTCAACAATCATGGTATTAGGGTCATGGAGTGGCCCTCCCAGTCCCCAGACCTCAATCCAATCGAACACTTATGGAATCATGTGAAAAGGAAGCTTGGGGAGTATGAAGAACCTCCAAATAGTGTTCATGAGCTGTGGGATCGGTTTCAAGAGGAATGGGACAAGATAGAGCCAAGGATTTGTCAGAATTTGATTGAAAGTATGCCTAGGAGAATTGAGGCAGTGATTAAGGCAAAGGGTGGCTATACCAAATATTAATAAATGCTATTTTCTTCTCCCAAAAATCAACTCCAAAAAACCGTTTCGATGACATGGGCACCTTTTAAATCGAATAACTTTACCAAAAATAAATATATTGCTTAGATAATTTGTATATCTGTAGATGAGATAGCAAGTAATATTCCATGATTTTATGGGAATTTTAGAACATGTTTCCATAATACTATAAGCCCATCAAGTGAAAAGTGCCAAACATCGAAACGGTTTTTTGGAGAACTGTACAAGGTCAGCACCTACACTGACCTTACAGCACTGGTGTTTACATAGTATGAGGTCACCAATGCAATGGACTTAAGCTGAGGTGGAGTCAAAGTCCGAGGTCAGAACTATGACAGGATCTCGGAGCGAAGGTACAAGCGATGTCCAAGTACAGGGTACAGGACAGCGGTGGAAGGTTGTAACTTGCTGGAGGTTTGGCGCAAGAGGGGAGGAGTGGGGAGATGAGTGGAGGAGGAATGGTGTCAGGTCCGAAGGTGAGTATCGGAGTGGATGGAAGTAGGGTAGGAGAGGGACGGAAGGGTGGAGGTGACGTGAGGAGTGAGGAGGAGTAATAGGAGGGGGGTGGCGAGGGGAGTGATGTTTGGTCCAAAGGTGAATATCAGAGTGGACAGAAGTAGGGTAGGACTCTGGAGGTGACGAGGATGAGGGTCCGGGAGTCGGTTCGGGATTGGGTATGTATGGATATGACATCAACATTTACCATGCTGGACTCAAAGCTCAAAGAGCTAAGGCTTGACGGCCTTAATCTTGTGTGGACGAACTGCAAAACAAAATCCACAGGGCACTAAGAGCTTTCAGGAATGCTTGGCCATACACTGCGCAACCTAGGCCTCATGGAAAACATTAAGCATAGTCTTGCTGAGAAACATAAGCCCCCAGACGAGCTATGTGACAACGAGGAAACTGGCATCAAAGGAGTGGAACTCCCTAAGCCCTGGCTCACCCTCAGAATGTGGGCCATCATTCTCCCCAACCAAGTGCTGATACCATTAGGGATAGATGGTCAACATGGGGAAGTACATGTACAATTTATTCTTTGTTGATCATCTTTTTGCTTTTTTTTTCACACATACATATGTCCAAAAAAGAGTCTGGATTCTACAAAGGGCTTAACAGTAACTCTTCTGTTATTCATCATTCCACCACCCAAAGTCAGTCCCACCTGCTAGCTAGTTTTTGAAATAATACATTAATCTGGTGGAACATGCACTAGTGTGATCGAAAGCACCACATTTTATTCCCAAGCAAGGTCATGGTGGTGCAGCAGCCCTTCTAGTGGGGAAATTGAGCCAGAAAGATCTTATCGCAAGAGTTGAGTTGAAGAGGTCAATACATTTGCAGAATTCCCACGTATTGTGGACAAGGTAATTGAGTCATGATAATGGACCCTGGGTTACATTGTGCCACGGAATTCAGGACCCCTTGGCTGGAATTTGTAATCACCCTCAATCTATGGAATGAGCCACCAAAAAATAATATACTTGTCACAGGTTCATGAATTATATGTCTGACTTGTCTGACTTGATTGACATGCTCAGGTCCGGGTTCAAATTTTATATTACAAATGTAGAAGTCACGCTCTGCTTTCAATACAAAAGATCACATGTTACATGGGGATAAACCCAAGTCTGATCATTTACTCCATTCTGGGAGTGGGCTCAGGCATTTGCCGAAGTCTGAGGAAACAAGTCTGGGGCATGCAAGGTTCCCATGCAGAGAGAAGGAAAATCTAGACACATGCCCAGTTACTTTGCTATGAAGTCGGCACCCAAGCCTGTGTTGGGCTGTACTGCTTATATATTACTTTGCACGCTGTAAAAGTGTTGGGTGTTGCAGTCCAGATGGTGGAGTGTTAGCTTGTGGTTTTTATTTTGAAGCCATGGGTTCAATTCCCACTTGGGGTAAATCTTGTTTTTTTTTTTTTGGTTTTTTGTTTTTTGCATTCCCATCTGATTGCAGTGAGAATGTTTTATGCACAATGCCAGTAAATTAGGAACACCGGAAAAAATAGAACCAAATCCATGCCTTCATATAAGTATTCAGGCCAAGCATGGAATACAAAAAAAAAGATATACACAGTGGGAATCGAACCTATGCCTTCAAAATAGAAGCCACAAACTAACACTCTGCCATCTGGGCTGCAACACCCAACACCTCTATTGCATGCGAAGTAATATATAAGCAGTTAAACCCAACACCGGCTTGGGTGTCGACTTCATAGCAAAGTAACTGGGTGGTCTAGATTTTCCCATGGGAACCTCAGACTTCTCAGACTTCGGCAAATGCCTAAGCCTGTTGCCACTCCCAGAATGGACTAAATGATCGGACTTGGGTTTATCCCCATGTAACATGTGATCTTTTGTATTGAAAGCAGAGCGTGACTTCTACATTTGTAATATAAAATTTGAACCCGGACCTGAGCACGTCGATCAAGTCAGACAAGTCAGACAACTACTATATATAAAGAGCGCGGACATGCTCCACGAATCGCGAACGCCGATTGGTTGGAGCGAGGTCTCACACACTCTCATTGGATGAAGGCGCTTACTTCAGCTCCCATTTGGGATGCACTCGCTTAGCTCATCGCCCCTTTAGGGCTCTTCCTCACCCATTTTGGTTCTGCTTGCTTAGATCATCACCGATTTGGGATCCGGTCGCTTAAGTCATCGCCCGTTTGGGGCCAGCCAGCTAGCTTATCTCATCTCCGGTTGTGTTTGAGTTTCCTGACCGGCCCACATGCGTCATCTATCTCATCGATGCAATGATGCGACTATCGATCCTGATTGATGACGACAAGCCCAGCATGGCTAATGTTGTACACTCTGCACTGCTACCTTGAGTCTAACATGGCGAACACACTCCACATCCGTTTGTAAACCGTGCCCATTCTTCCTAACGTTGTACGCTCCCGGAGTACTGCACAATTCAAAGGTTTCACGGAGTGTGAAACATGATGATAAAAGAAACCCCATGTACCCACCTTTTTACGACTGTCTGAGTCGTCGTTGAGGGGCGAGATTTTCATCTGATGTGAGGTCATGTCAAGCCCTGAAAGTGCGCTCTAAAGCCATGGAATGATATAGGTATATACCACAGATGCGAGACAAGTGAACACAACCGGAATGACGCTGGGTGCCCGGCTAGCCAATGAGAGAGCAAGAACGTGTTTCAATGCACTGTTGAGACTCTGTACATTGAACGATTCCAGGGGGTTGTGTCGTCGCAATCATTGGATAAGTGTGTCGACCAAGGTATAACCTGGTCGTTAGGTGACGTGTCAAATGAAAGAAAACAAAGTCAAAGTGTCAATGAGCACGGGTGTCACTAATCCAATAGTAGTTGGATGGAAGGTAAAAAACTTGGCCGCATTCATCGTGAACAAATCGATATCAAAACATACCACTTAGCCGAAAGAAAGCCGATCTGTTCTGAACACGCACAGGAGACTCTCCAACACCGATGAAAGTCAATCGAATTCCATCTCGGATCCGTCACAACTCGAGGTCAAGGCTAAAACCTTAAGGAGCGAGGCTTCAGCCAATCAGAGAGCGAGAAAACGGTGCCTGATCTTGTATAATTCATGAACCCGTGACAAGTATATTATTTTTCGGTGGCTCATTCCATACTAGAGTGCGTGCCTTCGCACGCGCTGACCTGCACTGCTTTTCAACACCCTAGTCAGTTGTACAGAAAAAAGTGAACCATGATTAAATCATTATTCCACACAAAAAGAGTGCATAGATGTTCTATGCTCAGGAGAGATCCCGAATCATGGCATCGGGCTATGTCAAGTGTGTGGAGACAATAGCGGAAGTGTTCCGGATAATAGGAAACAAATAGGAAAATGGGGAGCAGAAAGAGGACATCAGGACTGCAACTTGGGGGGGGGACAAGTGTACAAATGAGGATAAGACAAGCGCACTGAAAATTGGTCAATAGTATCGACTAATAAATCTCCTTCCCTTGCCCAAAGCGCCCATGCGGCAGGGCAAGCGGGGGTGCAGCAGCAGTGGGGGGGTCGGACCAAGAGCTGCGCAGTTGGGCATGTGTCTGCTGCATCCCTTCAAGAATGGGCCGCATCGCAGGCTGACATGCCAATTCATGAGTACGACACAGTATTTTAGCAGATGCAGGCTGTGGCTGTGTCATCGGACGCAGCCCAGCAGGACAAGTAAGGCAGGTAGGGGTGCAGATACAAGGGGAATTTTGGCCAGGTAAGCGCTGGGCGCGCATTCAGGTGTGTTTGGACTAAGCGCTGACATTGCGAAGCGCAGAGTTCTTCATATTAACTCCTGAAGTAGTTGGGCATTCACCCCTAAATTCGGTACGTGGATAGATCTAATTCTCCTCTACCAGAAGAGCCCAAAATCAAGCCTCAGAGATTCGTAGGTGACGCTCACGTTGGGTTTTGCCAATCTCACTGGATTTTCAGCGTGACTCTCTTGATTTGTCTACCAATTGTACGTTATAAATATAAAAGTCACAAGTTCATGAAACCTAAATAGAAAATGAACACGTCAGCACAAGTGGCAGAAATGGCGTAATTTCACCCGGACGGCTGTGCCGGTAATACAATGCGGAATACAACACGTAAGCAAAAGTGGCACGTTTTACATAATTATGGGGGAGGCAGAGTGACCTGCAGTGCAGGTAACTCATTCCATATCGATCGCCCGTCAACTCGTTCGTTCCCCATCTGTAAACACCACTGCTGCATAACACTTCTGTCTGTCAAGTTGAATCTTTCATGTTGTCCCAATCACATCAGCTCTGCGTTGTAGCATGTGTCCATGGGCATTACTGGCGAATTATCCGCTTGCTCTATCATGAGTACTACGGTAATGACTCGAATCCGGATCCCTAAACTTCCTAGTCGGCGTTCATTGGCTTCCTACAGGAAAATTTGCACTCGAAGGTGCTATACGATTCATGAGAGCTTGTCAACATCCCTTCAACGTCCATTCCATACTCTCCGAGTTGCGTCATGTGGGCCCCTACTTAGGTACGAACCCGGTTCAAGTTCACTTCCCCTTTATAGCATCACTGCTATGGGGCTTCACATCGAGTTCCCGTTCGGCGCCTAGTGTTGTTCTTCCAGATTTGGGGCATGTCGAATATATAAGTGGGAGAGCTACGCTACTGTCAAGCTTTCAAGTACTGAATCTGATTCGTCTTCCATACAGGCAACGATTACGGCACAACCGTGTTTGACATCACGGACCCGTCCAATCCACGCTACTGTTTTGTCAGTTTCCATGGCCTTTCAGTGACGAATGATAAATGTGAACGATTTATGCCCCTGACTGGAGAAGTCTACGGAACGAGTTATCATCCGTCTGAGCAAACCGACCATGGTCGGAAAGAAGCGGCTGCTGCTATCGAGTCCATCCAACAATACCAAACTGTTTCGTACGAAACTCTCAAGATTTGCTGGCCGCATGATTTTATGCAGTACATCCCTGCAGGACGTGACGGCGAATCAAATACACACAAAAGAGAGCCAACGGTGCCTCCTCTTTCTCTCTGCGCCCTCATGACACTCCCACACTCGGAATTGGAATCGGTCCCGGAGCATATAATTAAAGATTCTGCCACGGTCGCGGATGTGTGCGACCGGTTTTCCGGGCGACTCACGCGGCGACTGTTGTTAGTGTCCAAAGACGGAGTTCTCGATCTGGGCGGTATCTCGGTGACAATCACGGAACTAACTCAAGTGGTTCATGGTATCCCTATCTTGGCACAGAACACTCTTTATCTCAGCCTTGTGGCCTGGTCAAATCCCGAGGGAGGACTCGTGAAAGTCTCCGATCTTGCCACCCTGCAGCAATGTTTCCCGCAGCTCTCTTGTGTGAATGCCATTGGATGCAAGCACTTCGATGCCTCTCTAATCTCGGAATAGTACGAAAGCACTTGTTCCCCGTTTTCAATAATTTGGTATGAGCCAACTGCCAGATGTAAGTCCACGGCTGCGGATCTTATCTATCATTGAGTTGACATGGAATGAGTATAGCCAATGCTTTCGTGGAAGGAGATCCATTTTTTCTAAATCTCCGAGCATCCCGTACAACTCGTTTCCGAGTCTTTGTTCGATCAAGATCCGAGTCTAATCTGGAAGAGAATGAAATCGCATGTGTGGGACAACCCTGCTTCCCTCCAGGTTCAGCCATACTGCACGCCATTCATCGCCTTGTGAATGCTTTTAAAGACGAAGACTCTTCTGTTCCTACGCTGAAGGAAGGCATCATGGGGTCGATCCTGGCTAGCGTGGATCATTCCGGGATCCCAGTGCTGATGCCTGCTGCCGTTATCGATAAAACGCTTCCACAAACTAGCTGGGCTTTTATGATGGATCTGCTCGATAAAGAACGACAGATGTCTGGTAGCACTTCGTTGAGGTCTCGGTTCATGCGCTATGCTTTCGTGTACTATGATTCGGAAGCGGGAGAACCCGAAGTTATGGGATTTGAAGGCTTTGTTTCTTCTCGAGATATCCATATAACAGATGAGAAGACGGGGGTACTGGTTTCAGATCTTCGGAACATTTTTGAAACCGCAGGTTTGCTCACGGGAAGTGAGGTCAAGGACCTCCTTGCTCTTCCCTATAGTGTACGGCCGTTGCAACATTCAGCCTATGGCCGTCTTCCTCTTCTCATCCCATAGATAGGAAGACGTTCTCCGTACTGCACTATACAACAAATTACATCCCAGAAAAACAGGCCCTGTGCCCCAGCAGCAGTATGACCGTGTGCAGCTGGATCTCTGCGAAAGCGATAACGATCAAGGTGAAGTACTGAGGAGTTGCATGTTCTGCTAGCTGCGGACCAGCTCGCCGCGTGTTTTCGCTACCTGCACCGTGGTGGATTTTCAGCCTCTTCCGCTCGTAACTTTTGCGCTCATTTTCACGCGCCATTCAGTGGTGATATTTAATCTCCTGCGACTTGCCCCTCATTCTGAGCTTTCTACCATCGTTGCTCGTCTCATTGCTCATGCTCAAGCCGAGGACTATTTGGGTTCCATGAATCCCTCCTCTGTGGCTTACATCCTCTACATGATGACCAGAGTACCCGCTCCGGCAAATTCGCCCAGCACGTTGCGATTGCATTGCAAAACCCAAGTCCCTTGAATACTCTGACCATTAGAGGATGCTGCACTTCGGTAAGTCACAGAGGGATTCATGGAATCCAAGCCCCCTTCAACGCGTGGCGTGAGCAGGGGGTGCAATCCGTTTTATACCTGTAAATTCCCGCTACTCTAGGGGGTCTTGTAAAATTTTCAGTCCCGAATTGAATGCAAAGAACGACGGGGTCCTCTATTGCTCGATAACTTAGGGTCCCATCCCTGGCCAGCCAAAAAGACTTCAAATCTGTGGTGGACGTAAGCGCTTATGACTCATGGAGCACCCATAGAACGGGATGGACTCAAAATGGCGTTTGTTGAAGGTGTGGCCATCGTAGGAAGTCATGGTCCCGAGAAAAAGAAACCATGCTCACAAATGTAAGGACGCAGCGCGTTCCTTGACTGCTCCCTTGCTTTTGTACTTAGTTCTCGAGCTCGAAATACTGGACGTGGCGATATTCGTTCTTTCCAGTTGAATTGGAGCGCAATTCAAATTGTGGGCCCTACGCAACCCCTTTGAAGAGTGACTGTCTTTGGCACGGCGAAAGATGTTAATACGGAGTGCTCGCTGCCAAATGAAAATGACAAGGGGAAAGCAAAAGAACACAAGGTGGACTCTGTCCGGTAAGTCTAGCTGCGCGGTCTGTTCTGCTCAATTCTTACTCGTACGCGCTAGTGCTATCCTCAAGGGTTCATCACTTAGCGTGTTCTGCTGATTGAATTACCGTTTGCGTTTGGATTGAACTGGAAAGAACGAATATCGCCACGGCCAGTATTTCGAGCCCGAGAACTAAGTACAGAAGCAAGGGAGCAGTCAAGGATGGCACTCATAGTTTCGAGGAAGCCCACAAATGTAAAGTCGCACTTCCCCACGATGGCCAAACCTTCAACTTCAACAAACGCCATTTTCCAGTCCATCCCGTTCCATGGGCGCTCCGTGAGAGTCATAAGCGCTAACGTCCACCACGCTCTTTCTGGCTGGCCAGGGACGGGATGGCACGACGAAAATGGCTTTCCGGGTTACTAGTGTTTCTTCTCCGCCCACCTTTATCTTTGTGTTTCGCCGTTTGAGTTGCTGTTGCGTTCGAAGTAAGTCTGTTGCCACACTACGTTGCCTGTACTTGTATTCGTGCATCCGCTTGTCTTAGACACATTGCAATCAGTAGAATTCGTGGTCGTGCTTACGTAATCACTCCCATTCCCGCTACTGTTTCTTCATTACCAGCGATCACTATATACTCCTTACTGTACGTTCTTATGTCGCAGCAGCAGCCTCGTGAGTCGGGTGTGGCAACTTCCATGACCTGTTCGGCTCTCGTTGCAGGGCCGCCAGTTGACGGCGATAGCTTTTCTGTGGAATCGAGGAAGATGACATGCATGGCGGTAATGCTCCACCAGTTGAAGAACATGCGGCTCTATAATGTCATCCAGGTATGGAAAGTCGTCCCAAAGGAAGAGAGCAAGGGCCCCGAATTAATGTGATAACTGTTATTCGACTCGATCGAATTGGGTGCGTACAGCAGTACTGTATATTGAGAGTGTCGATTGTTGTCAGCTTCATGATCTGGTAACTTAACTCAACAGTCTGCGGTGATTGTGATTGATAAATGTTTTATATTCGATCTCTCGACGCAATGGGTTGACGATCGGTAAGATATGTATTGAGCTGATAATCCCCGCCCGTTTAGCCACAGGCCCCTCGCGGGCATAACCAAACGCGTCTATTGGAGGGGGATTGACTGTATGTAGCCCACTTGGCGGAAGGGCGTTGACAACAATAGCCTCTTTGGAAAGGAGTACACAAGGGAAAAGAAAGACGAAAAGGGTTCACTAAGGTGATCCCACAGGTCAAAACTCAAACGAGTCCTATCCAGAGAAACGGGGTTATTATGCAGTTCGAGTTTCCATGAACAATTGAAGTGCTGATTGATTGAGATCCGATTCAAACTCACTACGATTGCCCATATTGGAGCTTTCTGGTAGCTCCCGTTAAATACACCATGGGAGTACAATAGCTGGTTGTTAAATTTAAGGTTAGCAGCCGAGTCCGTCTCCACGGTCCTATATTTAAACATCGAGGTAAAATGAGCTATGAAGTTGAAGATGTGTGACCGACATGGTGACTTTATTGGATCGACCAGCCGTTCCGTTGCCTTTCAGTTGCACGTAAGCATATTTTCCATCGCTCACGAACTGTGCGACATATCGAACATCTATGCATTTTTAACACCTGAGTTCATTGATATTGGAAACTCGAAAATTTCGAGCATGACGAACCTACATGAAATACTCCTTTGGTATCAACATACCCCTCTTCTCCTCCGATACCAGGGACGACATTAGCAAGCAGAGATCCATCTGGATTCGTCCAGTTGCTTCTGTTCAGCCAAGACACTCAGTAGCACATATCAGCAAGGATTTCGCCCTCCTAAGTACATACCCAATTAACTTGACATTGACTCTATGCCCCTCGGGAATGGAGATAACATGAGGTTGGGCAACCTCATAGATGAAGTTCGCGTAGCCCCAAAGCTGAAGTTGGGGGGTCCCGGGAGCCGAAGCACCAGCTGGTAAGTTGTTCCCCAAGACAGAAGGTTTCCAGGCTAGAGCTTGTTTGGGCTGCAACGGGGGGTGCAGGAGATACTACCGACGTAGGCAAGAGCTTGCAAAATCCCAGCGAACAACATCCCAAGGCTTAGAGTAGGAAACGAGGCTTATGAGTGTCGCCAGCATCCTAAAACGATGGCTTAAATATGTGCACGAAGGTATCCTTCAAAAGAATCATGAGTTGTACATGACCCTTTCATACATATTTCCTGCCACAAGTCAGGAATGACCACGGAAAAAGGGTGCGTCACGAGTATTGCCATGATGCCACATAAAGGTATGTGGCGACCTTTTAAGGGGATTCAGGAGGATGCTGCAGTTCGGTAAGTTCCCTGTGACGGAATGGACTTGTTGTCCAAGGAAGGGGTGGCGGGGGTCGGTTCTGTGTCCCTTCATTTGTGAGTATCCGATTTCTACTTTCATGCTGTTCCCCGTATTCCCCATCCCACACGCGTAGCACGCGCACTCGTAGTAAGGCGAGAGACATTCATTCGTTTCAACTGCACTGGACCGCACTTCCATCCACGGCAGGGCCACCAACGCCACACCCCTTATCAAGAAACGTATTGCAGAACAAGAGTTACCGGGCCAGTCGAGGTTCGTTCTTCACCCACAGTGAGGACGATGAGTTGGCCAAGAAAGAATGCGTCCAGCGTCCTGTCAACAAAGTTGAGGTCAAAGACGATCCTCCCACCTCTATCTCGGGCCCTCTCTGTAAGGGTAAAGATGTTACGCATGCCGAAGGTAACTTGACAAAGGTTTGTTGACTGTTGGCGATGAACGTGTCTCCGTGGACAGCGACAAAATGTTGACTGATGGCAATGGGATTATGTATGGGTGCGCGCGTCCTGGTTGACAATGCGGACACCCTTCTCATGCAGGCGTTCCATCACACCTGCCGACTCCTCCAACGATGACGATCAGGGTCGAGAGGAGCTGTTAGGCTTGTTGACAATATCCTAATTGTGGAGAATGCTTTTATAATTTCTGAGCGCCATCTCTCGTTGGGAACCACATAGTCTGAGCAGAGGTCTTTCACAAGGTTTCCGATTCAGGTTTGGTTGAATAGTGGGGAGAGAGGGATCGTGAAGATATTTGTTGAACAGCAAAACTTTGTGAACGGCGGAAATGGTAGAGGCGAGAGCGACATGAGATCGAGGAGAGAAGAAGAACGAATGGCGACTGCTATCTCAGCGCATTGAACGCCAGCTCCCAATTTGGAGTGTACGGAGGTCGGACGCGAAAGTGGACGGGTTTTTGTATGGACCATCAAAGATGCCGTTGTTCCCAAGCGATTGCTAAATTCTATGTCGCTTCCTGGTATTCTATGAGGGAAGAACACTCTGTCCAACTGAAAGTATAGAGGTAGCGGGTACTGCCGGCTCAGGGTTCTACCAGTCGTCTACGTGCTGCAACGGTGATTTTGGTGCAAACCGAATGTGGTTCGCTACGTTGCTCAGTGATTCGGAACCGAGACTATACCAAGTCACATTTTCTGGGTTATCTGTTCGACGTCAACGCTTTTTCGAATTGCGTACTTATTGTAGTTGTTTCCTGTAAGTTTGGCCTCCTGTTTGGCCCTCTATTCCAATAGAGGCTGGGGGCCTGCCTAGTTTGGTCCATGGGCCAATGAGCGCTGGTCTATCCGAGGGGCTGAGCTGCGTGGCATTCAGTCCTGTTCTGTCGCTGCTTGGGGCTTGGCATAGCACGTTTCCCCTTTACTACAGGCTGTCTTCTGGCAGTATACTTACTATTAGGGTTGTATTAGCCTCACCGCTATATATAAGCCGAAGGCATTCCTTTCGGGACTTAGATTCCAAGTCACAGATAGTGTCCTCTTTGCTTTCTGCATTCTTCCCTCATATTGGTTTCCCCATACGCCCAAGCTAAATTGGCAGATGGCGTCACCTTCGCTGGAATGGGCATCACAGACATTTTCAAATGCTCAGACAGCACGACAAGATCAAGACGGCGGTGTTAATTTGGCCAACGTTGATATGTAGCCCCTTAAATATCCTGCGTTCGAGCATCAGCTGCGGTTGGTCACCAGCGCTGCAGCGAACTTCGAGTTACTCATCGTCGCGATTCCTCTCGATAATGTGGATTGCTCGTAGTGACTCCCTGTCCCTGGAAGGTGTGCCCTAACCAAACTAGGGGTTATGAGGAGCTTTGGGTCTAAATACCAGTGCGCAGAAATGTGGGGTGTATTCGTACGATAGCTTCCAACAGGTCTCCCAGCTATGAGCTGGCCGGGAGAACAGCTCATGATTCCGTTTATTCCATGGATTATATTTCCCGTGCCTTCATGGATGAGAGGGACTAGGTGCTGTTTAAACCTTTGCGTAAGATGACTCCCAGCATCACTGCCTACTTACCAGGTGCAATTTGGGGGATGTAATCTTCCGCATGAAGACCCTCTGCGCATTCACTGCCCCCCTCGAGTGCAGATTCAACACCAATTTGGGGAATCATCAAACGTGTGAAACTAATTCGTTTCACGATGCAGATTCCCACTGAGAATGATGTGACTGGCCCATCGCACCCATACTTGTCCTTTTCACTCACTCTGAATTTGCTCTGCACATTCAACTGACCTGAATGGGCCAACATCAGTCTCCTCACGGACTTGACCGCTGGGAAAGGCTGGGAAAGGCAAGGCAAGCACTATCCTCTGTTAATCAAAACTACCAGAGGTTGCAAGTACGTTACTAGCTATTCTATTTGTCCGGACGGAGTGATCGGAAGGGCGACCGGTGGTTGCATTAATCCCCACTGTGTGTCGGTTCTGGCATTCGACAGACCACGCTGTATGCGGACGAATCCCAATATAACGATTCTGGCTTGTCTTGGGGTATTTTTGTTCCTTTCGTCCGCAACCAACCCCTTCTGGCAGTTCTTTTGCTACCGAATTCCCTTCTGTTCTTCTTCGGAGCTTCACGAAGATAAGTCGCACCCCCCCCCCCTCCAGCGTTCGGAGAATATTCGGGGACCAGAAGCCTTGCTGGGAAAACCAAACCTTCCCATTTGTCCTGACCTACCAAAAATCTGCATCCTGGCTTTTTGTATATGATGATGTTCCTAGGAACGGATTGATCGTCATACTTCGCGAAGTAGATAATCGGATTGAGTCTGATATTGGTGTCGCCATTTACGATAAGAGGCAATTCGGGAGAAGCTTGTTTCTCACTGTTCTCGTGCTCACGCAACTGCATGCACAACACATGCATTCTCTCGTGCCTTGCTTCTGATGATAATTAGAGGGTCCTCCCACACGAGCCCTGACTCAGAGGGCTCCAACTCATGGCATTCCAGGATATTGTATCGTCAATAACCGCGGAGTTTGTTAAGAAATGTGACCGAGAAAGAGGGAATATTGGCCGCCGTATGAACGAAGTTCCGAACACCAGTGTGTGTGTGAACTGGAACCTCCCTCATGGGGCACGACACCCCAGTTTCTGTTTCCATTTCTTGGTTTTCTTTCATTATATGAAAGCGCTAAATTTGAAATTTCCCTGGAAACTGCGCAAAGAGTGGCATTCCATTCCCATCAACCCCGGGTCAGGTACATGCGTACCTGCAGTGGCTGAGCAAAACCGACTTCTTGGACAGTGTGGCAACTTAAACACGAACCAACGTACTTCGTGAACTCATATGATGGGTCGTTAATTGTGAGGAAACTGCAAAATGCAAAAATGCAGAATTCTCCGGCAGAAGAGCTGTGCTTCCATGTTGTGCTGTAGCTGCTGGAGGTTCGTCAGAGCTTCCGCAGTGCCGCTTCATTGAAGCAGAAGCTTCATGGAACCTCCGAATTTGACCGGATAAACTATCGATTACCCAATTCCTTATCATGGACGCCTCGGGATCGATAACCAGTGAGGGGAGGATGATCCTCCCTGAGACAAGAAGGCTCATTCTGAAAGCGCGCAATACCCAGTAACGAAACCAGTCCATAATAGTGACGCGTTGAAAAGAAGATCAGTCAACTCTCGGCAAGATATTAGATGATCTGTGTGAGATGCCTGCTCGATATATATGATTGCCCATCGGTCTTTGGAAACTGCATCGATGCATCTGCTGATGCCACGCTCTGTTCATAACACCTATTCAGACCACACCCCTCATTTTCCTTGTCTGACGCGTGTACGTGCCCCAATACAGATTTTGGGGTGCTTATGCAAAAGGAAAGGTTTTTTTTTTTTTTACTGTGCTTCAGCAAAGTGCCGCTCGCACGTTTATTATTGGAGGAATATTAGCGCAGTTATTCCCCAAGTCTATTCACGTATATATTCGCAAGACAGTTGTGAGTACTGTCAGCCGCATGCGTGGGTGTGCGAATGGCAGCTCGGCGCGTGATTATTACACTGACACGCGGTGCATGTGCCGCGCAGCTATAAGCCGACTACCTTCGGATCTTTGGTTCGGCGAACCAGAGGCCAGTTATCTACAATACCAAGGGATGACGGCTTAGTACGCCGACGTACCTGATGTCGGTCGTTATCCCCGGCCTTTGCTAGACATGGGAGTGATTTTACATATGTGGCAATTCGGCTCATCCACTTTGAGCCAGGGAAATTACACACACACCTCATACTCATGCAACCCACACATTCTATATGTTACTACATATTTAGATGCGAGCCAACAATGGATGCGAGTATCATGTCTCAGGCTATTGTGTGTATCATTCGGGATCCCTGACCAGTGTTTCACCAAAATGATGTTAATTACTAGCATCCAATCCAGAGTTATTGCAGCTGTGAATGGGTGTGCATGTGGGTGGCGTCATAGAACATCGTTCTCCCACCGCCGCAGTAATGTTCATTCGCCCGTACGAGGCGGTCAAGTATGAACCTGTCATCTATCTGCTTCCCACATGCAGGCCTTTATTCGGCCTGCCACGCGCAATTTCTGCTAGTGAATGCGGCGACGAACTTGTCAGAGAATGCGCTTCGGACCCGGCCAGTGTGAAACATGATGACCGCGCGTCGCTCTCCGTTCCCCCCAAAAGAAAAAAATAGTAGTGGCGTCCAAGAATGGACAATTAAAAACGATCAAGCCTACTCTGGAAACGAACAGCTGTGACATTCTTGCGTACTTATTGGCAGATAACGTACTTTGGACTGGAACACCATCCAGTACTAGATTATCAGCTCGGTGCATGTTCAGAACTATTACACATATCCGGCATCGCGCGGATTTGAGGAATACACGTTGTACGCTGCCGATACAACCACCGGCCAAGCCTGCGATCAAACCCGTCCATAAAAGAAACACCACTAGCTGTCACTCGCCCGTGGCGCCACTGGCAAGCTCGTTTAGCGAAAAGACGTGTACGGCTTTCTCCTTCCCCGCGGGCCAGCTTACTACAATAGCCGAAGGATGTGAAAAGATGCGCATGCATGCATGCATATATCAGAATGCTGGCCTGATATAATCTATAGGTGGTTCTGTTAGATATGATCGCGGCTACTAACGAGTCACTATGCAGCTAGATGTGCGCCCTCGCAACTATATGGTCAATATGTTTTTTTTTTCGGGGAAGCTAGTGGCGCCGGGTCTCATTAATTACCAGTTCTGCCTTCCATACATATACAAGAAGGGGAAGGGGGAGGGGGGGATTCCATCCGCCGCGCGCACCATTCTCTGTTCCCAGTCGAATTCTGGCGCCTTGTGCCACAATGTTCCTTCCTAAGGATATCACCGCACCTAAAGGAGTACTGACTCCGGGAAATAATGGATCTCCTAGTATATGCATTGTCTCTATGCAATTTTTATTGGTGGATCCGTTATATGTACATAGGGAGGGCAGTCGCCGCGCGCACACAGCCGGCGAAACCAGCGCTAAAACTCAACTAATATTGATGAGTTGGGAAAATCCAGCAAATATCAAAAGCCAAGTAACACACTTTGCGCGCGCAGGCGCATAAGCAGATAGAGACAACGGATTAACGATGCATCATACTAGTACGGCAACCCAATGCATTATGGCTACCCTTGAACGTCTTACTAATACTGCTGTACTATAATGTCTCTCGGGGGCGGCAACATACGCAAAAGCCGATCATATCAGAATCACCACTGACTAGAAACCCAATTGACCTACTAGACAACTCGGTATTCTCCTACTACTTAATACGTATATTACCGAACCAAGATCATTGGTAACCCTGATGCGTCGTGAAATACGCATCCCGGTGAGGCTAACTCCGAGGGCGATCAAGAATCACTTGTATATTCAGTCTACGTTAATGCAGGCTGGAGACCCCTCCTCCAGGGATTAATTTTGGCCAGAGGAACCCAAACAAATCACAAAAGGGCCAACAACCAAGTCCAGACGAAGTTTGTCATCCTTATCCCATCGTGCATTTTACTTGATACATCGTACGATTCGAGTATTACTCATGCATAAGTGTAAGGTGGCATTCTATCAAATGCCGTATGATGATCAGTTATGATCATTGACGCGTTATTTCCGCCAATCAGACCTCTCTCTCTAATCATATGAAAATACCGCCAGAATAGCGCGTAGGCACACGCCCGCCGGAGTATATACCAATGGGTGCGCAGCGCGCGACTTTGGCCCCGTAAAAGTAGCCCCCTATTACACCTATACGGATACTATGGCGCTAATCATCGGGCATGCAAGATAACGATAAAGCTGAGACGATTGTTCTTAGCTGCTATCACAGCCAAGTCGCCAATGGGTCGGATCCAAGCGCAGTCATGATATTGACTTGTCATATCAAATGCAACCCCGCCACCTTGAACAATCACGAGCGAGTTCAGACGGACGGCCGACCGTGATAGACGCCAATGATATGAGAAACTAGTAAGTACGAGGGGGACGGCGTTCATCAGGCAAACAAGAGTGCTTAATTAATTAAGCAAGTCGTTCAAATAAATGTGTGTTATGCAATGGACAACATGTTGCTAAGCGGAGCGCAGCAGCGAGCTATTACTGTAAACATTCTAACATTCTAATCGTCTCCAGCCCCCCATTTTTTTTCTTAATTCCATGTCGAACCCGAAGCGGTGGGTACTTATCCCCGTTGATGGCTGGATTGGGGCACGTCCGGGGGGGGGGGGGACGGTTGAGCGGCGGGTGACTCACGTCGGCCCCTGAAGCACAGATACAGATATATATGCCGCCGCCGCCAGACGGCAGTGCTGGACTCGGAATGTCATATCGGCGTGCCGCGGCCAACATGCAAAGTTAATTTCAACTTGTCAGAAGCAGCGATGAAGACGTTGGATGTCAGGGAAAAAAAAACCAGCGAGCGCTCTGAGCGTAAATATACTAGTCGCTAGACATGCAGAACGTTCCAGCATTATATGGCGGTGGAATATCATATTGGCGGCCACGTACTTGGGTACTTAATTGGCGCGTCGCACTGCACTCGCACACACAAAAATTTTCTCATAGCTTCGAAACTTGTCAATTGAAGTGGCCGGCAGCGGCGATGGCTAGTAAACTAGGTATCAATTTATCCACTACACCACGGCTGGCCAAGCTAGCCAAAAATGAATATAAATGAGCCCTCTGAACGTCGCCCGGAATACGTACTGTACATAAAAACATAATTGCTAGGCGGCGAGCACACTATGCTATAGTACTAGCTAGACTCAGCAGGAGCATCGTATTGCCGGGCCACCCACACACTCGAAAGTTATATTAAAGCTTGAGCTTCGAAGTCGATCAGAAGCCAACGATGACTAGCTAGTTAAATGATATGGTCCGCGCACTAGCTCGAGCCGGCCATAATAAAAATCAAATGGTGTAAAGGGCGCCGCACCATGAGCATTTATAAATATAGTTGCTTGCTTGCTAGCTAGGCGAGCGCTCGATCCAGCACTATATAAGGTAGACTTGCATGGAGTATATATCATACAGTCATATCCATATCGCGGTGCGACGACGACTTGGTATGACACGAAATATCCAATTAGCTTCAAAAGCAGCGAGCACTCGTGCATGCATTCGGATAGATGGTGTGTGTGAGTAAGTTAAATAATAATAACCCTAATCCACACGACAACCTCAATGAAAGCACGGGTTACCGGTTATAATATATAATTTGGATGGGATTGCATGGTGGAAAATATAGCTGCTAGCTAGCTAGGCGACCGTCAACGTCTCGAGGGCAGGGCAGGGCAGCTGGGGCGCCAGCACTAGAAGGCTTGGAGTATCGCGCAGCGGCCACACGATGATTTCTTAGCTTCAGGTCCGACAGAAGCAGTGATGGACTTATATGGTGATCAGAATAATTAGCATATCAACACAACTAGCTACTGACTAAAGGGGAGGGGGAGGGGGGGGAATAAATGCTGTTACTACTTACTAATTTACAGGATAAACTAAAAAGATATATAGATATTAGCGCCGAATCTCCCTTAGTAGGGATACTAAGAAGAAAAAAAAAAACACTTTGAAATACCCCAACCCCCCCAACCCAATGTTACCCGTACCAACCCCAGATTCACGCGGGGGAAGGAAAGGGAGGAGGGCCCTCCATGAGCTGCACCGGAACAACCGGCCAGCCCGCCCGCTCGATTGATCAGTGCCCATACTGGAAATGCGGTAAATTACGGTATATAGTAGTAAGTGCATGCAATGGCAGTATAGTAGTGGTGGTAAGTTCGTAGCAGCTTAACATAAAAAGTTGAGAGCATTAGCTGAATAGCGCTGCTAGGACACTGCAGGAGCCTTTGTTTTCCCATCAACAACAACTTTCTTTCAAGTGGATGTTATGCAATTACATGCATGGGGCGGCGTAAGGAAAATAAATATAATATAACCCTGCCCGCATGCCCCCGCATACATACGCAACTACTACGTAAGCCTCCCAGCGAGCATGATGATAGAGCGCTTGCTTAATCACCATGATGATATAGTTATTGATTTCCTAGAATTGTTTCTAATCGTAATTATGGATGGCGTGTGTTGGCCCCTCCCCCCCCCCCCCACCCCCCTTCAAGACCTCGAGGCAAAACGATGACCGCGATATCAGATATCGATATCAGCTGGCCCTGTACTGTTGATCCGCATCTCGCACTTAGAAGCGGAAAAAGGGGAGCGGCTCAAAAAAAAAAAAAAAAAATTGGATAAAACGCGGTTAATTATGGTTATGCCATGGGGAAATTATTGTTTCTATGAGCTACTTACTAGCTAGCTGAGAGCGACAGTGAAATGTGGATGGAACGGAACGGCAACCCCAGCCCAATTATTTAACCAGGGACTGCATGCATGCATGGTCGTGCCCCATGCATGGACGTGATATGATATGAATTTCCCCCATGACAGCTGGTTCTTGTTCTCGCTTTGAAGTAGAGTAGCGGAAGAGGGGATTTGAAGCGGAGGAGGGGGTACGTGCATAGCCGTATACATAACAGAGCCCGCGCCTGAACCGGAGTCGCGCGTACGTGTCGTACACGCGTGTACACAGCCCCGGCAAGGGTCAAGTTCCAACCCTGATCATGGTCGTGCATTCCGGCCAAAAAAAAAAAAAACAACAAAAACAACAACAACAACAATACCCTTACGGGCACGCAATTAAGAACGCGACATAAGAACAGTAAGGACAGGCTCGGAGAGAGAGACGATCGAATGTCGAACTCTTGGTAGTTGTAGTTGAGCCCATGAACCAGGGTCGGTGCGCGACGCTAGCCGGGCCGGTCAACAGCGACCCTGCTTTTGTGCATTAATGTTATGGAGGTGTTAATTTGCGAGTGCGCGTTGCCAGTTCTTTATGTACGTGCATGCATGATGCCCCCCATGTGGCCGATCTCGATCTCAGGATAGTGAGGGATATACGCGCGCGCGAGATCGAGAGTACTTTCCCCCGTCCGACGACCACACAAGCCCTGGCATGCCAACTCGGATAAAAAAAGAAGAAAGTAATGCTCATCATCTGCTAGCTTGAGCTTACGCTCATGCATGGGGTCGTTTTGGAGTAGACATAATATAATATGAAGAAATTCTTTGGGAAAAAAGCGGGAATATTTTTGATATCATTGTGATCATGGACCGATCCCCCCCCCCCCAAACCAAACCAAACCATAACATTGAAGAGAGATAGATGGCCTCTACCACAGCACAGCCTTGTTCATCACACTTATCGTGGACTTCTCATGGCTCTTTTTTGATCTTGTAGGAAAAAGAACACGAGAAGAACCAAGTAAGAGAGAAACGGGTTGTGGTGAGAGGACACATGCATCGCACTCAATCAAAACAATAGACTCATAACCCCCCAACCCCAGACCGAACACGAACGAATGAGCCTTAATTCCGTGTTCTTAACGCCCCCGGGCCCCCAACGATGGGCCTATCGACAGGCGAAGCTAGCAGCGCTGGCAATAAGCGATTCATCACGGTAGACGTCATCGCAACGTTATGTTGAAAGGGAAAACAAACAAACGAACGTAATCAAGCAAGGGGCACGCAACAAGGAAATCGATAAACTAGAAAAAGACCAGAGGAGACAACACAAGATGACCGATGAAGATCCGCTTGAGTAGCCCCAGCGTACGTTAGCGAGCAAGCGAGCAAACTTGTTCCTCTTATAACCCTCACAATTACATAAGGGAAAAGAGGGAGGGGAGAGACCCCAAGGCTAAAGTGGCCCCTGCTTAGAATCATTAGTCTAAATATAACTCGAGGTCGAGGATTCGACCTGAGAAGCCAAGCACACAGTCCAGTCAGCTGCATGCAAACGCATCATCAAGCCGCCAACACACAAACACAATGAAGAAAACAAGACCTATATTTAGCCCACCCCTGCAAAAGCGCGTGCTGCATGCAAGTGGCTTTGACCTTCTCGCTCATCTGACGCTTCGTACCGATGTACCCGGCCCAATGATCACTATACGTTCTCGAACAGGATGACCCTTGATAGACGAGTCGTGATGAACTCAGACGTGAAGAGGGGGGGTGTGTTTTATGACGGGGTGAGATTGGTTGAACCTTTTCTTTCTGGAACAGCCGCCGCAAGTTTCCATTACAAGATCGATAAACTATGAGATCACGAGTTTATGCCGGAAAAAAGTCGGTTTTATCGATAACAAAATATCCGGAACAACCGCATTACAAATGTAAGCATCGATAACTTTTCTTTCTTTCTTTTTGTTCTAGATTGTCCTCGATTCCTCAGGCACTCTTTTTATCCGAATTATGTACAAGTTCCGTAAACCCTGTTAGCGCGGAATTCAAGTGAATGAGCAAGCGTAAGCTGAGAAGTAAACAGGTTAGAAGCTATACGGGTTCCTTATAAGATGAAAACAGCTGTAGCTTAAGGTTATTGTTATTGGCTACAATAATAGATGTCGCGTTCTTCTCAGCGAGATGAGTACTCCCACAGAGTATTTGTTACTCCACACTATGTAGCAACTTCCGTGATCGTTCAGGTGAGTTGGAGCGTTTGGATATTAGCTTTTTTGATCAGAGCAGAAATCCCAAATCCAGCCATCAATTCCCTAACCTAAGTGCATTTTTTAGGAGAGAGTGAATGGTAAATCCTGCCAGAGTTTGCGGGGGCACTTGCCGCGTCCCAACCAAGTTATATGGTGGAATTTACCGGTTGTTCCGTTAACATATGTATGAGTTTTGCAGACATGAATAATCCGAACCGAACCGGGAGAAAGGGCCTAAGAGCAAACTGACGTTATTATAATAATAATCGACGAAAAACGTTTCCGTCGTTCCGTTTGCATGGTCCCGACCGATAGTGTTAGCAACTGGTTTACATAGCTAAGCGGGGAGAAATAGCGGATGACGTAACTTTCTTTACTGGGTCGAAGTGGAGCGATATTCCGGACCCAAAAGCGCGATTGTGGCGGTCAAAAAAAAAAAGCATGGGCCAGCCGTGAGGGTTTCCAGAATGGACCTGTGTGAAAATGGAAAGCAGACCAGCCCCCCCAACATGGAACGGTGCAGTCCAGAACCTACTACTTGCTTAACCCAGCTTTTTAAATGAGGTTGTGTGTTCGAGTTCTTCGTTCATTACGGACGAACCAGTACTTGCGAACTTGTGGCTGCATGAACCGTGTGGTCGTGTGACAACACAGCTGTTCGTCAATCAGGTAAACGTGTTAGCAGAAAGAAAAAGAAAATTTCCAAGGTACGAAGAACGAAAAGATCTACTTTGAGCAAAGGATCAGGAGGACAACAACGGAAAGAAGTACTAATGGATGTATCGGATCCGGAAGGGGCACTCAGTTGAGGTAGTTCTGCCGTTACTTTTTGGCACAAGCGATAAAATGTTGGCCATATATCGCAATTTCAGCTTGCGCAGTTGCGCAGGTTATGCCACGGTTATCCCCGAATGAACGGAAGAGCCGCAAGAACAAGAACTGCTGGCGCAGCTTAGTTCTCGTACAGGATACCAATCAGTATCTTCTCCGAGGTCTCATTGCCACCCCTGTGGTCTCGGTGAGGTCCAATATTCAGCATACGTGGGACTCGACAAGAGAACAGGATGACCAATAAAGTATATGCAAGTTACCAAAACAAAGCGCAACAAAGTTTCTCCCCCAACCCCCCCCCAAACTCGGGAGGTGCCGTCATTTGGCGAAATGAGCGATGTGGAACGTGTTCGAGAGGTTCTTAGGTAAATGAAGTCTAGTTCCAAACTTGCAGACTAATTTAACTCAAGCGCGGGATGACGACGATGTGCCAGTGGAGTGTTAATCATATCGTGCTGCTGCGTGCCTGCTCTATTCAGTAGTAACAGATCCCATCGGTCTGGCCGATATCTCCATAAGAACGCCCCAGTCCATACCCGAAGTCGGGGGCTTTGTGAGCTGGGCGTCCTAGTGGTTGCATAGCAGCGAAGAGAGTAAGAGCTTGAAGAGGACCCAACAAAATGCCCTTGGGGCCGGGACCCGAATACATATGCATTTCGAAATTGCCTTTGTTGGATTATCAACTACGTCAGGATCTGCCCTCGTTGGCGAATCGTTTGACATCAAACGCACAGACCGAATGGGATGGGGGGGGGACTGGTGTCATGGGGTCACAATGATTGCTGCGATTTATGCAACATTGTCGATCAGGGTATGCACGGACGATCATGGATTTTCGTTGGGCAAAGGGTCCAGAATATAGATAACAGTGGCGTGGTTGATACGTCTAGACTTGGGATTCGAACCTGTAGTACTCCAAGTTGGTGTACATATGGGGTTGACGTTTGATTCATTCTGGTGGTTCAAATGGTCAAGCTAGCTATACAGATGATGAACCATTATCATCATCATCATCGGCTCCAACCCTCAAATCGGTACTCTCTCCGCAAAAAACTTGTACGAACGACGTGACTCATCGTCATAATAGAATGGCCGCATCGGTCATTAAGATAACGTCCGAGTTCGTCCCTCGCTGGAAAGCCGAGGGTTTGTACAATAGATAGCACTTTTTTGAGACGTCCCCTTTACGTTTCTAATAGTAAACGTGAGAAGGATGAGAACCCATTATCAAAAAAAAAATAGTTTGTCACATTGGGTTACATAGACAAGAGAGTTCGATCTGGAGCCGGGAATCGATGAGAGATGATAGGTCAGTATTATAAAGTAATCAGTTGACATAGGTCCAGTGTGTGTGTGTGGTTCGCTAAAAGCTTTACATAGTTGAGTCCGTGAGCGAACGCATGTGGGTCCGCGCGTGCATGTCCATGCATGTGCATGGAGAAACAGTGCGCAGAAAGCCTGGAGAATTTCGGGGCGAATATGCCCCCCTTGTGATAGGATCATCCGGGTACCTGGCCATGGCCCACATCTTTAGTATGGAATGCATATTCCAGATGTGTGTGGTCATGAGTACCACTATGCATGCATGCATGCATACATGCGCGTATGCGGCGTAGTAATTCCTCATCTTGTCAGATGGCAAGTCTGCGAGGCCGTGTAAAATACCGCGGCCATCGCACGTCGATGGCCATTCAAGAAAAACAGGTTCTTTTTTTTTTTGTGGCTTAGTAGGACCAGAAGGATCGGAGAGTCCGAGTTATGTATAGATGTATCTGTGCGCTAGGCCACGGGTGGCTGTAGGGGAGCGCTCATCGGATATAGGGGCTGGAATGTATATATATATATGTATGTATGCATGGCGAGGGGATTTTAGGGGCTCAATTGTAACAGCCCCCCAGCGCCTTACGACGTCAAGTTAACTACGGTGGCAATATGCACGCAGCTGGTCTAGATAGGGTGAGTTGATAATTGAAGAACCCACTCTAGATGAGAACGCATTTGCATGCAAGATGGAAGTAAGGCCCGGAGTGATATTGTTGTTTCTCTTATGACGTGTGTGTGTGTGTGTGTGTGTACTGTGTTGAAGTTGAATTTCTGGATTGAGTGAAGAACCCATCCCCCCCCCCCCCGAAGAAGCACCAAGTCTGGCAGTAGCTCTAGCTCTTAAAGCTAGACCTCACTTTGGAAAGTCTTAATGAAAGAGAGAAGAAAGACCGCGGGCATGGATTAGAAAAAAAAAAAAATCCATGCCGACCACTCCCTTGGGAGCCGAGAATATCGTTATATAGCACGAATCGGAATCGGGTGAGAGATATCGAGTTGCGAGAGCGCATGATCAGTACAGTGTATATCCGCGGGTATCGTTTGCAGGGTAACTGTCCCATCCCGTCCGTCCGTCCGTTCATCGCGAGCGCTTTTTTTCCTTCCTTCCTTCCCGAGTCCGACGGCAGGAAAAAAAAAGCCACAAAAAATATTGCGAATGAACCGGTGGCTTGCGCTGAAAGTATGTATGTAAACCTGAGATGAGAGGGGTTTGGGTTTGATCAGCTCTTTTTTTTTTGTGTGTGTGTGTGTGGCCGAGAGATTCGGTAACCGAAAAAAAAGCAGCACGTGCATATAAACGTTATTGTATGTATAGATTCGGATATTACCGCGAAGATTCACACCCCCAACCCACGCTTGTTCAAATGGAACATACGCGATTCTGCCTTTTGGTGTGTGATGTTGTGTGATGAGGTAACACCGCCCCACCAGTATTTTATAGCGTTGGACATATATGTATGTATAGGTTGGTTTCGCCCAACTTCCCGTTGCGAAGTCGAGGCAAATTATATACAAATTGTTAATGAAACCGCCGTCTCGTCGACGATCGATACATATATAATCTATGTATATATATGCATCGCGACGACAACCAATATGCATACATAATAATCGACAACGGCGTGTATGTGTGTGTGTGTTGTGTGTTGTGTTGTGTGTTGTTGTGAAATTGTCTGTTGTGACAACCACCGTGCCACTCCGGAACCGAGATTACATAAATGACTCCGAGCTTCTGCCTTACTTAACACCATGAACAATCTTTTTCCCCTTGCCAAAAAAAAAAAACAAACAAACAAACAATCATAATTCGGGAGTGCGAATTCGGTTTGTTTGTCAGAAAAAAAAAGTTCAATCTCTCTGTCTCTCGTTGTCGGATGGCTGGACTGGAAATGAGGGCCATCCCCGGGGATCAATTTGCAAAAAAAAAAAGGAGCATGCAAGACAACGAATCAAAACAACACACACATCAAAGTCGGAGAGACCCACACGTTGTCCCCAACCCAACCCCACTCCCCACCCCCCAAAGAGTCATTATCCTCATGAGATTCGGTAGGTGAATCGTTTGCGCAATCATGAATCCCCCGTTAAAAATCGTTATAATATACAGCGGAGTTTGTTGTTTGTAAGTTGTTGCGTCACGTTGCCACAGAAATATGTTACAGGACAATTGAATGGAAGGGGTGGGGCGATCACCTGACTTAATTGGGAAGGAATTTGAGGGGGATCAATTCTTTTTTTGGGGCCACCCTGGTAATATACATGTACGGACCCACCCCTGGTGATCGGTCTGGACCCTTAAATTTTTGGGGGGATTTACTGAGTGGGTCTTACACATCAATTAGGAAAGTCAATGATATTAGTCATGGAAATGGGTTGGCGCACGATCATGATGGAATGGTTTCTAACCCAATGTGAATCCGGAATTGGGCGAAGAGGGGATGCGAGGGAGGGGGGAAAAAGGAAAAGGGGGTGGAATCATCTCGCTCATGTAAGCAAAACAAATTCTCCACGTGCATAGAGCGCTTGTAGGGGGGCCGCTGTCGAGTTTTTGAGTTACAATGGCTCCCGGGATCTTCCCCCCTGGCGATTTTGAATTACGATTTGAGGGTTGGAGGTTCGAGGGGGGCGTCACATTTATGTAGGTCCCAAGCGCGTGCGTAATTCCATGTTTGGGGGGAAAAGGGGCGGCATGCGGTCGGAGGTATTTTTTCAGTAAGGTACCCGGTGGGATCGGGTAAACGGGGGAGGGAGAAGGGACATAGTTCCATTCCAGACATGAAGGCTAGCCTTCCTTCCCCCCCTCCTTCCTCTTCTTCTTGTTGCAGTGAAGGTGATAGAGGCCGTTTATCAGGATTTAGGTCAACAAGTTAGTGGAAGGGAAGAGATGATTTTGCGACATCATGTGTGTGTGTTCAGAAAGGACCAATTCTATTACTTATATGGCGCGAAAAGTTTTCGGGGTTACTTTTGGGGGTAAAATTGCTGAGACTCGTTCCTCGTCGCCACGTATTTCAAATCGATATTTATGGTGTCAGTGCTCTCAAGTTTTGCAATTGAGTTTTATGTGCAGAGGTCCATTTCAAATTTACTAACCGCCTCTCAATAATATTGATTTTGATTTGGAATTGAATTTCTTCCGTTGTATACGTGTGTTTTGGTTTTTCCCCTTTTCCGTGCTGTGGGAGGTAACGTGTTCTGGGCTGTGTTTTTTTGTGTGTTGAAACCTATGTAAGTCATGGGAGGGCGGTTGTGAGGTTGGAAGAGTTCGCACAGCCCACAAAGACTTCGTGATCACGTTGTGCAACGTTTCTCGTTTGTGACCTCGCTCAACACACTGCGAGAAATAAATAGATAAAATTAGGAAAAAAGAAAATCTGGTGAAAGCTCAAGTTCTCCCCATTCATACATCGGCTTGATTTTCCTATTCAATTGTGTGGCCCCCCTCCCTTCTTCTCTCGTGATTTCCCATTTGTATCTTCGGGGTGGAGCCGGAGCCATTTGTTGGTTCTGGGCCTAGTTTCCCATTTATGTTCATTTTGTTTACATACTTTTTTTTTGTGAAGAAAGGAAAAAGAAAAAGGATTTCGCGAGTCACACCTCCCTCTCCTCAATAAGCTGCCTTTCATGGGAGAAGTAGAACAACAGCTGCTACTGCAGGAGCAGTGTCGGAAGCGGGACGACGAATACCACTATCTCCATCTTCCTACGCCTGATTACAACGAGGCTACCAGTACTTCTTCTACTTCTATCTCAATATCCTTCTCAAATCCTCCTTCCTCCTCTTCCTCCACTCCAACCAAGAACGACACCAACTCAACTGCTACGACTGCTACCAATACTCTCGCACTTGATTTGAGCAGGTCTCCACCTCGCCTTCTACATCATCCTTCATCTCGTTCCTCCATCTTAAAGCAGCGCCTCCCTCTCTCGCCTTCTCATCAATCGTTATATTCTCATCATCGTACTCCCTCTGCTCCTTCTACCATTGCGCACTACAACAGTAACATCATCATCTCGTCCTCTCTGTCTACCTCTTCCACTGCTGGTATAACAAGAACACCCACTCGCACTAGAAACATGGCTACTGCATCCACCTACCTCTCACTGCACGCTCCCACTCATCCTCACGCCTTTCAAACCGTGTCCGCTCCTGGTACGCCTGAGAGGCAAAGTGGTCTTAGGCGATCTGGTGCTTCCTCAACCAATGTCCCTCGAATGGCTTCGACAAGTACGACAAGTAGTAATGCGACTGTCAGAGCTGGTGCAGAGAGTCGTGGGCCCGAGGAAGGCGGTAGTATGAACGTTGGAGGCGGTTTTAATAGTTTGCCAAATTCACCTAGTCGTCCGCCCACGGTGAGACATGCAAGTCGGTCTGAGAAGATATTACGAGCGACGTTGGGTGAGTTTTCGTCTCTTGTTTCTGTTTTTCTGTGCTTTGTTGTTGTTGTTGTGTTTGGTTTGGAGCATTCCGGCGTTCACGCCTTTCACAGTTCATGCATTGAACGATAACCTCCGTTTCGACCCGTTCGTTCTCGTTCGTCGTTTCACCCATCCTTTTCAACCTATTTCAAACCTGTATACCCCCTCCCAACCATCCCCATCCCCTCCCCCCTTTTCCCATACTCACTGATTTCACTCCCTCCCCATCGATCCCACATGCCTGACACGAACGAACGGACGAACGGAGAACACTGCCCCCTCATACGCACTTCCTCGTTTGCCCTTTTCTCACTTCTCTTCTCTTCTCTTCTGCGCCTCTCTTGCCTATTGAACGGTCACTAACATATATCTCTCTTCTTTTCACCTCCTCCCCCTATCACCTCAATCATAAATCAAAAATCAAACTTCTCTTTTCTCAATTCCGCAACTCAAATCTTCGTTTACCGGTCCCCCTCCCCCTCCAATCTACGTGTGAAACTTGGGCTCCATCCGAAACAATCATGTTTATTCCGTTATGGATCATGTTCTACCCGGTCTTCAAATCATTATCTGCGATCAACTTGATGTGGCCCCCTCCCCCCTCTTGTCACTCAACAACCGTTGTTGCGCATCGGCACACACGCTGTGACGAAATATTTGCCTCGCACTCGGGGGGTTGTGAATTCTAGATCGCGATCGCTCCGCTTCATGTTCATACGGTCCTTCCTCAACAACAACAACAACGTCATCACATACGCAAACTCAAACACGACCCACTTCTCCAACTCCAGCAGCTCCATCCTCACAACACCCTTACTCATCATCATCAAACGTCGATCCGAGATTGCAGAGGACGGTCTCGGGTGGAATCATGCCGCTACGTAATCATCATCATCATCAAACTCAAAACGGCCCCTCTTCACAACAGTCAACGTACTATGCCTCACCTGTCGATGTGAACGATCCGTTTGTGGGTGGTGGTCACAGACGACGACAGAGTTATGGTGCTCCTGCTACCACTCCACAGTCGCATTCCTCCAAACGGCAGTTCCAGGAATATGGGCCAACCACCACTACGCGCCCGATCGATATGGGATCTAACCCTAATTTGTTCACGAGCATTGCGTACAGTGGGACTGAAGGAAACTCTCGTGCGGCGGCGGGTTTGTCGGTTTCCGTTTCGCCAAGCAAGAGTATTTTGAATGGAGATGGCGGTTTGGGAGGGTTACTGCAGCAGACGTACACAGCTCCAAGTGGTATCCCTCAGCTGCCGGCTGGCGGCTCCGCCAACTCGACGTCGGTGTCAACACCCAAGGCGCGCCATTCGTACACATACTCGCAGCCGACGACACAACCCCACTTGAATTCCCCCTTCAATGGCGTCACGATGAGTGGAATGAGGTCACCTTGTTCGAGACCCAGTTCTCCCAGTCCGTTGGGGTTGAGAAGTAGGAACGCTAGTCCTAGTCCTGTTCGAAGCCGTGCGGGTATGACGAATGCGAATTTGAAGGTCCTCGTTCCTAATGGGAACGCTCCAAGCAATACGTCGGACCGTTCGAGATCCCGTTCACATTCGTACTCTCGTTCGAGTAGTCGACGTTCCTCGAGTTCTCATGCCCAATGGGATAACGACATGTGCCGTCGTGGCGTTGATGAGGAGAGCGATAGCGAGGGTGAGGAGGGACGAGAGATTGTACCACCTCCTCATTTCAACTTTGCGGCGGGGAGTAAATTTTGCCTTGGGGGCGGGAAGAGTCCTATTTCGCCCTTGTCGAGGAGAACGAGTTTACACAGTCAGGGTCAGGTGTTGACGATGGGTACGAACGCGGTGGTGAATGGCAAGTTGCTGACTCCGCCGCCTTCTCCACCTTCTTCGTCACCCGCGTCTTCGTCGATCCCTAATTATCTATCCCAACCGCAAGCACAATCACAGGCGACGACATTGTCGAGTTCTGGCTCCAACTCTGCTTCTTCTTCACGATCACACTCTCACAATCACTCCCCACATTCCACGTCTTCCCCTTCAAGTCCATCACCCACGTCGGCAGCATTGTTCGACCCAAAGATTGCGTCGGACGTGTTAAGGTCCAAGGAAGGCTACGTCAGTTTTGCGGAGGTGATGGGGTTGAGATTGGACGTCGATGGGGTCGAGGGTGGATGTGATTGTTGCAGCGGTGGGGATGGAAAGTGTAGGAGGGAAGGGGGAGAGGAGAGGAAGAGATGGTGGAGTGGTGTTGGGGGATTGATTTGGAAGTCGAGTTGATATTAAAAAAAAAAAGCGCGTGGGGGTCGTTCGTTAGCGGGGGGATTCGTTTGAGTTCGAGTTAGATGGTGGTGGTGGTGGGAAGAAGGGGACTAATTGGCTCTCTCTCACCTCGCCCCTCCCATCGTTAGGAATTGGTTCTCTTTTTTCTTTTTTTCTTTTTTTAGAAACTGAGATGCGGGGTTGGATTTTTTTTCCTTCCCTTCTAATGACGAGTGTTGGCTGAATCGCTTCCCCCACCCATACACGCGAACCGTTCTCCGTCCCCTGGCCCTTTCCTATACTTATTCTATTCGTCGTCCTGGCCCTTCCTGCACCCCCCTCCCCCTCCCCCTCTGCTTATGTACCCCCTTCCGACTCAGCCTCGTCTCCGCTCCTCCCATCGAGCTCTCATCGCCGCCAAGCCTTGACCCTCGACCCATTGTTATCATTCCAAATTACCAACCTTGAGAAGAAAGAACGCCGGCGGATAACTGAAATGACAACCTCTTATCATATAGTATTCCTTAATTTCCTGCCCTTTCTTCTTTTTTTTTTTTTTTGTGCACCTTCTTCACTTCCCCGCATCTTTTTCCGTTCGTTTTTTTTGTGTGCATTTATTAATTTTTCTTTTCTTTTCTTGTTTGGTTTTTTTTTCCCGATCTTGTTTGAAAAGAAGTAATTACTCTTTCCTCCCCTTTGCTGCCCTTCAATTATGGTGATACATACACGTCGACGTACATCTGCTACCTGCCTCTTCACACGTACGGTTTACATAGGGTGTGTGTACAAAGAAAGAAATCAGAAATCGAAGAAGAGAATAGTCTCTGAAAAGTTACTTTGGGATGTCTGGGATCGAGCTGTTGGATCGAACGTCAACTCGAATTTATATTTAGATGGCCCTTGTGCTTGCATGTACATGTACTTCTGCAATATGGGCACACGTCATATGTTGATGGGGCCGGGGTACATGCATGCATACGTATGTACCATGCCATCGATAAGATCTCCTTGCTTGAAATCCTTCCCCTCGAGTTTTCATTATCAACCGCCGTACGTTTCGGCGGGCCCCGACAGTGTGTAATGTGAAAAAAATAAAAAAAAAACAAAAACAAAAAAACACACGCTCCAATTGCCGGTCGTACGCGCGAAAGTTACATGTTAGCATGTGCGTTTTCTTGTTGCGCAGAGTTTCCTTGTCGCGCGCAGATAATGTGCGACCGCACGATTAATTATTGAAAACAAAAAAAGAGTACAAGTTCATGAATTAATTGGCGTTACGTCGGGTCGTGGTCCGGGCCCGTCCGTGCAGAAAGAAAACTGGCATGGTTGATTGGAGCCGAGATGCGTGTTAGTGGAAGGAAGGAGGAAGGGGGGGGCCGGGGAAGAAAAGAAGAAAGGAAATGCTGAACTTTTGCACGATAATTAAAAAAACAAACAAACAAACAAACAAGTGGTGAATCCGACCCAGGTTAGGCACATTATCAACTGATTCCCCTCTGGCCAAATAATAATGATGTCCAGGATCAAACTTTTGAAAAAGGTAAGGGTAACGCTTTTCGCTCTTCCCGTGAGTGCGTGTGCGTGGTGAGTAAAGGTCCGTACGTACAAAAGTTGAAAGAAAGAAAGAAAGAAATCATCGCATACTTTAGTAGCGGTTTCAAGCATGATGTGCCACTTTCCTCTTCGATTTTCAATAGAATATGTATCTACCGGTATATATACTCGAATTGCATTGAGGAGAAGTTTGGTAGAAGGTCCTGAGCTTGAGAGGCCGACCTAGGGAGCAAAAAAAAAAAAGGATCGATAATCGATTTAATCTGTGATCAAGAGAATGAGGGACTAATGCTTGTATACTAGCGTAGCTGATTGGCATAAGGTCGTTCGTTTGTTGCTGCGCGCTTAATTGTGCATACTTCGGGGATTACCAGGGTTGAGACAAAAAGTGAGTTATCGATCCGAATAAAATGGGACTACTATTGCAGATCAGATTGGAGAGTGTTCTTCGTAGGAAGGAAGTCTCCTTCGTAATGGTACGTGTACGTGTGCATGTGCGAAGGAAGCACTCCTGGATGGAGCCAAACCATGAACTAGCACTTATGTAGACACGTAGCGGAAACCCCGCAGCCTTTGGGTGAAGGGACCTCATGCACAATTTGACTATACGGAGACACGACTCCCTTTGTCACTTATCGTGAGGGTTTATTCATTGAACTTTTTTCTTCTTCTTTTCATGAGTGAAATTAATGGGAGATAAAAGTATCGATTAATACGAGAGGGTATACGTTCCCTGTACCGTCCTTGTATGAGAAACCCTGGAGGGGCATGCCGCAAGAAAAGCTGATATGTGATGGTTGCCTCTGAAGTTCCTTAGGGGTCGTTGCCGTTATCAGTTGAGGGAGTAGGAAGGCGAGAGATTTTTTGGCAAGTTGGTTGGCCCCTTGTATCCATTTAATGATGCACTAGATAAATTCATCCGCCATGCGTTAGATTTGCTCTTCCGCAGATGGGGATGTGTGCAGTGGGTGGGGAGGATCAAGAGCAACTTTCCGCTCGCCTAATGGCCGAATAGCTTACTTGAGATAAAAAGCTTTTTGAGCTAACTGCGCCGCACTTCAGTGCGCGGTTTATCCACCAGAAAAATCCCTCAACTGAGTGTAAGAAGAAGAATGTGAAAATTGGCAGTTCATTAGAGTACTGCGTCCGGAAGCAAGATGAGGGGGTCTCTGTTTGTGGATGTGTGCCTGCGGAGAACGAAGGGGATGAGCATATGGGTGCGCTTACGCGTTCGCGTGCGTAAGCATTACTGGGGTGGTATAGAAGGAAACACTGCCGAATTGAGGTGTACGGGTATGGCCGGGGTAACATTAGGTAAGCATGTCGCAGCTTTCTTCAATCCTTGATTCGCGCAAGGCATGTAGCTGTGCATGGAGACGAGGGCAACGAATCATCCGGGCTTGTTCCGGGTTGCCATGTCTACGCACGAGCTTATCAAACGTGGGATGCCACAGAGTGGGCGCAAGTTAATGTCGTTGACGCGTGTGTTGTAAAACAAAGCCACGCGTTGATCCATGGAGCGTCAAGTGTGGAGTTGCAAAAGTGCGCATAACCACGATGACACGATAGTTTCGTATATTAGACCTGGTCCGATCCGAAAGCAGTTACCAGCCTCTATTTAGCGGGAATAGCTTCAGCTTCAGCCTGGGGGTATGTATAGCGAGAAGTGAAGAGAACGCAGAACTTGGCAAGCTCTGAAGCGGGTGTGTGCAGGCCCGATAATACTTGAGCCTGAGCAAGTTGAAGACTGACACAGAATCCCTGATCTGACGTTCAAATGAGATCAGGGCAGGACTAACCGCCAAAGGAGGGAAGAAAAGCCTGATGCCCAGCCTATAGAAGACTGGTCATGCGTGTAAATTACCCTGAGCCTCGCGCACCTGGGGCCCCTACGTGGGATCCACGTTATGTTGACGAATGAATGATGCACGGAGTCATGCTATGTAAACCGTGATTGCAAATCCACGCAGCCAACAAAGCAGAAGTTCCAAAGGTGTGAGTGGTCCCTTCCATTTTGTAGAGTCTAACACGGGCACAGTCGAATTGGAGCAGAAACTGGGGTCCAATGTGAAGGCAGGTATTGCCGTACTGGGAGTATTCTGTAGAGGAACGATAGGTGTCCTAGGGCTGACTCCTTCTCAGGGATCTAGGCGGATCTGACTCGAGCGCAACGGCTTCCAAGACAAGGGACCATATCAGATATAGACGATATGTGAAGAGGTGCTTCTATGAGGGTCATCAAGTTCTCCTATTCCACAACATGTTGAATCGCTAAGTGTGACAGTGAATGTGATAAGACTGTAGACCTCGATCCCCAGCTCCCGATCGAGGGCGATTTCTCTCATCGGGGGTGCCGCGTCCGTGCGAGGGTCGGACGAGCCTAAGGAAAAGGACTGAACTGGTCATAAGGTCAATGCATAATGTCCAACTCAGGAAGTTTCGCACGCTAAGCTTTTCGGTATGATGCTCGATAATAGATAGATCAGCGTGATTATCCATGCGCAAGGATCGATTGTGCCTGATTGGTTGAGAGCGCGAGGTCTCGCTGCTGTGATTCCGCAGTCCAATAAATGATGTGCAAGTGTACCAAGGTGCCGAGGCATAGGACTTCCAAGTACTCCATAAATGGGCTAGTTCAGCCAAAATTTGAACGACGAGCAGGAAGATGTACCGACGATAGATGAGGTCCCGTAGACATTTGCGCAAAGTGCTTAAAAAGGCGAACATCATATGTACTATGTAAAGCATCCCAAGCATAGTTACACCGTTTATTTCCTAGGTGGCAATATTGCAGAGCACATGAAGCCAGACCTGGTTATGTTGGCTGACGGAGGCACAACCGGACCACACCAGAGCAGGCAATATGAAATTCATGGTCGGCAAAAGCCGCTCAAATACGAAATTATATGACAGGTGACTTACTCTCATAGTGTGGCGACCTTGAACTCACCTGCTTGTGCCCCTGTCTATAGTGCTGCGATGCACAACGTTTCGGCTGTTGGATTTCTGGATTGACTTGGCGACGTCACCGTCGAGATTGTTTTCTTGTTGATAGACGAAGACCCCTCAATGCACTCTACTTTAGTAGAGGCTGGGATTCTGCCTATCAATGCACGTACATATTTACATTTAATTGTGTCGATGCCTTTCAACAGCAACTTTTTGCCCCATTTTTTCTCTTTCTCCCTCAGTTTGCGCACTCTGTATTAGGATGTTAGGGATTTACGCTAGCGTTTTACGCTCAGTCAATCGTTGTTGAACTAATAGATTAGAACTAATTACCTAGCGTTTTACGCTAGGGCATATGAAGATACATGAGTGACAACACAACATGTGGTAAAAGCGTAGTCTCACCTCAGTCAATCGTTGTTGAACTGAGGGAGACGAAAGTGAAAAATTCTTCACTGCTTTTATAAGCAGTCGCCTCAATGGCGCACTGACTTTGGTAGCAGGAATACCAAGAAAGGAAATATAGCGCCGCTAGCTCAACATCACATTGTGAGTTGGCCACAGCGCACTATAACTCCCAAGAAAACCAAGATTTCAACACTCTGAACTGAGGTGAGATATCCTGTCAACATTGTTTAAATCGTTTACTAATCACTTCTGGATGCTTGTCTGGTTTCTACCATTGGTGGCATACCCCCAAGTCCAATCTTTGAGGCGCTCATGGGCCAATGGCATCAGTGCTACGTCCTAGCCCGTGTCAATCGGCATTATCAGTGCATTGTCGGCCTGGATCATCAATGGCTCTACGGTAATGATTCAAACTCCCTACACTTTCCGCCGGTCCTTACTGGTCTCCCGTAGGGAAATATGCGCTTGAAGCTGTCGTGCGATTTATGAGAGCATGTCAACATCCCTTCAATGTTCATTCCATACTTTCCGAGTTGAACCATATGGACTTCCACTCAGATGCGGACCCTTATGCAGACACTAGAACATTATAGTATCACTGCTATGGGGCTGCATCTCAACTGCCGAATCGACACTTCGTTTCATCTTTACGGACATGCCGAGGGTTTCGCGCATAGGTGAGGCACTGGCTGCTGCTAGGCTCCAATGTACGAATTTTAATAATTATGGCATAACTGTATTTGACATCACAGACCCTGCCAACCCTCGCTACTGCTTTGTCAGTATTAATGGCCCTATGGACGCCGTGACTGATGAATATGACGATTTTATGCCCCTGACTGGAGAGATTTATATAAGGGCCTATCATCCGCCTCCCCAAGGCGATTATGAGTGGGGAACAGAGAGAGAAGTGGCTACTGCTATCGCCTCGATCAAGAAATACGGAATTGTTCCATACGAAACTCTCAAGATTTGCTGGCCACACGAGTTTACGGGGAACATCCCTCTGGGATGCGATGATGAATTAGACGCACAGAAGCAATTACCAGGAGTGCCTCCTCTCTCGTTTGGCTCTCATGAAAGTCCCACACTCAGAATGGGCGTGGGTTCCAGAGCATATCATTAGAGCTCGTGCTAAAACTGCGGACGTGTATGACCACTTTCCCGAGGCACTGATACAACAACTGTTCTTGGTGTCCAAGGATGGAATTCTCAATCTGGACGACATCTCGATTACGATCATGGAACTCACGCGAGTGGTTCATATTATCCCTGACTTGGGACAGAGCGCTCTTTATCTCAGCCTTCCAGCCTGGTCGAATCCCGAAGGAGGACTAATGAAAGTGTCTGACCTTGCGACCCTACAGGAGTGTTTCCCGCAGCTCCTCTGTGTGAATGCGATTGGAAACAAACATTTCAATGCCTCCCTCATTTCGGAATGGTATCAAAACGCTTGTTAGTAATTTGGTATGAAACAACTGCCAAGTGTAGTAAGTCCAAGGTTGCAGATCTCGCCTGTGATTGAATTGACAAGGCAGACAACAATTTCTCAGGAGACAAACTATTTCATCCTCGAGCATTCCATGCACCTCTGTTTAGAGTCTTTGCTCGGTCGAGGCCCGATTATCTGAGACAGAGCGAAATTGCGTGTATGGGACAACCTTGCTTTCCTCCAGGCCCTGCCGTCCTACATGCTATTCGTGGCTTGGTGAAGGCATTTGAAAATTGCCGCGTTAGTGTTGCAAGGGCTGGCATCATGGGGTCGATTCTAGCCAGCGTGGACTATTCTGGGGTTCCAGTGCTAATGCCTGCTGCGATCGTTGGTCAAACGCCTCCACCAACTGGCTGGACCCTTATGATGGATCTACCACCTGTACAACTATCGATGACTACTGAGCCGCGGCCTCCATCACACGATATGCTTTTGTCTATTGTGCGTCCGATGCAGGGGAACTCAATGTTATGGGATTCGAAGGTTTTGTTTCATCCCGAGGTATCAGCATGACTGACGAGCATTGGTATCAGACCTTCGGAACATTTTTGAATCAATTATTTGACTTACGGAAAGCGAAGCCAAGAGTCTTTAATTCCGTCTCCTGCACAGGTGTGGCAACCTGATTAGATGGGACTTGGACATTCTATCCTAAATATATCGGCAGTACGCGTCGCGAGCGCCATTCATAGGAGACAAGTTAGATCGTAACTTGTGGACAGGCGAATGGGGACGGAGGGTAACGCTGAAGAAGACAATCGCACAGACAAAGAAATAGGATATAAAGCTACTGGTTGGTGGTCAAATTGGCCGCGACGATAATCACCGCAGGGACTGGACACCCGGACGGAAAGATGAAGCCATTTGTCGAGATGGACGAAAGCGAGACGGATCAATGATCAATGGAGAGGGGTGGACACGTCAGTGTGGAGTGTGCAGCTGAATTTCCTGATGCTTTGCTTCGCGGTGTCTCCTGAGCTGTGAATGCGTTGATCGATCTCATTGACAATACTGCCAATCTATTGTCCGTTCGCGCTGACGGCCCGCAAGACCCCACCGAGGTGCGAATAACGTCCGGCATTGACTCGACTGCTCCATATACACAACACCTGCAATATTGCGTAACCCCATCTATAAGATCCATTGACATGTGCTACGACGTGAAGATATTGGTGATATGAACATTTAGTGAACGACCTGGACAACATTCACAAGATATTTCACCTCAGTTCTAACGAAGTGAACTAAAGGGGAGAGAAAGAAGAATGTAACCTACACAAACCAAGACTTCGTCACTAATACACCTCTGCGACAGTTGCACAGATACTCACTCTGCTTATTCCGATTGGCTATTTATGCCATTCCGCCAAATGCTATTTTCTCGCCCAGACACTTAGTGACAGATACCGTCTCTGGAATGACCACCATACAAGGCCTCGCAACGAAGATAGACTCATCGTTGCATTCACAGCCAACCTACTCGAGTACATTAGTTATATCTCGACTCAACCGTTCAATGCTGCGGTGGCAGCAATGACCATCACTCCCCGTCAACGAGTAAATTGACACTCTGAGTTTGACGAACATTGAGCCTTCGGCAGTCGATTCCTATATAATATTACGAAGTCATAGAGGCTGGGGTCCGGCCTGAACTCGATTCGATCTCAGCATGCTTCAATAGAAATTGAAGTGCGTAGGACATCACTCCAGATGTATCATACTTCACAATGGTCGTCTTTGATAGACCTTAGAACACCTGTAGGCAGGATACCAGCCTCTATAGATAGAGAACACCTGTCTATCACAGTGCGACCTCCACTTTTCTTTGTGGCATTTCTGTCGGAAAATCGCGAGATCGATCAAAAGCACGAGACTTGACATTTAAAACGCCAAAATTTGACGTTTAAACGTGAATTTTGGCATCTAAACGTTGTGATAAATTGTTTATGGCGTTTTTTGATATTATTGAATGCGTTTTTATACCCCTCAAACGCTCTGAATATGTTTTTAATAACTTAATAAATGTGTCATAAATGCTTCCTACAGCATCAAAATCGTCAAAAACCCGTCTCATATAACACATAAAGTACCACCACATCTGACCAATGTATTCTCATCGGCTGTTGGGTAGTTGTTGTAAAAAAACGCCATGAAACGTTTCCCGGGCGTTTAAACGATATACGGGATTTTCCGACATCAGTCAAGTGAAAACACGTGACCGAGTTTCCCACTGTACTTCAAATCCGTGGTTATCACAACGCGATGGCTGGCGCAGGTCCAATCTAATATTCTTAAATATATCTTCCAGTCGTAGTTTGACCCGTTGCACCACTGTTTAGGCTTCCATCCCCATCTGCCAGGCAGAGGCTACCAGTTTCTCGCAAAAGGTCTCGGGGCAGCAATGTGGTTTTTCATCTTCTATCGTGCCAAGTGGGTGTCATGGCAGTGTATTCGCAGCTGCACGTTACTTACGAGGAACTCCCTCCTGCATCTTACAGGCAAGATGGGCTGAAGTTACTGGTGAGTCCATTCTATGCTGTTCTGGACTTCTGCCAGGAATAAAGTTGACATTTCGTCCAGGGTGCGCATCCGTGGGGCCATGGAGAGCACGGACACGATTCACAACATTGAGAGATGTAGAACCATTTACTTGCACGAGGAATATACTGCTCGCCGTTAGACTCAACATCTCAAAGTATCGTATGTCGAATTCACCGGATTGAAATATACTTGGCAAAGGACTCCGTGAATATAAATTTTGGGAGATAAATATTCCAACTCGTGATTAGATTTTGGAAGTGGGCGAGAAATTACCGCTCTTAAGCTACGCGCCAGCTGGCGCTTCGCGTCGAAGGCCGAATAATTCTATCAAATCTTGATAGGAGCCTGAGTCTTTGCTTGGACACTACTCTATAGATAACTCACCTTGTAAGCGAGCCTCTTTCTTAGTCGAACGAGTCTTCTCTGTGCTTTTCGTAGCTGAAAATGCCTATTTTGGCATCATGTCAGTAGTGTGCTGAACTTTCACACCTGCGATCCACTTGCGTGTTTGATTAGCATCCTTTTCCGCTCCTGGATTTCCAGAACTTTGCTCTCCACCGTGTCCTCAGCGATCACTGTCCTCCGATGAGCTTTTTCGAAATGATGAATGACAAGAATGACTTACTTTGATACACCTTGACATTTCTCTTTTGTCCAATCCGGTTGCAACTGTTGATGACACGATGTTAATAATGTGGGAGATTCCCTGAGCCCACGTACCGATCAATGGCTTGGCTTTCGATGCCTTCTTGCCACCAACTGTTGAAGTAAGGATGATTCATGGACAGCGATTCATAAGACCAAGCTACATACGGATCCATCTAAGACGTTAAGTTTAGCAGCAATCCTTCGTTTGTGGGGGCCGATACCTACCAAGAATACATTATTTGCGACGGTCAGCTGTAATCCAAGTGCTCCAGCCTTCAAGGAGATCAGCATCACAACTGGGATTTTATCTCTGCTGATGTTGTAAGATTGAAGGATTGCCTCCCGTTCCTTCTTTTTTCCCTGCGGAGCGGGGACCGCGACCGCTTTGCCTTTACCCTTGGTACGCCTTCTTGCTCCTGCAACATTGACCCCACCATCACCCCCCGAGAGTCCACCGTTTTCTCGATATTCATCATTATCGCTTGGTCCGGCAGATTCAGCCTCGGGTTTGTAGTCATCCGATAAGGTCCGAGTTTTGGCTTTAGTTTTCAAAGAACTAGACCCCTCAACTTTCCGGAGGAAGTCATCCGATTCTGATTCGCTGCTGAGAGGGCTGCCCAGAAAGTTAGGTCTGAGTCTCTTGCGAGTAGACTCCCGCGCATTGGCTGTATTCATAGCCGGTGCCTGAGAAGTGTTTTGCAGAGCCGAACCTGCGTCCATTTCGTCCAGTTCGACATTGACTTCTTCCAGATCATACAGTTTGTGCGGGTCCTTACGCCTTGCAAGGTTCGGGGAACCAGCAGATGCACAGGAGTCTCCCTTCAGAGGTATGTTGAAATACTCCAAAGCCTCTGTGCGACGAGCTGCCGACATGCTGCCGTCGAACCTGACGAAGGGAATACCATGCTCACTCAGTTGCTCTGCAATCTATATCGATCGTTAGTCTGTGTCTCGGGATGAGGCTGCAACATCCCACTTTGTCAAGGAATGAGGTAAACTGAGAAAACACCACCGACTTCTCGTCACTGGGAGTGAGTTGCAAAAGGTGGATAAGCTCGTTGATCTTGGCGGAAGAGCTTCGAGCATCATCTTCCCTATCGTCGTCCAAGTCGAGCCGCACTTGGGGCTGCGTTGTGTCTATCGAGGGCGGAGGCTCAATGAGGTCGCCCGTGAAGAGCCGCCGCCGGTCCTGTGAAGAGGAAGATCGGCACACACCGCGTACATTACTGGGAGGCAATGTACGCACCATTGGACATTTCGGGTCCCTGGACAATGCATTCGTGATGCACTCTAAGCAAAAGGCATGTGCACAGGGAGTAATGCGAGGATCGCGGAGTACATCGAAACATATGGCACATTCCTCGTTGTCTTCAGCAAACTGAAACAATAAATTCTGCAGACGACGACGGTCTTCATGGCTTAACGAGACGCTACTGTGACCATTAGTGTTCTCGTCCTCCATATTCTGGAGTGTAAGCTCTTCCAGGTAGGATCGAGGCACCAGTGCGGGGTGCAGGGCTAGTTGCCGCAGCCTCGTGAGCATTGCGAGGGCGTTGAATGGTACCTAAAGGGCACGAGATAGTCATTGATGACAATGTCAATTTGTGAGGACTTTTGCATTAGGATTTACCTGAATGCGATTGGGATCATGTTGCCCTCTCATGTGACGCGAGAAACGATCCCGAGACGTACTTTCTAATTCATCATACAACTTGCGGGTTTCGGGGTCGAGGGTAACTTTGACCGTAGTCATCTCAACCTGACATAATTCATCAATAAAGAAACAAGCAGCACTGAGTAATCACGGACTGGGGGCAGCTCGATCAGGTACTCTCCCTTCGAATTTTGCATCTCTTTTGTCCTTCGGAGACAAACGTGCGACATTATGGTCTGAATCAGTCGATTAGAATGGCTCTACACCAGAACCACAATAGCGACCGACCTTCAGGAGATTAGCAGCTCTGCCGTCACCTTGGTTGAGAGGTCGAATGAGACGCCTATTGAAGTAATCTAGTTCACTCAATGGGCGACAAATCTGCAGGAAATGAAGTAGTGCTCCAAGATCCTTCGGTGAATTAATCTGAGCCAGAAGGGAGGACGTTATACATAAATACGCAAAAGACACTTATGACTTACGATGGGTGTTCCTGTCACCACCTGCGGCGCCTATGGTCAAAAACTTGGAGACGATCATTGTATCCACAAGCTTACCCAACGGCGTTGTGCATCAAGCCTCTTCAAAGCCTTGTGTTGTTTTGTCTGGAATGAACGTTAATCCATGACTTCCACATCAAGTGTATTCACTCACATTCGGATTACGGATGTTATGGCCTTGACAAGAATCAGAAATTCAATTCTGAAGATGCGGGCGAAAACGGACTCCACCTTCATCTAAAATAATGCGCTAGGTTGATATGTATCAGTTTCGCGAGGCGACTCAAAGAACGGAGGGCCACCTTCCACTTCACGTCATATAGTGCGCTAGATCCTCTCGATTTCTTTTTAGCATGGGCGTCTTGTGCGTCAGGCAATCTGGACCAGTCCCCGGTACAGGTATGATAGCTTGTTATCACGACGTCATATTTCTGTAGTTCAGAGGCTGCAATGTCGCGATTCTTTTCGTAATAGGTATAAACCGAGAGGTTGTCAGCGCAATGATCTGCGATTTCAACTTCCCATGTGCGGAGAATAGAAACCGGAGCAACTGAAGAATGAAGAGGCATTGCAGATTAGCATCTGATGGGAATATTCGGAGAAGACTCTCAACAGACCAACCAACGTTGCATTGCAGTAATCCTTTGGCACGTCCTCTTTAGTGGCAACAATGAGAGAGATCATCGATAGCGTCTTCCCTACAGAAGATGCATTAGCCATTGTTGTCCAGTAACCAACTCTACCCACCTAAACCCATGGCATCGGCGAGGATTGCACCGCGGCCAAGTACTGGAGGTCGGCTGACTGGTACGGGCTGATTGCTTTCCACATTGAGGTATAATGGCTATGGGAATCCTAAGCCTGTGTGCTCGATGACACGATTTGGAGCATTCTGACCTTTCCAGTAGACTCATCGTAGCGCCAAAACTAGACCGTGGGTCAAGTCATCAGCCGCAGAGCTGGGTGCTCGTACCAGAACTCATACCTGTTCTGATGGTTGAGAGGCACTCGTGGGCAATACAGGGTTTTCGCGATCAATGCACCATTTGAGCGCTTGTAGCTAGGGCGAGATCAGTGGTTAAGATTCGAAAAAATGACAAATCCGAGATCACGTACCTGGTGCTTCATGAGATCCGACTTGAGCAGGCCGTTGGCCTTCCCTGGCGGGTTTTCATATACAGGAAGGTTCATAATATCTTCCTTGGAGCACAACGAATCAAGCAGCGAAGCTCGTCTGCTCTCATCGTCTACCTTCTCAAATCCTTTTATGATAGTCTTCAGCTCTTCCCCCTTCTGAGCAGCAATACGTTCGACCTCTAGTTTAGCTCGGCGTTCCATCTCCAGTTTAACTCGGCGTTCCGCCTCCAGCTTCGCCGATTGTGACTGTGTCTTCTGAGAGCCGGATATTCGAGAGCTTATTGAGGAATAGCCTCCCAAAGAACTGGAGGCTAGATACGCGGCGAGTAGCCACTAGGGACCCCGTTGGCAGCCGTTTGAGTGCTGCTGGTTGAAGTTACGTCGAAGTTATGTTTGTACTTGGCACGGAGAGCGTCAGTGAACCCCCTCTGCCCAGGGGTAGCCCATTTTAACATAGGCTCCAAGGCCGATCGGGTGTCTGATGCTCCATATATGTGAAGGGTTCTGAATGGGAGATAAAGAGTAAGTCAACTTAACACATTGCATTGGACAAAGACCTACATATCGAGGTCGTACACGAATCCGTGCATATTCCCGTTTACGATTGTTCCTTCCACAAGAATTAAGTTTGCATCAATGAGAGGAGAAAGTTTCTGCGCAAATTCTCTCTTGATATGGCCAACTTGCTGATTAGTGAGGTTCATCTGAGAGAGAGATTAGATCATATTTTGTTGGAGTCCGCACACTCTCACCACTTGAATCGCATTCCTGGGAGACTAGTATCAGCCATCAGCCAGCAAATGAACCATTGTCACACGTACCGGTCAAACTCATTAGTGGGCTCCCTCACAAGACTGACTTGCTCGCCGTCCCCTACAAGACCGTTGTAATATTGCAGCCCTACGACCTTCCCGGTTGAGTTGATATAATGTTCGTCTTTTGGATCTCCTCCATAGGCACCCATCCAAGGTCATCGTCCGAATCGTCCAAGTCCATAATCTGAGATGACTGGACAGCGGTCTGTGAAGAGGTCGGCTGCGTCTGGGATGACCCATGGATGGAGGCCTCAAACTTCCTCTTCTGGCCAACGCCAACCTGGGAAGAGCTTTGGGGCTGAGAAGTCCGATTGTCGAAATCTGACCAATCAAGAGGTCTCGCCGACGCTGGGACGTCTGAAGGGTCAACCCGAAGAGCACGAACCGCTGTCATGACACGTGTTTTATCATCGACACTGCATGACAAAAGGCAGGTTAGGAATGTAGATTTTCCAGAGACAAGCCGGCGTAGGATGTTGTGTGTGTACAGTTCGTGACTCACGTCAATTTGGACCATCCCGGCAGTTTATACAAAGAAACGTTCCCAAGCTCTTCAAGAATATCGGTAGTTACGCAGCCCCAATGCCTCCACGACCAACTCTCTCCATATTGAGGCGAGTGATATTTGAGACCGTAACGAAGACTCCCTATAGATATTTTGCTGCCTTTGCAAGGATGAGGACCCTGTCAGAGTGTCACGGGAAATTAATGCTGAAGGACAACGTAACGAAGGAATAAAACAAACGTGGCAGGTAGACTTATTGGTAGGGGCATATACTATCGTATGCTTTGTCGAATCGCCTGTTTTCGCCATGGTCTAGAAGCGGAAGGCGTGCAGCAAATCACCGCCAAGAAGTCAGAGAGCCAGAAATCCTCCACGCGTTGAATAATAGGGCGTATAATACGGAATAAGTTCGGGAAGTAGCGGAGAGCTGGTTCCGTCCGTGGTAGTTAGAGAACGCGGAAGAAGGAGAGGGAGCGCCCGCCTAAATCCAATTTGAGTTATTGGCACCTCGACAACAATATCCATCAATATAAAGGTGCAGTCTGTGCACTATGTTATTATCATAGGCGCTACAGGCTATATATGCCGCGCATACATCCATAAATATGATTTTTCTACTATTGATGAGGAGGTAACATGAAAACGGGTTCATCACAAACAGCAGGCAGTTCGGGTGGCTGTGTACTGAACTGAATCACTCCTGAGACTTGCTTCAGAAGAAACCTTCTATCGATATCTGTCCTATTACCTACTTCGTTTGATGCTGAATGTTGCTGCAGTTAGCGGGAGCAGTAATGTCGAGGCTAGAGCTAAAACTGTGTATAATAAAAAGGCTGGAATCCTGACCTTTACGAACACACGGGTGGTATGGGTGCCAGATGGTCAATCCAAACCGACCCTCAACATAGCTCACTCTAAGATCTCTAGTGAGTATGAATGTTTCGATAACGTGAATTACCTAACTCAAACGCAAAAGACCTCTTCTGTACGAAGGAAGGCGTTCCGAAGAAGAAGCTCAAACTCAATGTCACGGACAGCGATGAAGCATACATGTTCCATTTTACGTCTCCTCCTGCAGTTGCTGAGGCGGAGTTAGCGAAGTTTAAAAGTTTGCTTCTTGAAGTCATCACGCAGAATACGACCAAAGCGAGCATACCGATTCCCAACGTGACGGGGAAGGCATCAACACCTTCGAGCCCATCCACCCCAATTCCCCGACCCACCACCCCTGCATATTCTCGCGCATCCAGTGCAACACCGTTGAGAAACCAACCCTTCTCGTTTGAGATCCGTCAAAAGGTCTTGACCACGTCACCTGAGTTGTCCAGTTTGCATCGAGAACTCGTTGAAACTGGTCAAATCACAGAAGAGGAATTCTGGGAAGGAAGAGAGGTGTGCTCTGCTGCTCTCGTCTCTCACTTCACTGCTCGAAACACTTTCAAGCATCTTTTAGCGACCGAAATAGCTGCCAGTCAGCAACGAAAAGGGAAATCTTCACAGATCGTAGCGCCGCGTCTCAAGACTGGAGAACAAGGGCAGATCATGCTTACATTGACCCCTCAGCTCCTAGCAGACATTTTCGAAGAGTTCCCGGTCGTACAGCAAGCGTACGCAGAGAATGTTCCTAAACCTGCAAGTGGTGCTCGTTTGGCAGACACTACCTGATCCTGATAATATTGCAGCTTGGGGAGGCAGAATTTTGGGAAAGATATTTCAGTTCAAAATTGTTTGACAGACACCGCGCATCTTCCCGCAATTCCGTGGCCAAGCCTGATCCGATCTTCGACAAGTATTTGGAGAAGGAAGATGACGGTCTGTTGCAAAAGCTTTTAAATCTAGATAGCCCTACTCATCCCTCCAAGATACTGAGCCTCTTCACCCACGGAACGAACGTGTGCCGTTATTCTTGGACCTGGAAGCCACTCAGGGAGATCATGCTGAGGTCAGGATTTCTACTCGCTGAGATTTGCGGACGTACTGGCTGACGAGTTTCTAGACGGGGAACGAGAAAGACGTGACTATGCAAGCGGGTAAACGGAAGAATGCTATCCCCATCATACGGCGGTTCAATGAACATTCGGAGCGTCTGCTGGAGTCCGCTTTGTAGGTGCTAATAATTCGGAAATGCAAATGTAGCCTTACATATATTAAAGAGGCACTAAGGTGACTAAGCATGGAGACGACGCGCCGGAACATTACGCTGCGGAGGTGCGCCAAATCAGACGCAAACAGTGAAATATGATCTGACGTACTGGGATAGTCTTCGAACTATGATTCACAGGTCATATTAGACGATCTTCGAGGATCACATCGTCCCCAAGGCTTACCGCTGCAGGTGTCGAATGCTCAAACTCTCCTGAACGATGTTGGTCGAGGTCAAGCTGTTGTTTCGTCTGCTGTGTCTAAGCTAGTAGGCGTTTCGTGCACGACTTAGGGGTTCGCGGTTGACACACGGTTCCATCAGTCACCTATGGAGTTTGATGACATTGTCAGCACCATGTCAAGCAGTCTTGACAATTGGTCAACGGAATTAGAGCAGGCACGTCTTTTCCTCTCTGCACAACATGCCACTAATTTTCTTGCAGTTTTCAATAAAGCCTGATGCTGCTAACGCTGCTGTTCAAGATATGATGACGAACGTCATGTCCCGAGCCGACCGAACCCAAAGTGGTAAGGAGTGCTTGTGTTGGCTAATATTCCCCTAATACTCCCCAGACGCCATCCCCCCGCTCATACTTCAACAAATGAGATCGTGTGCCACCGCAGCAAATGAGTTTCTGCGTCAGTACTGGAGTACAATACATCCACCATCTAGCGAAACTGGAACCACATTAGCGGCTTTTTCCAGCGCCACGCCAGCACAGAAAGTGGCTCGGCAGAGCAAGATGATCACATATTTAGCCAAAACTCACGACAAGGCGAGAGCGATCATCGAAAGCGGCCAACGGCAGGGGGTCAGTGTAGCGACCATGGAAGCTGTGCGTGACAATGATAACTTATGTTCCCACTGCTGATAGCTTTGGGCCTCAGGCATTTGCTCCACTACTTGTCGCCGTGGATAAAGCGCTCGCATCATATGAGGCAGAGAGACGTTAAGGAAGGACCACATAATTATTTAAGATATGTGTAGTGCGTATTGACTAATGCTGTGACTGTCGAGATCAGCATGACAGTATCACACTTGACTGGACATCATCCTAATACCAGCGGGTTCAAATTTGCCATAGTGGACCACGTATGGACTTACTGAACAATCACTTTTGGTTACTTGCTTCCAAATCTTCAAGGCACCTGTGCTAATGCTGTGGAGAGTAAATGAGCCTTGAAATGCGACAATGGCTACACCTCTGCACTCACTTCTCACTCTCCACGTCAGCAATGCGCACCCATTTGACACGACTTCGGGGTTCGTTGCTCTCAATGTTTGTCGTCCGCCTAGTTCCTTTGTCATTCGCCGTTTTCCTTTTCTTCTTTGGCCTTACCCTTTCCTCATCATCACTTTCATCCGCTCCATTCGCTCCATTTTGGACAGCATCCGAAGGTTCCAGGAGCTCAGGTAAGGTGTCCTCTTCCGCATTAACACGGCTACACTGAAAGTGACGGATGTGATATGTCATTCGAATGTGCGAGAATATGTGCAAAAGTGTGCCCGCATCTCTGTTCTTTTTTAGTCTCAGCTCTGTAGAGGGTGCGTTTCCAATGATGGGCGGTGAGGCTATCAATCGAACAAGCAGCTCTTCGAAAGCTGCATTCTTTTGCTCCTTGGAGAGATTTGAGTTATCCAGTAACACTGTCGGGAATTCGTACAAGCCCGCTAAAAGGCCTACGTCACCCGTCAGGTTGGATAATCGAATATAGAGGATACGAGGTCACCTTTTTCAGGGCGACGTACCAACAACACCCATCTATCGGATGGGCCGCAGTACTCGATCACACTGACTGCACTGTGTTCCTCACGCGCCTTCTTTTTATCGACTTTCATTGGATAACGGGTAACAGCTGTCGACGAATCGGGGAAAGGTTCACAAAGACTGCACAAATCTTCGACGTCAACAGCTTCCGCACTGCCGGGCATTTTTCCCTTTCATCAAGAAAAACATAACCATATTGTCAAGTTTCTAACATCGAATCCCTCACCTTTGATAACAAATAAGCAGCACATTCCTGCTTTATAGGGCACTCCCCACAGTTCGGGTTTGTTGGCTTGCACACAGTGCTCCCCAGCTCGATTAATGCCTGGTTAAAAGCCCCTGCTTCCCCATCCCTTGTCCGCTCGACTAATTCGCCTGCCACATTCCAAACGAGCTCCAGAGGCGCCTTAGCATTTGGCCCCTTCAGCGGGGCATGTAACGCAAGCAATCGGCTAAGTAGTCGTTGAACATTACCATCGACTGCAGGTGTGTGCTGATCGAACACAATGCTGCAAACAGCACCTGTCAATGGAGAGCGGTGAACAGGTTGTGGATAAACATTTTGGTGAAAAACTGACCTGCAGTGTAGCGACCAACTCCAGGAAGCCCTTTCTCCATAGACGCAGCATCTTCTGGGAAGCGACCTCCCATGTCGTTTACGATGACACGAGCCGCATCTAAGAGACGAGATCCACGACTATAATATCCTAGGCCCTTCCACCGTTGATTTCTGCCAGAAGGTCTAATTAAACGAGGCGAAAAGAGTTACTGATGGCCCATCATATTTACTTACACTTGCTCGATGTCGGCGCTCGCAAGGGCGCTGACCGTCGGGAATGCTTCCATCCATTTATTGTAGTAGGGGATAACGGTGACGCTGAAGTGGCACAAGTTTTGAAGCATACTTTTCAGTAGGAAACGAAATGGCCACACATTTGCGTTTGTTGCAGCATAACTTCCGACACAAGTACTTCATATGCGTGTTGGGTCCGTGCACCGATACCCAATGAGGGATCGTAGTCTCTACGCCATGGCATACATCTGAGGGCTTTGACCCGAGAGTACCAGGTTAGCAGGTCATGGGGGCAAGCAGCGATACGGTCCACGGAGTGGAGCTTGCTCGAGTGATGAGATGGAACTGCTCTGGACGCAGCTATTGTTGGTTTTAGGCGTCCCATGAGTATATCCTGGGCATTGACACGCGAATTCATGTTGTTTTCTGACGTGCTAGCCTTCTTCCTTTTCTTTGGCGTTGGCTCATTGCCATTGTGTGGTGCAATCAGGGGTGGGTCGGATGTTGGGGGCGCGGCAAGGGTCGAAGTCACTTCACCGACATCCTCAGAGTCTGACTCAATAAGCTGTCTCGACAATACCCTTTTGAGCATTGCGAAATATGTGCGAGAGAGAGCAAGGCGCGCCAACGCCCAAAACCCAAATTCCCGTTCTGGAGTAAGCCATTTCAGCGGCCAGAGCAACTCACGTGGTTTCAGGGGAGTGCCGTGTTTAGCCCAGTCCTCAATTTCTTAAGTTTCTGAAATGGCTAGCACATTAGGCATTCCCGTAAAGCTTTTACACGAGGCTCTCGGGCATGTGATTACTGTTGAACTGAAGTCAGGACAACTGTATCGAGGCAAACTTGCTGATGGTGTCGTAACGTTTTCTTGGCTAGCCTGCCTAATGTTGCTGATGCCTGGCATCGCTCAGCTGAAGACTCCCTCAATGTTTCATTAAAAGATATAACCGTAACTGGGCGTGATGGACGCGTCTCTCAACTTGATCAAGTTTATATCCGGGGCAGCATGATCAGATATATTATTGTACCAGATATGCTTCAAAATGCTCCAATGTGAGCAATTTTGAATGTAGTCACTCAGCAGCTGAAAATGTCTTGTTTATAGGTTTAAACGAGTAGGTCCGAATGCTATGAGGGGACGAGGTATTGGTACTGCACGTGGTCGCGCAACTATCATGCGAGGTGAGAATCCATATGCTCTGTGTACATTCTCTGGCGCATTCTGATTGCTACTCGATATTCTACAGCGAACGGTGAGTCGTTGATGATTATTCTGTCGTTGGTCAAGGTTTGAAAAGCCTGACTCTTCCTCGCAGCTCGCCGCGGACGTGGTGGCCCCCCTGGGCCTGGACGTGGCATTCGTCGCTGAGTTACTGCCTTCCAGCTGTAGAACATACGTCCTGGGTGGGGCGATGTATGCTAGCCGCCTGTGTGTGAGCCCAAAGCACATCTTATGTCGCTTTTACATATTTTTTGGCGGATGTATCATTACCGGTGCCAGAATGCGTATGCCTTATCAAATATTGCAGAGGGAGAATCGCAATCCATTACGATTGCTCACTGAAAGGGAACTTTTGAATGGACAACATGATTCTCACGTTACATCCATCTTGGCGCTTATTCTGGCCAACTTGCTCCCGTGCGAGACGGTGTGAAGAATGGCGAGGACGGCCAAGGAAGATCTTAGCAGCCACGTGGATGGACCCGACCAACAGGAAGAGGCCAGTCCAGCGCAAACAACGGATGGCGCAGACAATCGCTCTAAGTCTTCTCTTGATGAAACCTCTGCTCATGATCTTCCACAATTGCTGCCACTCTCACATGACCACCCACTGCTCAACCATGATGTGCCCTTCAATGTGGATGATTTCTTGATGACGCGTCCCAATACATCTCTTGTGGACCTTCGCACGGAATTGCGTGATTATTTGGGGACACTCAAGGAGGAATTAGTTCAGCTCATTAATGACGACTACGAAGATTTTATCAGTCTCCGCACGGACCTCCGGGGGGAGGGGCCAAGACTGCAGCGACTACTGGGTCCTATCCAGTCGCTGCATGGTGAAACAGAGGTGAGGAGCATAGGAAGACACCACTCGACATGAGTAGTCATATCTTTTAGAGGTCTAAAACAGAGCTTTTGGAAATCAAGATGGCTTTTGAAGAGAAACTAAAAGAACGATCAAGATTACGCGAAGAAAAAGTCAGTGTGTACTCACATCCCTTTCTTCTTTGTTCACCGACTTCTTGGAAAGGCTCTGCTTCATCTTTTGTTGAAAGTTTCTGACCTCGTCGGGAGGCTTGAGACTATGCTGAGAATCTCGGACCATCAAGATTCTACTAACGTCACTCCCGATTATTCTAGCATGGTAGTTCGCGACATGACTGATAGCCTAGACGCGATTCACTTTGAGGGTCCCTACACACGGAACGTGGGTGAACCCGATACTAAGAGGTGACAGTACACATTTCCGGTGCAAGGAGTGGCATTGAAAGGTATCCAGGTCACCGGCTGTTGGGGCTAAGTTCCTAGCGAGAGTGGCAGCTGAGTTCAATCAACTTCTCTATCACGCGGCGAAGGCGCGCCAGAAGGATTGCGTCTTTGTAGAGGAGCTCAGGAAGGTTTGTCACATCCTTTTTGTAGCGTGATTCTGCTCACTATCTGTTTGCCCGCAGAACATCACTAAAATCGAGGATACTTTGTCTCGCGACCTAGACATAGTTTTCTCTGCGAGCTTAGTTGCAGTAATTTCGGCGTCGCCGTCTACAACTGCACCTCCTGCTTCAAGACCCAAGTTGATTGCTGATCTCACGGAATGTCTCAAAATATACGATTCTCTAGAGAAATGGGAGTCCGCCGAAGACGTCATTCGACAAGACATTGTTCAGCCGTTCATCCGCAAGGTTCGGTCTATAATTTAGTAGGAGCCCTTCTAACGTCCAAAGTAGACCATCACATCTAGTGCCTTGTCCGCTCCGGTGTCTCCTGTAATGCCACGGACCCCTGTGGCTGATTCTCTCCACGTTTCGAGAGACTCGCCCATTCTGACAATCGATTCTCCCATTACACCATTCACCCCACATCACTTTTACCCGACTCGGGATCGCTCGCTTGCGACATCAAACACGACCAGCCAACTCTCCATATCTACTGTAGGTGGCTTGCCTTCATTCACCGATCAAATACACTCAGAGGATCCATTGACACAACTCTTGAGCACTGTGCTCCGCTTTATCGAGCGTGATTTGATCGTGCCAATCGAGCTCTCTGAACGGATCAATTCCACCAGATCCACCAAGATCCAAAAGGGAGGCATTAAATCTGTTTTAACTCCTACAACCAATGGGCAATTAGGTTCTACCGGAGAACAGGTGGATTGTATTGCAAACAAGTCCACAAGAATCGAGGGTGGCTTTGACATTATGGCTCGAGTCGTGTGGGCCGAGATAGCTCGAGCATTAATCGACCAGCTCGGGCCGATCATCTTCGCTGCTGGAAGGCCAGATGAGTTTCAGAAGGTTGGCCTATCTCCATCAGACTCACCTTTTGGTCTAATTGCTATCAGAATTATACTATTATACACGATTTCATCACAGCCTTTGAATTTACCTCACCCTCAGTCGAGGTCGTAAACAGCATTCGTTCACATAGAATATACAAGGCCTTTGAACGGCGGTGGCAACTCCAAGTGTACTTCCAGTTGCGATGGAAGGAGATCATCGGGAAACTCGAAGAAACCTTGTCTCAGGCGCCAACAATGACTACTCCCCAGATCTCGGGTATGCATCTCAGTTCTGTTGCACATAGTGGATGATTATATAGAGAATCAACATAGCTCCCTTCATAACCGCGCAGGGGGAAGCTGTTGTAACTGCCTTGTGCACATGCTGGTCTTCTACCGTTTACATACCCGAACTTGTCCACCGGTTTTGGAGGTTGTCTTTGCAGGTGAGCTGCACAGTATCTCGTAACTGTATGCACTGACCGCTTCATTCTTGTCACTAAAAGATTCTTCATCGTTTTATTACATGGGTGGATGCAAACATTCCGGTGCGGAAAAACCCAGATTTGGTTCCAGAGAAGAAGGTGAAACTGTCCTCAGCCATGCGGAATTAATCTTACTCTTTTTTGGCAGAACGCTGCAGATGTAGCAGCCCAGGAGGACGCTCATTTGCGAGCCTTCGCCTTCATGATTTCGGATATCCTTGTTGTGAAGTCTAAAGCTCAGAAACTTTTTTCTCAAACCATTCGTGGCCTGCTTCCATCAACTTCTCAGGAAGATGACGAGCAACCCCCTGAAGGTCAGCGCACATCAGTGCCTCCTCCATGAACGATTGTTGATAAGCATCTAGAAATATTCAACGAAACACTCTCCAAGCTGTCTGCTATCATTCCCCCAATTAGCGACGAAATGATTTCCATTCTGTCCGTTCGTTGCCAAGATCCTTTACAATACGTTCGCTCCATCCCAACCCAGTTCCGTGCCATGAGCTCGCGCAATTTGGATCTCCCTCAAGAGCCAAGTTATTTTATACCCAACATCCTCAAACCGCTAAAGGAATTTTTGCTGGAGGATGGTGCACCTGCTTCCCAACTCAAAAGCGTATACGGATCAGGTTGGGCCGAAGAGATCTTCAAGTCTGTCGTGTTGAAGTGAGTTTCATTCCTGCGTGCATTTCGATCCCGTTAACTGAGACACGTGAACAGATATTCGTCTTATCTTATCGGGATGAAGAAGACATACGATTCCATTAGACGATACAAGAAGGGAAAGCAATCTGCATTCATGCTCTTTGGGTCTACTTCGCGGAATCAGCAGCTGGACGAGCAGGGCCGCGAAGAGGCACGGATCCGCGCCCAAATGATCATTGATGTTGAAGCTCTTGGTCAAGAGGCAAGCTCGCTAGACGGCCTAATTAACGTTCAAGCCAGCGAGGAGTACCGTGAGTTACGTGAGCTGGCAGCTCGAGATGATGCCACGTCAGCAACTTCATAGCTATGCATACAGTATTATTCAATGGAATATTCCAGTCAACCAGGAAACAACATATCAGAGAATACAACGAGGCTTATGAATCAGTGATACTGAGACTATAGGCAATAGTTTTAACAAGCCAGATAAACATGTTCAATAAAATTCAATAAGTCAAACAACACTAATTTGATCAGGCCATGTGTTCGGTAATCATTGTGGAAGGTCCTTAGATAGCTCGAAATAATCCGCCCGGGCTTTGTTGGCTTGAATTTCTGGACAAAAAAACTAGGTTGGTGAAGCCTTATCATGAGGTCAGGGGTGCTGGTCACATACCAACAAGACAAAATACTTCTCCCAACCGGTCCAAAACGAATAATAACAGCGTGATTTTGTTTTTGAAAGCCTCCCGCTCGGCCTGTCCCTGATGCCGAAGGCTTCTGAGATGCCGAATATAAACATGAACCGCAGCCATCCAAGACACCTACCCGGCACGAGGAGGTCAGATCGGATGGGTTTAGATCGGATCGGGGCTCACCCCTAGCATGATATCTAGATGGATAAAATCAAGACCTTGTATCTCCGCAGCGATGTCAGCAATCCGATCCGCTGCCCACAGTGTTTCTTGCTTCGCGGCATCGCTGTGCTTGGCGACGATATTACCGAGATAGATGATTCCACATAAGCATAGCGTATTCGCATGGACCATAACCGGATCTATTCCCGCTACCCTCCATGTATCGACAATCTCTGCTCCAAGACCTGAAGGGTTGCGAAGCACGGGCATGGAATGGAACAAGTTGAAAGCGGTGGATCGAACGTGGTTCCATCTTTTCCTGAAATCTTCGCCTTTGGAGGGATCCTCTGGAAGTTGAGTAACTTCACCATAGCCATACGAAGCATTGACGCCCTGTATGCAGCCCAGTCGGGAAGCCCTTTCAAAGACAGAGGTGGACTTGATGCGGAAAGTCATGGATGATCAAGAATGGGGAGATCGTTCTTGCCCGCGGTGGCCCAGAAGTGTGAAAGTGTGCAAGCAGAATAATCACTTACAAGACCCTGAACGAAATTCAATTAGGAGGAAATCTATTAAACATCAGTTTGCTGAACGGTGCCTACGTTATTATAGAATTCCAAGGGAAGTGGGAGAGGCGTTGTGGGCATCGTTTCTTCGACGTCCTCCTTGAAGATCGATGGCATGCCGTGTGTCGCACACCCACTTGCGTCCAAAATCCAACACGCCCAGAACGTATGAATCCTTTCGCCGAGTTCGATTGCATCCTTAGGTGGGCCGAGCATAAAAGGAGCAAAGCGAACGTTTGTCTTCCATCCCTGCACATGCCTGGTAAATTCGTCGACCCGTCCTCTGACGTCTCTCCACACCGGGGACTCTATCTTGTGCAAGCCGCAAAGTATTGCCATTTGAGCCGCGCTACAAGTCTGTTGGTATCCTTCGAGCATCCTCCCTTTACCATAGAAATACAAACCCAATAAAATACCCGCTCTCACATACTCCAAAAGCGAGAGTGATTTCTCGGCTAGAAGGCGCGGGAGATGTACCTGTGTTCGTTGAAAGAATTTTTCTTCTTGTTCAATGAGCGAGAATGGTCGAGTGAACCAACAAGCTAGCATGTACATAGCATGCACGAAAGCTGGGTGGGGTCGGTCCTTCGGACTTTCGGCATTGAGCTGATCGTAAAGGCGAGAAACAGATATTTCTAAAGCACATTGACGGCGGTGGAGAAGGAACAAGGTGATCCTGCCACGTAGAATAATAAGAAGCTGAATTAGTGTCTCCGAACGGTAGTCTTACAAAATGTCATGTAGTTCACGTTTTGGTTCATCCGTGAGGTGGTCCCACCAGCCATCAGGAAGAGGGAATTCAGCCGGTCTCACGCGATGGGGAGTATAAGGCGTAAGAGAGCGCTCCTGGCCTGAATCGGAGAATAGATGAGGTGTTGGCGGGAACGGAGGGATGCCAGCACAGTTCCGCGAGGGATCGGATCGTTCACCTAAGGAAGGTCCCGACTGGTACCCAGAAAACGTGGGCGGCATGATTTCAGGGATCTGGAGCAAGGAAGAAGTTGTATCGCCCTGGTTGTAGGTAGGTCCATAAGAGGGGTTGTGAAACAGTTGCGCAGAAAAGTCTTGAGCCTGCTGAGAAATGGCAAGATCGTGAAAAGCTGAAGCTGGTTGAGTGTCAAGCTGAGTTGCGTAGGAGGCGGAGAGCTGAGATTGAACATTAGTTCCGTCAATAGACTGTGTCTGAGCCTGAAATTCGTGCTGGTACGACACAGACGGAGGAACATTCTGTTGGTGCTGAAGCTGATCTCCAGGACTGGCATAGGGATTCGGAACAGTAGGCTGAGATTGAGACTCCGTTTGTATGCGTGGGTTCTGCTGATTGCACTCCGCCTCGCAGCGTTTAAACAATTCCACAAAGCTATCATTAGGTATTGACGAAGAACTCGAATCGTAAACCTCCAAACCACTCGTGTAACCATGAGATTCAAACGAGGAATTACCAAAGCTATTCGGCTCGATATGAGTCGGAGTCTCAGGATATCCCAATTGAGACGAAGACGAGAAAGGAAGCTGAGACAAGAGAGTCGGCATGGGCGGCGGGTCTTCCCGCAAGAAGCTCCCGAACGCAGGAGACAATGGAGAAGTATGAGAATGAGCAGCTTCTTGATGATAGAACTCTTGAGGAACAGGCTGTGAGTGGTATCGCGATGTTTCAAAGGAAAATGGATAGGCAGATACAGTGTACTGTCCAGCTGGAGAATGCTGAGGCGTAACGTTAAGTGAGGTAGCGCGAGGTGTAACTGGTACTCCTGGGACTGCATGTGGTTGAGACCTGGCGGAGGCAGTGGTATGAGCACGAGGCCGAGCGGTCAGAGACCTGGGAGCTCGGGGAGAAGGGGGAGATTGCTGAGCAGAAGACTGCTGCTGCAAGTCGATGCGGAACCGTGTCTCGAGAGTACCGAGAGAACCAGTATCACGATTGGGAGGTATTGAAGAAGGAAATTCTATATTCGGACGAGGAGTCATGAAGATAGAGGCTGAACGACGGGAGGAAGCACCACTTGAAATCCATTGTTGCCGACTGTCATGGCGGCTAGGTCGCCTTTCGCAGAGCTTACGGATGAACTTGAATTTACTCTGAGAGAGATCAAAGCGATGAGAAGAAACATGTCTGTAAGGGCGGAAGCTAGCATAAGTGCCCATAGGTGGAAGCAGTTGTGTTGGAGACGGAGGTGTTCTCTTTTTAGCTAGTTCCTCGCGAAGTTCAACGATCATTTGCTCTTGTCTGGCAAATTTGAGATCGAAACTCGTATTTCTGCCCTCGAGCTCGAGCATCCTCTCAAACAAGGCAGTGTTGATATTCTATCAGACATGGGTAGACAAATAATTGGCAACAAGAGCTAGGGAAGACCAGCTTACCTTTGGTTGAGATTCGTATATACATTCTTCTCTGCGTTGCTTACAACTCTCGCAAGTCGGTCGACCTCCATCACATCGAACACGCCTCTTTCTACATCCGAGACATGCAGCACCTCTAGGTAAACTGGTCTTCCCAGGAACTTGCTTTCCACGTTCCGGTGGTGAAGACCACTCTTCTTCCATAGATAGAGACAGCCAATGTACAAATACGAGACTAAGGGTTGGACGCGTTGTGAGACGCGTCGACGGAGAACAATGTTAGGGTGAAATATCACACCAGAATGGGAGAGTGTAATATTGCCAAGAGTCACCTCCGATAGAGGGAAGCGCGGGTAGGAATATGAGACCCTAAGTGAACACGCCGGCGGGTACGATGCCAAGGAAGATCGGGTTCTTCGAGCGGGAAGCCTAAATTTTGCTTCCGCCCGCCGAGGAGGTCGAGCGGGGCCGGCCTAGAACCCAGTTCAAGGACGATCACCAATCTTCGACATCGCTTCAACTCCCTCCCGCGAACGAAAGCAGGAGGGATGGTAATCTCGACCATGTGTTCATTATAAGCGGTATGCTTCTTGGCCTGGTGTAACATACATCTTTCGCTGCGCCACACAAAAACGCGACCCCTCAACGGACGGTGGACGTGGCCACGAGTATGGTGAATGACACCCAAATCATTACAATACGAGGTAATCCTTGATTTCCTCCTCCGTCAGTAATCTGAATGTAGGTTTTGGTCTTCCACCCGCGGGCACGATAAGGTCCTCCGCCGAAGGAATGCTCACAACACCAATCTCAATCGTCTTCTCGGTCATCTGCCCTTCGAAACCTTCTTTCAATGTTAAGAGGGCCGTATGAATAGCATCGACGAGTGAAATGTCGTCATTATATCTGCAGAGGTATTGAGTCAGCAAAAAGAGCGCTTTGGTCGGTCAAGAGGGCGGAAAGTATACCGTTTCTCAAGGAAAGTCTTGGCGTTGACCATGTTTTTCCCTATAGCACTAGCCTTCCAAGCCCAGAATGATCCGGAAGGATCGACTTGGTATAATGAGGGGCCCCAATCAGCATCCCATCCCGCAACCAGTAACGAAACACCAAATGGCCGCACACCGCTGTTGGGAAAGAACGAGTCAGCCCCATGTATAATTTCGTCATCCTAAGGGCACCCAGAATAGATACTGGGGCATACGTAGACTCGCCGAAAGAAGGGCCATTCGTCATTCATTCAGCACCCGCTTCCAGCGTCAAGTGAGGCGCTCATGATGTGAGAAATGCAATGACGAATGGTGACTGCTATGCAAGAGACGCCACATATACACCCAATACTGGGCACAAACGCCTAATGACAACTAGCTAAAATTGAGCTGCATGGTACTTACCCACTCTGCGTTGCCTCCTGCATAATGGTAGCAATCTCCTGCGTTAATACCCTCGTTGGGGGATATTCCCCATAAATTTTCCAGTATGCTTGTGCGCTCTTTCTGGCTTTCGCTACGAGCACACGGAAGTCGGGACCCATGCCAGAATAGACGAGACCGATGTTGGGGCAGATAATAGATACTTTCTCAATCATAGCATCGTCAATGAGGAGGGAGGAGGATTTCTTCTCAGTTGCTATTACGATCCCGTTGGTCGCTAGACTAAGTCGTGAGTAGTGAGTAAGGGCAGGGACTAAGGATTACCTTTGATGCCAAGACTTGTTGTCCCAGAGTTTACGGCAGCTAATGCGTGTTCAATCTGCACGAGCCTGATGGAGTGGGGTATATAACGAGACAAAAGAAAACACTTCGCATCAACGGGTGCCAGACCATATGAAGCACTCACTTCCCACTCGGCGAAAATGTTGTCAAGGAGAAACTATTTGATTTGAAGAGAGGTCAAGTGGGCGGATTGATAGTGAACTGAAGCTCGAAGACATACCTGACAGCGTGAATTTATGTCAGCTAATCGACAACCTGTAACATCATAGATAGCAAGCGCACCTATAAGCTCCCCCGCCATTTCCTCCAGCTCCGCTCATATTTCTAACGTAGAACGCGAGTGAAGAAGGTTATCTTTGGCGAAAGCCAACAAGTGAGATCTCAAAGCTGATGCAAGCCCAAACCCAGAACGCGTACGCGTCAACTCAATGAGGTTTCCCCAATAGGAAGCCCACGTGATAGTGGGGAATGCCCGCAAAGTAAACGCCAACTTTCCCAACCACTCCTGCTTAAGAGTGCGTTTACCTGTTGCATCTCATTTTGCATCGGACTGACATGAATGTTGGCCTATTCCTCAGTGGCTGCTACACGTAGTGCGGCTGCCGCTGTTGTGAGTGGCTCTTTCTGTCTAGATTGCGGCAGTGTGTAAAATTGGCCGGAATTGCGGAATGCTCATTACCATCGTCCCTTCTTCGTCTTCTATGCTATCTGGTTGTTCCGGATTTGGTCATTCGTAGGACTTTGCTCGTATTTATTCTTCACTAGGCCTTGGTAAAGGTCCGTAACTATCCGTGACAACCCTGCAAGAATCACTCTGGTTTACTCTATCTTTCCATTGGCGCATCCACACTGGGGTTTGTTTGAATACGGTAAATAGAGACCATTGCGTCTCTACAGGCCTTCCGTAAGCGCCATGCCGAGGCTCAGCGTGTGGTTGACTCGCTCAAGGGTCAACCCACAACTGTGGATATTGCCAAGTACCGCTCAACACTGCGCAACCAGGAAATTGTTGCCGAGGCAGAGAAGCTCCTTAAAGAGTTTAGGCCAGTGACGTATGATGTTAATACCCATGTCAAAGCTATCGAGACGTTTGAGGCGAAGGCTGTGAGGAGATTCCCTGATAGGATGGCAGTGCTGTGATGCTGATTCCTTCATGATCCTTTAGCTTGCCGAAGCTCAGAGCGCAGCAGCCAAGGTGGATGAGGAACTCGCCAAGTTGCAAGCTACTTTGGAAAACATTCAGCAGGCTCGTCCTTTCCAGGATCTCACGGTGCGTGACAGTGACGGTCCTGTCATTGAAAATGGCGTGACTGATGGACACCCGATTCGGTGTTGCGTGCGAAAATCCTGATTTGCGCCGTCGATTCGACTACTTTCTATTCCGTCTGTACCGGGACTACTTTCGCTATGGGTGTGGGCGTGGGTTGCGGCAAATCGTCCATGGGTTTTGTATAATGGTCAGGTGGACGACGTGTCCGAGGCACGCCCTCAAATCCGAAAAACAGTCGAGACCATGCTGAAAAAGGGGAAATGGACGGTGCCTGGTGCGTTAGCTTTTTTCATATCTCATTTCCGGGCCCGGATACTTAGATACTTCTTGTACAGGCTATACGGAGAAGTTTGGGGATTTGTCGATGGCATAGAAGAGAGGGGAGATTCAGAGATGTTATTTACCGTCCTAACAAATAACGTGGCTTTATTGCCCGAAAACGAAAGCCGTAATCAGCGATTCTCTTGTGACTTTGGTGTGGGTGTGGTGTTTTCAAGGGTTCTTTCTATTGGAAGCATGTTCTCTGTGGAGCGTCATCCATTCAATTGTCACTCATTCAGTTCACTATTGGTCATCCCCATTTAGTTAGAGCTGATACAATCAATTGTATTGCGGCATTTGAATTGGGCGGTTCAAACTTCAAGTCACATGAATATCACGTGTACGCAGCTTCGACCCTAAAGTCACTAGTTCGCAAGTTGTGACCTCAAAGTTGTGACTGCATTGTGCCATCATTTTTCCACCACTTAACCTGCTTCACTCCCCTGCCTCAATTGCCAACACGATGACGACGTCCTCTCCCAAACCAGTAGGCCACGACTCGGCGCCTACTAGCAAAAATAATAACGACGGCGCACCCTCCAATGATCCCAAGCCCAGACTCCCAAACTCCAGGGGCACCTCATATCACCTAGAGAACAATCCGTTCGAGGCATCCTTTAGTCAGCCGCATTCGACTCCCTCGACTCTAGCGCTCCCACCACCTTCCCCGCCAAAACATCATCGCTCATCCTCGAAGGACAGCTCCAATAACAGCGGCAGTGGTTCCCCCGATGCTAACGGTACTATCCCGAGGCCTATCCTACCCCCCATCGCCGCCATGGCGTCACCTTCGTCTGGTAACGAATTTTCCTGGCCCTTCAATGGAAATGGTGACCTTGCTGGATCCCTCCGATCGGGTCCATTGTCGCCTGCCATGCTTGCTGGACCACAACAGTACTCGGGGACATCCCTCTTCGATAATATGCGTTCTGGCCTCACTCCCGATGTCAACCGGACAGGTCTAACACCGCTCATTGGTGGGCCAACATCGTTCCCGCCTCCGAGTCCAAATACCGCTGCGTTCCTGGCAATGATGACGAATACGTCACAGAGCCAGGGCGTTGCCGCCCCATCACCCGCTACGATCACACCTGGAACGTTCTCCGCAATAACTGGCATTTTAAATGGGAACAACCACAACTCTTCTTCCAGCAACTCTAACCATAATCAAACCGTCGCAGGGGGTCATATATCAATGGGAATGCGTCAAACCATGCACCTCATCCTCTCAGTGTCAGCCACGTTCCCGATGCTTCAGAAGATGGTCCGTCTTGCTCTCTTTCCTTATTCTCTCTTTATCGTTATGCATATTACGAGGGTTATGCTGACGCCTTTTCCTCATGACATTTCTCACTTACGTCAACGGCTCAACTTTGTGCTCCAACTTCGCCCTTCACTTTGTCCCCCTCTCTCTATCGCTTGCTCGCTTCACCCCTCCACCACGCCTAGCTGCCAATGGGCTCTTCCTACTAAGTCAAGCTCATCAAGAACTTACCAAAAGGGAAGAGCAGCAAGCTCAGGCTGCACAGCGCGGGAGCTCAAGCCCAACTATGACGACACAATCTACGAACGGTCGTAGAGCGACACGTACTAGCATGATGTCCACTGCAACTCCTACAATGTCGGGCTCCAAACGAAAGTCGGATAGTTCCGAGGCAAGCAGCGTTAGAGCCCCAGCCGGTTCCAATAAGAGAGCACGCAATAATACCATCACATCATCATCATCTGCAAGGAGTACTGGTCGTCGTGCGAGTAATGCTAGGAAACGGTCGGATGAGACAGACGAGGATGGTAGTCAAGACGATGATGGAAGTCAGGATGAGGGTAACAGTCCTATTGAGAGAGACGATCAGCATCCTGCGAAGCCCCAACAAAGGAAACCAGAGACAGAAGAGGAGAAGCGAAGGAACTTCCTTGAGCGAAATCGACAAGGTGAGTTGGAATGATTCGACCGCTAAATGATCGTCATCGCTATTGACTCATTTACCACTAACTATTAGCCGCGCTCAAGTGTCGTCAGCGCAAGAAGGCTTGGCTTAACCAACTTCAGGCTAAAGTCGAATACCTTACTTCGGAGAACGAGCGACTGCTCAACACGACGGTTTCGATGCGTGAAGAGATCTCACGTTTGTCTGCCGTTGTCGTTGCCCATCGTGATTGTGGCCTCGGTGGTGTGAGCGTAGCACGATCAGAACAGCTTGTGGCAAACAATGCGCATGTCAAATCCATTGGTGGGGATGGGCATGTACCAAGCAATGCTCCCTCAATGGGTGGACATGGTTCAAGAGGCGCAGCTACTACCATAACCCCAGCGAGAAGAGGGACTGATAGGGGAGCAGGTGGTGCCGGTGTACCAGCAATGGTTTCTCCCGTTGGAGGTGGGGGGAAAGGTGGGAGGTATGCGTACTAGAAACCTTTTCGAAAGTTTCTTGGGGTTTTTTGTGATTTACTGTCGAACTTTTTCTTGTCGCTGCTTCTGCCTCCCTCCTTACCTCCTCCCACCTTGCTTTCCTGAATTATGCAGGATGCCAGACGTATCGTTTCGCCCCAAAACATGCTCCGCGAACGAGCGTTCTGGCCCACTCGTGTTTCCGACCTATTCTTACCTGACTTTTGTGTTGTAGCCCTTGACACTAATATCTGCTCTGTTGTAAAATGCTCTCCATGGAGACCTTTGCCTCCCACCTGTCACACCAGGTCACTTCCGCTTTCTTCACTGCGCCTGCCAGTCAACTGCATCCACACTCGCACACTGCAACTATTACTTCATACAATTCAAGGTAGAGTGGCCTGCTAACACCCTCGACAAAGCCTCTCCGCCTGCTATGTCGAACTTCTGGGTGGTTTCCCTCTTCCTGTCCTGTCGCATCCCCCATGCAGTCAATTACCGTCTTCGCCACTCCCACCCCACCCCCCCCCCCTCGACCTCATGTCCCGCATCCCTCCCACCAACACACCCCTCCATTGCAGAATTCTTGTTGCCTTTGGCGTCGGTGGTATTTTTTTCCTTACTCGTTTAACAGTTATTTGTGATTCCTTTTTCTTTACGTCTGCCCGTTCCATTCCTCTCTGTTCCACTCCTTGTCTATCTGTAGCTACCTTGGACGGACGGATATCCAAGCCAAGCTGAGTGAATATAACACAACATCTTTGCTACGTCCTTCGCTCCTTGCACCTCTGCAAATGTTGGGTGGCAGCTATTTTGGACATTCAGCTATCTGGGTGCTGTTACATGAACGGGCCGATTGAATCTAGTTCGGTTGACGGTGGAGAAGCGGTTTGCTGGTTTCTTTGAATATGCAAATGGAACCAAAGGTTTGGGTCGCACTTGATTATCTGGGTTAGGAGTACTTCTCCAGTCGAGATGCGCTAGAAAGCCGGTTGGGACTGTCAGGCGACTGCTTATGCTATATCGAGATGGCCAGCAGCAGTCTTTCAGTTTGCCCGTTGTCACCTGTACATGCTGCCGCGGATGGCTCTTGGAAAAGCGCCTTGCAGGTGGTATCTTTTTGAACACGTTTCGATCAGCGAACTTCAAATCGTGCTGACGCGTATCTTAGAATGCCTATACTACATTTGGGAAGGGAAGGGAAAAGTTCCAAGCCCGTAAGAAGTTGGAGCGTTGGTTAATTCGTATATAAGAACTTCTTCAACCGACTTCTTTTTCTTTACGCTAAAACTCGGCATGGTAAGCGTCGCGCGCGGGAAAGCGCAAGGCTTAGTACGTGCCAGTGGCTGGAATACGCAATGACGACGTTAAGGGCCCCTACTCTGGAATGTCATCTATGGCCAGGCATGGATCCGATGGAGTGCATGATCTGTGGGGTATGTAATATTGGACGCAAAGATTTGGCCAAGACCCCAAATCCTTACATGGGAGAGAAGCAGTTTGATTGGTTGTGCCGCGGTTGGAGTGAGCATTCATCGCTTGTCAGCAAGCAGGTCCATCACGAGGAGTTGCTCATTCTTTTATGCGGTCACCGGTAGTCCAATAATATGCGGATACTGGTGTTCATAGCATGTAGCAAGAGTAATCGCGTGTACTAGATGGACATTCTGGCACAAAGTTGAAATTGCTACTAAGCAACGGGGACTCGATATGGAAGACCTGCGAAGTATGCACCTAGATGCTGTGAAGTCCTTATAAAGCAGATAAGGAAGTACGGTGATCATTCTGATAGGCGATTCTAAAAAGAGAGCCGTGCTATTTGGAAATAAAGCTGTTGTTCTGTATACGAGCTAGCTATTCGGTGGCTCCCGGGGCTGAATTGCATCTAGCACAAAGAGCCACACTTTCTTCAAAGCGCGCCAGTTGTTTCTTTCCTGGATCAGCTGTCTGGGGGAGGGGGGGGCTGGGCCCATCTAGCCCGAACCACTAGGCTAAGCGCAAGAGTTTATAGACCTGCTTTTAGGAAGCGCAGTTACATAGATTGATTGGCCGAGTTCTTCGGGGATAGCGATCCGTTGCCAAAAGAGTATTTCTGTTTTTCCTGGTCAGATGGGCAAGTTCGCTTGGGGTTGAGAAGTTTGCCGAGGCCGCGGCCCACCCGTGCAAGTTCCGTGATCGAATCTGACAGGTGATTCATTATAAGCGCCGAGCCTGGAGGAGGGAAAATGCATTAATTTGTAGCCGCCGAGGCCAGCTACAAAATCAAAGGTTTTTGTCGATAACGTCATCACTACCTCATAGGGTAGCATAAATTAAATCTTCTGGAACTCTATTGCCCCTTTTTCCTTGACTACGGAAATGGCCGAGCGCCCAGCTTCGTCGTCGACGCCCCATGCATGGGTCACGTGCCAAGCCGAAAGTCTTTGGCCCAATTTAAGTTGCTCGGCCTCGAGGCAAGGGCTGAACGCCTCCTGACTTTACTCAAGCGACTCAGGATCGTACTCCACTTCTTACAGGGCCTCCTAATCACAGGAATGAGCTTTTCCCAATCTGATGTTCTTAATGCCATTCTGACCTGGGGCGATTGGCAAACCCGGTTACCTGATGTGGGAGTACGTATCCCAATTCAAACTACTTGACACCCTTACATTCCGCGTAGAATGCATCTAATAACGCGTCTATTTTGTGCGGTCACGGTATTGGGTATACTTATTGTATAGACGAAACTTCCTGCGTCGCTTCGTCGAGCCGATGCACGAGCATTCTCGAACAAGCTTGTCGACACATGCACCCGTGCTCAAGCGTTACGTGCAGCAGATACCAATCTACGGATAAACATCGAACGGTTAGATCGCGTCAAAGTGTCCTTAGTCTTATCTCGCTACCGGACATTGTCCCTCCTGCATCACGTCCTTTCGAATACGAATCCAGATGGGGTCTTCCGTTGGGAGATGCCACGATATGGCGAAATAAAGCCTGTGAGAGGGTGGACTTCACCATGGGCTCTTCGCCAAGACTCTCAACTGCTGATTGGAGTTTGGATACACGGATTTGGAAATTGGTTTGCCATTCAGCGTGACCAACGTCTGGGATTGGCATTGAAATCTTTGGCGAATCCTCAGGCTCGATCTTGGGATGAGCATGAGAATCAAGTTTTATTGAGTCAACGCGCAGAATATTTACTGGAACATTTGCTGAAGGTGCAAGAACTACAGGATGCCGATTCTCATGGTACGCACAGGCCACAGAAACGTTTTTGTGGATGGTTTTGATGATTTGCACTTATCATATCTGTAGGAAAGGGGAGGGGAAAGTATGAGGAGGGTAGCCCAATGCAGATCGATCCACCCCCGTAAGTTCGTTACGTTGGGTGGCAGCACGCTGTACTTCGAATTTATCGAGCGCACCAATAGACTCCTGGCCGCTAAGACTTCATCGTCTGCAGCTGCTGTCGCGGGCCCTCGAACGCAGCACAAATGGGACTTAGGGGCACTTCTCAGCAAGGTACAAGCGATACTCAACTCCAACACATGTTATCGCTGATTTATATAAACATTTTACATGCAGTGAAACGACTCGTATCTCCATCTCTGCCCAGCGGCCTGGTCCGTTCTGCCCGGCCACCCGAAAATGCCCGCTCCATCCCATCCTTACCTCCATCGAGTGTAAGAATGGCTGGCACGGATGCCTCTACCTCCGGCTCGGAAGGATCCTCGGACATCGAATGCATCCCGGGCCCATCTAATCCCAATCTCCGAAATGTAGTCGATATGACAAACATAGACGAGGAATATGCTGACCCAGATGAAGTTGTTTTGGTTGGGTATCGTGGTCCTAATTTCAAGATCACCATTGTACCTCGGAAGGATCCTGCCATTCCGAATTCTTCTTATTTAGCGAAGCGGACGAGAGAGGAAGCTGTAGAAAGTGAACCCCCTCCTGACGATACAATGATGGAGGATTTGACGATTGATGAGGTGTGTACGACTGGGAACTAGGCACACTAATAGATCCCCTTCTTACTGACCATATTTTGACCTTTAATTATGCAAGCAACTTCCCCCTGCCTCGGGACCACCACCTAAACGGATTAGAAGTCCAGAGAAACTTGTTCAAGTGAAGGAATCGCCCCCGCCCCCGCCCAACGCCACGACGGGCGCGGACGAACCCACCCGACCGGATGCGCTGATTCCGCCTGGGTGGCGGACTAGGGACCCAGAGAAATTTGTCGGATGGAGGGTCACCCCATCACCGTCGCCCGAGCAGGCAACAGATCCTAAGCAGGCTGATCAATCGAGATTGCCACCATTCCATCTTAGAAAAACTGCTTCTTCAGCAAGACTCAACCAAATAAGGGAGCCCTTAACACTGCTATCACTCAAAAAGACTGAAAATCCCGTTCAGGCGAACGTGGTACCGTCAGCTGAGCCTCGGACATCCTCTGCAGCGGCGCCAGGGGCCGTGGCGTCTTCATTCACTCCAACTCCTTCGCTTTCTCCGGCCGCCTCTCAGCCACAGAGGGCCGCGTCGTCTGCTTCCCGACCTCTGCAGCTGGGTACTTCGTCTGCGACCACCCTGGACCCACCCATCGCCCCCTTGGCCACCACCCGCTCTAGCTTCATTAGCCCTACTGTCCACTCCTCTTCCTCTTCCCCTCTTTCTCGCCGGAGCCGGCCTGTTCCAGAACAGGCCAATCCTGCAAGCCCATCCAATCAATCTCGTCAAATGAACACGACAATTGCACTTCCATCTCCTATGCGTGCTCCGGAGGCTGATATTTCTGCATCTCCACTGCAACTCTCAAGTCCTGTCCAACCTCCGCCGTCAACTTCAAGTCAGAAGTTAAAGATCTGTAGAGATTGGAACCGGAGAGCCCGAGCAGCTGGAGCTACGGGCAGTATCACGTTCGTCAATGATGATTTTGAGGATGATGAGATGTACCCTCGTGGTCTCGAGCAGTTTGAATACCTTGAAATGTCCTTTCATCCGTGCGTTCTACACCCCGTTTTTCTTTCTTTTTGCTCGCAATTTACGGATCCATGTGTATATGGTTTAATGCACAGGGACTCTGATTCTGCATATTGGGACGCAGTTAATCTGGACGAGGCGTTCTTCCTCCGATGTACTCACGAGCGGTGCCGGGTTAATAGGCCGTGGGAGTGCGATTGTCAGGCCGATTCTTCTATGAAGGACAAGAGATTGGCGTATTCTGAACGGGTATTGTCAATTTTTCCATCTCGTTAATTGGGCAGGCTTACCGCCGATCTTTTCGCATCGCGTTAGAGTTTATTCCGATTCAATAATTACGACGATAATGATTGTCGTGCCGAGGTGATAGAGTGCAATAAGGTGAGAGCCCGGAATACTGTTCCCGCGGTATGCTCCTCGGTGGCTCTGCGGGTGTGGCTCCAGAATGTGACGACTGACAGAGTTTCGGCCCACCTTATTAGCACTGCCGATGTAGAACAGATTGCTTAAATCGAGCGAGTCAGCGACCTCGATCGTTCGATGTTCATATATTTAAAACGTCGCACTGCGGATGGGGCGTTCGGTCCCCGCAGCTCGTTTCGAAAGGCGCCGTTCTTGGTATTTTCACCGGGTACGAGTACTATTCCTATGTCAATCCTCTTGAGCTGTGTTGTTGAGACATACTATTGATCAGCAAGATCGTGTAAGGCACATTTGTCCCGTACCCATCCTGCCACTTCACCGAACCACCTTTCCACGCAGCACACGAGATTCGTTTCATGATGACGAGCCTGGGGAACTTTATGCGTTCGACATAGACGTCGGTGAGGCGGAAGTTAACAGGCAGTTTACGCGGTACAGTGTGGATGCCACACATTGTGGGAATTGGACTCGATTCATAAAGTCAGTCTCTCTTGTTTAAAATGCGCTCTTTTGTTAGGGTGCGTGTGTTGGGCTGTCATTGATGTGTCTCTATGGGGGTCGTAGCCATTCGTGCGACCCGAATATCCTTGTATACAGTGCGGCAGTGGAAGTACCGCCCTCCGTAAGTACTTCTCCCAATCCACTGCGATGACTTTCCTTACTGCGTAATATTTGTTATTAACGTAGATGGGGCTCAGTCGTATAGTATTTGCGGCTTGCCGAGATATTCCACCTATGCAAGAGTTTTCGTTTGACTATAGTCCAGCAGCCCAACACATGATAGATCGTCATTCGCATACCTCTAATCACGACAAAATACCATGTCGTTGTGGAACGTCTAGTTGTCGGGGATTTCTGTTCAACTAGGATCAATTTTTCTTGCGTACACATAGTTATCGATGTAATATAGCACATATATGTAATCTCATTGCCCCCGACCATTTCATGCGTGTTTACAATGGCATCTTGTGCCCCAAGCACTGTCCAGATAATTGACATTCATAGATGAATGACTAATTTGACCAAATATAACTCTTCAACATAGATACACATAGATTAGAATACTCATGAATCGTGGTCATTCGTCTTCGCCTTCATCCATTTCGAGATTTTCCTGACTCGCCGCTGCCTCCTCTTCCTCTTGCCTTTTAACCTTGAAGGATGGATACTTTTCTTTGTCGGGGACTGCAGGTCGAGTGGGAATCATAGGCTCACGGATATTAAACACTTCGATAGCCCTCTTCACAGATAGTTGAGACGACTTCAAGCACAAAAGGGGCAAGAGGACTAACCTTCCAGGTGTCCATGTCAAACTCTAATACAGATTGTCTCCTCTGGAGATTTTCATCGTAATCTTTTTGCGTGGGCGGGTCACATCGGTCTGGCACATGGCAGTCAAGAACGGAGGAGGACGACGGCTTCAGATATACCCACAAACTATTGGTTCTTTGTTCTCGCTGATATCCCATGCAGCCTTACCGTCACGAATAAGAAAGGAAAAATAGAACAAATTTTCCACTGATTGTTCAAAGCTATGAGGATTTATTATGAATTTGAAGTAGTTGACTGAACCGGACTGTTCAAGAAGATTGCCGATCTGAACAATTATGAGACCAATGAGAGATACAAAACGGTGAATCCTACTTTCTCGACATTCGCTGCCGTTTCATTCTCATTTTTCTTCACTTCCGCTGGATCAACCTGCCGGAGAGCTGGTTAGGGGGTGGATCTGATAGATGAAGAACTCTCTTACATCCTGAGTTGTCACTTGCTTCGATGGATCTCTGTCGATCTTATTGAAGGCTCTTTTGGTTGTGCGCTTCTTCTGTTCCGCAGATATTGGACCCATCCTGAATGGGAGAATGCTCGCGAATTTTAAAAAGTGACAATTACGTGTATCCCACTCACATGAAGCTTGCTCCGGTGGCCCTTCTGCTTTTCGCTAACGCCAGGTACCCAATCTTGTCCCAGTTCAACATAACTTCACCATCATCTTCATTATCTCCATCATGATTTTCATTTCCACCGGCCGGTTGAATACCCATGAAATTGACAAGTTTTGAGATGAAGTCTTCAACGTCGAACCCGCCGACACTGTGCTTCATCGCACGCGCTTTCATGGCTGTCATTTCTGATAAATTCATCACAGCCTTGGAGTCGAGCGTCGCCTCTTGGGCACGTTTTACTAAACCACGGAGGGGTGAAGGGACCGTCATACAGAACCCAATTCCTGAACTCACCTCCGCCGAACATTGAATCCAACTGGCTAAGATCATGCATAAGGTCCGGAACGTGAACAGCATTGATGTTCGCGCGCGATTCTAAACGTCCATTCAGCGGCTAGGGAAGCACAGAGCGCCCCCTGGCTTACCGGCTTGGGTGGCAAGGACTTCACGATACTGCTTTCTAATTTGCCGAGTCTCAGCGGGATCCATTTCTGGATCGTACACCATCGGCTCCTCCTTCTCGTCTACTTCGTCTCTGAATTCTCCTCGGCTCATTATGGAAGGCCTAAGAGTTAAACGCCCTTAACGGAGTACACGATCCACGTTCAGCACACAATTTGTGACGCGTCCGACACGTGTATTGATCGTTCAGTGGATTTTCTTGAGGACCAATTGAAAACACGCCCGCCCATGACGCGTGACATGGTTTGAACTTTAACTGGGACGTTCCGCAAGCCATACTAATACTTTAAGAAATCCCATAATAGACGTTTCCTCCCTTCGGAGCTCACCAATGCATCTAAAGAGCACCAGCCGACTGTACTTAGCAATACTCCGGGTAATTTTACATTGGAGATCATGTGTGTTAATTTATCCGCACTGCCTCCTACTTGAGCAGGAAGTGGCGGCATAGTTCTTGCACTACTGACGTTTACTTTTGCAGATGCAACATGGAGGAGCTCGATCAGATACTCACGGATGTTCGCCAGGCAAGCCCCCGGTGGGCTCTATTCTCTGGGCGGTACTAATTAGTTTGGCAGGGCTGCGGCCAAGTACCCATCTACAAGTATATGTTTAAACAACTGCGCCAACGGTGCACCGAAACCGTCCTTGCGATTCAAGATTTGGACGAATCCTCGAGTCCCCCACCGGAAGAACAAGCTAGAGTCTTGCACTCCCTTTATGAGTACGGGATTAGTCAGCCTCCAATTTCTCAATCTAACTGATCCCCCAGGTTATTTAAGAACGTAAAAGAGTCTACGCATTCCTGGAACCAATTGGGCACGATATTAACCTTAGTAAATCAGCAACGTATTAGCTCGTCCTTGACACGATGGGTTGAAGAGCTTGGGAAATCACTACATCCGATCTCGGTGACACGAATGTTGGTTATGAATTTATTAGTTTCTCACTACTTCGCTGCAGGACGTTCTAGCCATAAACTTCCCGAAATGGGCAACCGAATTCTCCAAGGCTTGGATATTAGATCACGCTGCCCTGAAGGAGAGTTTGTCAACATTGCTCCTGGACATCAGCCAGGTTCCTTCCATATTGGGACTGAATCGTGCTGATCAAGACCTACTACTCAGCAATTTAAGGTTCACTTTCTCTTTTCTCTCATGTTCATGTGCGAACCCTCTCTCCCAGGAGTTGTTATCAAATTCTCCGATGGAAATGGCGGAAAAATACTCGGAGAGAATCATGGCGCTATCAAAGCCTCAACCCGGAGCACTTATCGATTTAACCGAACGAGTTAGGTTATTAGGGGATCGACCGATACATTCAGGTAGAGCCCTATTTTCTTCTGCACGTGGAAGTTGAAGAACAATAAGACCCCTTCAAGGCTTCCTTTCCGAATTTTGGCTGGGGGGACCTCGAGCGGAAGCCTGGTCACCGTCAAGTTATACCATGGCAACTTTGACTCCAAAAATTCAAAAAATGTGAGAAAACTATCTCCATAATCAAATCTTGTTTCAAGTTGAATAGGGCGGTCAAACTAGGACTATATTCTCCGGGAGGCCAAAATTGCCGTTCAGCTCTCCCATCCCCATCTATTACCCCATTACGGTATCATTCGCGTCGGTGACCGAATAGGAGCTGTTACTCCGTATATGAAGCAAGGAAACTTGATAAGCTATATTCAAGCCTATCCCGACCTCGATACTGTGGGCTTAGTAAGTCGATATTGCTGAGGCAAGCCCCGTAATAACCCTTGTAGTGTTATGAAACTGCCCTTGTGCTGCAATACTTACATTCAAAAAATGTTATACACGGGAACGTGCGGCCTGTATGCATTCCATTATCCTATATCCGCTATTTAATCGACCTAGGTTCCACGTAGATCAGCGTACTTATTTCCGATCAAGGCTCAGCAGTTCTAAGCTCGTTGGTCTTCGCGGGTCCTGCATCGAGGCACGTTCACCCCGGGGAGAAGGCGTCAGGAATTTCTCGTCCCCAATCAATCGTTTGGGAGGACATTTTTGAGCACAGGGTGTTCTCGTACAGGCGAGCGAATGCTCACGATGATACCAGAGACTTTGGTGGGCTCATGGCAACGGTGTGCCAAATATCGTCTTTCCTTGTTTGCTGACTCGTAGCTAATTACATCTGGTTAGGCTCTCATAAAATCTTCCCACCACCGAAAATCATTTGTTCGTAGGGAGACCTCACTCACAGGGGATCCCCAGAGTGGTTTTTTCCCAATGATCCGGACAGGGCAGTTCTATGGGATGTGATGACGGGTTGTATTGGAGGCCGATGTACGATAGATTATGCAGTCAGCAGGCTGGCTCCCATTGTGTCGGCTCGGCCTTCCCGCCAAATCCCCGTCGCTGAGGACGGACTTTCGCCGCTTCGCGACTTGAGTGCGGAGATCAAAGTATCAGATCGCATCCCAGTCACTGGAGGAGGATTTTGTGACATTTGGCTTGGGGAGAGACTCGGGAAAGAAATGGTAGCGCTCAAGGTCCTCAAAACATATGGGGTTCCCAACCAGATACGGAGGGTTTGTGCGCCGTCTCTAGTTAATTTGCCCCTATCGTAACCTCCCATTCAGAGGTTTTTGAAAGAAGCTGAGCTTTGGTCTGGTCTCGACCATCCCAACATTCTTAAATTTTACGGGATTTGTGAACTGGGGACATCGACAGCAATGGCAAGCAGAGATGTTTGTGTTGTTCGCCGCCTTCTCCTCATACCTTCATTCTAGGTGTCCCCCTGGCTCAAAAATTCAAATGTGATTCATTATATGGCGACAATCAACCCTCATGCGAACCGGTTAAAACTGGTAAGGATGTTTTTGCAGTTCACATGGCAGGGACTGATTGGACCGTGCCTATTATTTATGATAGTTAGAAGGGGCCGCAGAGGGATTGCTGCATTTACACACATATTCTCCTCCAATAGTACATGGAGATCTCAAATGCGTTCGTGCTCTCGCATTCAAGTTGGATCGCAATCTCAGTGTGGTTTCTAGGCGAACATACTTGTCAATGACGACGGATCAGCTTGTTTAGCCGACTTTGGATTATCGAAGGCTCATGAAGAAGTGACGTCTCTCAGTCTCAGAGATGCTGGTTCTCAGAGGTAGCTTCCTTAAATTCGTTTATTGGATCATTGGACTTGGAATCTCTGGCAGATACATGGCTCCCGAACTTTTTGAAGGCCCGGAGACGACAATATACCCTTAAAATCTCTAGCTAGCGACATTTATGCGTTTGGCCAAGTGATGCTAGAGGTGCGCTTCCTTGTTTATACGCAGGATAATACTCACGCCTGTGGGTCCTGGTGTCGCAGCTACTCTCCGGCCAAAGACCATTTTACGAGCTCCGTCATGAAAGTATGATATACCTTGCGATAGCCAGGGGTGACAGACCTACAAGGCCAGACAATGAAATCTCAAAATTTTGGCTGACCGATCCAGTTTGGAACTTTATACAGGGTATGCCCTCCCCTTCGTCATTTCGCATCATTCGTGATGAGGCCTGTGTCTTTTAAGAACTTACCAATGTGCGGAAAGAGTGCCGACCATCGGCCCTGGAGGCTCTCCAAGCAATCCAGGCACTACAGGTCGTGCATGCTCCGGATGTGTTTGACACTCATACCATGGATCTCGAGCAGACAAGCACCAGGCAAACATGAAATTCTATCAAATACTTCAAGCTCAACAACACGAGGTTATCATGTTCTCCTGCCCAAATAGGTTTTAGTTGATTTAGTTGAAAGTATGCCTAATATAAATTCTCCCCAGTTTATTCCAACAAGAGAGAGCTAGCAGGGCTCCAGCCTCTGTGGCTTCGTAACAATATATAGGCAAACGGCTCATTGGAATGCGAACCCCAACGAGCTAGCAAAGTCATCAGGGTAACATCCATCCGTGAGTCAATGATAAGAGATTGTTAAGCAATAGAGAAAGTGAAGGACAGGGAGAGTGTGTGTAGTTCATAGCTGGCGACCGGGCCATGCCCAGCTCCAAGCTGAATATGTCAACACTCAGTTGGGAGACCTTTTATTCAGTGCAAATAATCCTTGATTTAATGTTTTTGCGTGGCAGAAACGACGACTGGGGGAGGATGGGAACGTACATGCGTACGTGGATATCACAACGAGCATCCTGTCTTCCACAGAAGAAAAAGGAATACAAACGCGCGAGAAAGGTGGGTAAGCCTCAGTCCGCCGACAAAGCCACCATGGAAGGAAGAGTCGAGTCGAATATATTTCCACGATCCTTGCGTCTTTGAGCGCATTATGCAGCGTTGTGTTTTTCACAGTTGTAGAGAATGTACTCCAAGAACGGCAGAACAAGAACCGGAGGCATACATCAATCGACAATGAACTAAACAATAAAAGTGCTCACATTATCCATTCTGGGTCCAGCTGGGAGACCAACAGAAATTACCATCAGTGAGTCTCCACAAGTAGCGACAAAAATGAGCAAAACTTACCGAGGATAATTCGGTCCATTCGCCCGCAGAGACTCTCACAAATGGAGTCTCACAAAGGGGCGGGGAACGGCAGGGGACGAGTGATTGAATTAAAATTCTTATCCGAATCGCCTGCACTGCCTCCCACTGATTACTCTGTGCGGGACCCTGGACGAGTGGCGGAATAGTTTTGCACTACTGAGGTTTGCTTTTGCGGATACAACATGGAGGAGCTTGATCAGATACTCACGGATGTTCGCCAAGTAAGTTTCTGGTGGGCTCTATTCTCTGGGCGGTACTAATTGGTTTAGCAGGGCTGCGGCCAGGTACCCATTACAAGTATATGTTTAAACAACTGCGCCAACGGTGCACCGAAGCCGTCCTTGCGATTCAAGATTTGGACGAATCCTCGAGTCCCCCACCAGACGAACAAGCTAAAGTCTTACACTCCCTTTATGAGTACGGGATTAGTCAGCCTCCAGTTTCTCAATCTAACTGATTCCCCAGGTTATTTGAGAACATAAGAGAGTCTACGCATTCCTGGAGCCAATTGGGCACGATATTAGCCTTAGTAAATCAGCAACGTATTAGCTCGTCCTTGGCACGATGGGTCGAAGAGCTTGGGAAATCACTACATCCGATCTCGGTGACACGAATGTTGGTCATGAATTTACTAGTTTCTCACTATTTCGCTGCAGGATGTTCTAGCCATAAACTTCGCGAAATGGGCAACCGAATTCTCCAAGGCTTGGATATTAGATCACGCTGCCCTGAAGGAGAGTTTGTCAGCATTGCTCCTGGACATCAGCCAGGTTCCTTCCATATTGGGACTGAACCGTGCTGATCAAGACCTACTACTCCGGCAATTTAAGGTTCACTTTCTCTTTTCTCTCATGTTCATGTGCGAACCCTCTCTCCCAGGAGTTGTTATCAAATTCTCAGATGGAAATGGCGGAAAGATACTCGGAGAGAATCATGGCGTTATCAAAGCCTCAACCTGGAGCACTTATCGATTTAACTGAACGAGTTAGGTTATTAGGGGATCGACCGATACATTCAGGTAGAGCCCTATTCTTTTCTGCACGTGGAAGTTGAAGAACAATAAGACCCTTCCAAGGTTCCTTTTCCGAATTTTGGCTGGGGGGACCTCGAGCGGAAACCTGGTCACCGTCAAATTATTCCATGGCAGCTTTGGCTTCCAAGCCGATTCCGGGAATGTGAGAAAGCTATTTCCACGGTCAAATTTTGTTTCAAGTTGAATAAGGCGATCAAACTAGGACTATATTCTTCGGGAGGCCAAAATTGCCGTCCAGCTCTCCCATCCACATCTATTACCCCATTACGGTATCATTCGCGTCGGTGACCGAATAGGAGCTGTTACTCCGTATATGAAGCAAGGGAACTTGATAAGCTATATTCAAGCCTATCCCGACCTCGATACCGTGCGCTTAGTAAGTCGATATTGCCGAGGCGAGCCCCGCAATAACCCTGTTTGTAGTGTTATGAAACTGCCCTTGTCCTGCAATACTTACATTCAAAGAGTGTTATACATGGGAACGTGCAGCCTGTACGCATTCCATAACCCTATGTCCGCTGTTTAGTCGACCAAGGTTCCACGTAGATCAGCGTGCTTATTTCCGATCAAGGCTCGGCAGTTCTAAGCTCATTGGTGTTTGCGGGTCCTGCATCGACGGACGTTCGCCCTGGGGAGAAAGCGTCGGGACTTTCCCGTTCCCAATCAATAGTTTGGGAGGACGTCCTTGAGCACAGGGCATTCTCGTATGGGCGAGCGAATGCTAACGGTGACATCAAAGACTTTGGTGGGCTCATGGCAACGGTGTGCCAAATGCTGCCTCCCCCTTGTTTGTTGAATCATAGCTTATTCCATCTGGTCAGGCTCTCATAAAATCTTTCCACGACCGAAGATTATTTGTTCGTAGGGAGACCTCACTCACGGGGGATTCCCCAAAGTGGTTTTTGCCCAATGATCCAGACAGGGCAGTTCTATGGGATGCGATGACGGGTTGTATTGAGGGCCAATATACGATGGATGATGCAGTCAGCATGCTGGCTCCCATTGTGTCGGCTCGACCTTCCCGCCAAATCCCTGCCGCTGAGGACGGACTTTCGCCGCTTCGCGACTTGAGTGCGGAGATCAAAGTATCAGATCGCATCCCAGTCACTGGAGGAGGATTTTGTGACATTTGGCTTGGGGAGAGACTCGGGAAAGAAATGGTAGCGCTCAAAGTCCTCAAAACATATGGGGTTCCCAACCAGATACGGAAGGTTTGTGTGCCATCTCTAGTTAGTTTACCCCTATCGTAACCTCCCATTCAGAGGTTTTTGAAAGAAGCTGAGCTTTGGTCTGGTCTGGATCATCCCAACATTCTTAAATTTTACGGGATTTGTGAACTGGGGACATCGACAGCAATGGCAAGCAGAAATGTTTGTGTTGTTCACCGCCTTCTCCTCATACCTTCATTCTAGGTGTCCCCCTGGCTCAAAAATTCGAATGTGATTCATTATATGGCGACAATCAACCCTCATGCGAACCGGTTAAAACTGGTAAGGATGTTTTTGCAGTTCACATGGCAGGGACTGATTGGACCGTGCCTATTATTATTATTTATGATAGTTAGAAGGGGCCGCAGAGGGATTGCTGCATTTACACACATATTCTCCTCCAATTGTGCATGGAGATTTAAAATGCGTTCGTACTCTCGCATTCAAGTTGGATCGCAATCTCAGTGTGGTTTCTAGGCGAACATACTTGTCAACGACGACGGATCAGCTTGTTTAGCCGACTTTGGATTATCGAAGGCTCATGAAGAAGTGACGTCTCTCAGTCTCAGAGATGCTGGTTCTCAGAGGTAGCTTCCTTGAATTCCTCTATAGGATCGTTAGACTTGGAATCCCTGGCAGATACATGGCTCCTGAACTTTTTGAAGGTCCGGAAGACGACAATATACCCTTAAAGTCTCTCGCTAGCGACATTTATGCGTTTGGCCAAGTGATGCTAGAGGTGCGCCTCCTTGTCTATATGAGAAATAATACTCACGCCTATGGGTCCTGGTGCGGCAGCTGCTCTCCGGCCAAAGACCATTTTACGAGCTCCGTCATGAAAGTATGATATACCTTGCGATAGCCAGGGGTGACAGACCTGCAAGGCCAGACAATGAAATCTCAAAAATTTGGCTGACCGATCCAGTGTGGAACTTTATACAGGGTATGCCCTCCCCTTCGTCATTTCGAATAGCCATTTGTAATGAGGTTTGTGTTTTTTAAGAACTTACTAATGTGCGGAAAGAGCGCCGACCATCGGCCCTGGAGGTTCTCCAAGCGATTCAGGCAGTACAGGTCTGCATGCTCCGGAAGTGTTCGACACTCATACCATGGATCTCGAGCAGACTAAACAATAGGGAGAGTAAGGAGGAAGGACAGAGAGAGGGACAGAGAGAGTAGTTCATAGCTAGCGACCGGACCATGCCCAACTCCAAGCTGAATACATCAACACCCAAGTTGGGAGACCTTTTTTTATTCAGTACAAATAATCCTTGATTCAATGTTTTTGGACGACTGGGGGAGGATGGGAACGTACATATGTAAGTGGATATCAAAAAGGAAATACAAACGCGCGAGAAAGGTGGGTAAGCCTGAGTCCGCCGACAAAGCCACCATGGACATCCGGCCTTGGGTCGAAGGCGTAAAGGGGGGATGCAGGGGATGAGAGGGGCGGTATCACCATTACTGGGAGCGGGCCAGGAAGGAAGAGTCAGCTAAGCCAAGTCATATTGGGATGGCCTCAGAGTGCCTCCGAGATTAGAAGAGATTGTTGAGTGACATGACCAAATCTGGGGGCGCATGATCGTGGCAACTGCCTGGGAGCGCCTCTGAGTGTCATCCGAGTTCGGAAAGTGTGGTAAAGTGACATGGCCAAGTCGGAGATGTATGATCCTGGGTGGACGGTAGCTAGCTGGCGGTAGGTTTATGTAGCGCTTTCTTCGATGGACAGGAGCGCCCCGAGTGCCGTCCGGAATTGACAAGAGCATTATATAGATTGTTGAGTGACATGGCCAAGTTGGGGGCGCATGATCTTGGCTGAATAGTGGCTGGGTTTTACGCTTTCTTCAATGAATGGGAGCGCCCTTAGAGTGCCGTCCGATTTCCGAAAGAGCGTCATGTTCACTGCTGAGGGGCGTATGATTGTGGGCGAACAGGGACTACCTGGCAGTAGAGTCTAACGCTTTCTTCGATGAACGGAGGCGCCTCAGAGTGCTGCCTGAGTTTGGAAAGAGCGATACACAGAATGTCGAGTGACATGGCCAAAATTGGGGTTGCATGATTGTGGGTAAACTGCATCTAGTTGGTGGTAGGGCTGAACGCTTTCTTTGGTGAACGGAAGCACCTCCGAGTACTGTCCGAGACAGAGTTTCCAGCTCCCGTTAATGAATGGGAACGCCTCGAGGTGCCATCCGAGTTAGGAAAGAGCGCCGCACCGATAGAGTCAAGTCGTGGGCATATGATCCTGGGTGAGCAGCGGCTAGCTGGCGGTAAAGTTCAGCACTTTGTTCCATGAATGGGGGCGCCTTGGAATGGAGTGACGTGGCCAAATCAGAGCCGTGTGATCTTGGCCAATGCCAGATTTGGTGCTGTCTTCAATGGATGGGAGTGCCTCGAAATGCCATCCAAGTTTGGAAAGAGTCTCACAGATTTGGCATGACCAAATCCGGCACGTAGGACCCTGAATCTGTGGAAACAAGGCAACAACGGAATCGTTTGCTGCCTCGTATGCCGCTTGAAATCTTGAAAAAACCAGGTCTGCTGAACCCATGTTGGTCAGATAGCACTACCTGAGCAGCCAAGTGCAAATCATAAGCTAGTTTCAACAACACTATTGATGATCCTTACCTTAGCCCACTCAGGGCGTAGCGAGATACTAATGTAACCTTCTATTCTCACACAAACTTCCACCTTGTTGGCTGAGAAACAAGCGAACTATCCCATCACTCCATTGAGGTGATAAACTACATGAACGACATACGAAATGAAAGTGCTTGGACAATTGTTCTGGAGGAAAGAAGGCAGCTCATCCTGTTTGGACATGTTCTGAACCAGAGGCCCTAGAGCAAGGATCCTAGTTCAAAATCGCGATGCGTCGCAGGGCAACTCTGGGATTCTCTGTCTTCCCGTCTACGAAACAACAATGGAAGTTGTTTAGGGATTCATTGAGCTCACAATAAAGTTACGGAAGGATTGATGTAGGACGCGAATCGGGATGCAACTCCTGAAAGGACAGGAGCAAGAATGCTTGCAAGCGATTCATCACTCGGCAGAAACATTTGATCGTTCGGCACCTGCGTCGAGCAAGCTGTCTAGTGTCCTCATAGGGTCCCTGTTGGTCACTTTCACGTAGCGAAAGACGGCGCTGATACAAATAAACAAACTGCCTGCTCGTTTTAGGATTTCTTGTACCACCTGATCCTCGTCCGAAGATTGTGCCGCAAAATAAGGATGCCATTCCTTCAGCTTTTGCAGCTGGAAATGTATGTGTCTGGCACAGTCCTGCGCGTTTGCGTCATCCGAGAGACCAATGGTGAGACGATCGAGGAGCAATTCACAAGATCGAATTGTCTGGATGTGCCAATAACGAATTTCATGGAAAATGATAATCTCCGCACTTCCTCCCAAAGGATGTCGGGGAGGGGCTCAAGTGCTGCTTTGTCGCATTCATCGGAAGCATCAATGATGATGACCATAGGATGATTGGAAGGCGGAGGTTTACAGAGGAGAGGCGAACCAATTTATTGAACTGCATCGTGAATGGAGCTGTTAAGAGAGTAGGGTCTCCCGAATAGCAGAGACAATGAAAGTGCGATAAACCAAATTACAGTTTGCCAGAGTCCAAGCCATGCCGCTGGACAAACAATCAGGCCGCGACTGCTGTACCCCTGCCTTGAAGAAGCATAGTGACAGTCTGGTTTCTTTTTCGCAACTTCGTGTGCGCAACTGAAGCCGGCCACAGCGGTCAGCAGCATTCACGCCATCCCTACCAGTGTTATGACGCCAAGCCATGATATTCTCGGTGAGACCGACCCTAGTGCCTTCTAGGCATGCCTCAGTTGAATCATGGCAGGGTATCAGAGTCCATCAAGAATCATGGTCTTGACCATTTTCTATGGCCGATAATTTGTTAGGCTTGTCCTAAGCAGCATTAACCGGAAACAACACGGTTACGGAACAGTGAGTCCATGTCAAAATCTTTCTTTAGACCATCAATCCTTCCTAGTCGGACAATACATGAAAGCCGGTCGTTTCGATTGATTTCCGCGCGCTTGATATTGCCAACAATGAATTATAATACAACTTACCTCTACCCTTCTCCCGCTGACGTATCGTATGACAGCTGCAAACTAGTGTGAGCCCTCGTTCACAACCAGGTACAAGTCATCGCCAACTTTGACCTCGTTGAAGATGAAGAGTGCCACGCCAGTCGCGCTCTTCAGTAGGGGACACCATCTAACCGTAGCATCGACCACCGTGAGAATTGTACGTCGCCAAACGCTGCCAGGAGATCATCAATCTTCCTCCTGAGAGCTCTAGCTTTTGCAATGGGGTGGCCGATAGCGAACAAGTCAATTTAGGCGCGCAACACACGGGGTGCGGCCTCCTAAAGCTCGGGGCCGCGAGGCCGTTGTACGATTATGGAAGATCAAGGACAAATATCATAGATGCATGTGGTGAAGGCCGAACACTCTGATCCGATATCGTTTGCGAAGCCTGACATGTGCGATACCATGGCACGGATTGGTTATTTAAATAATTAGGCCGAAGCTTGTAATGAGTCCTCTTATCTCCTGCACGAGAGCGGGTTTCACCAGGGGACTGGTCAGACCACTGGAAACTGCAGTCGGTGTGTTCAACTGAAATATCTGAGTCCGCTCGTTTGTTTGTTTGTTGTTTGGTTAGGGTCTGAGTCCCGGCTCAGTCCGCACGCCCAGCGAAACAGCACATAAACATGGGCACGATTGTGTGCGGAGCCTATCCTGAGCCGTTCAGTTAAAGCTGGTATTTTGAGTGATGCGACACATAAGAACGTGTTACAGACAACAACATATTAACAGGAATGAAGGGGACCAGTGATCTGATCCCGCCACGAGTATAGAGCGGGTCGACGTCGCAGCGGCAGCTCGAACAACTCAATGATCGATAATAGAAATGTTACCCGAAACGAGTTCTAAGTGTAGCGAATGAGCCAATACCGCGCTGGCGAGGAATGAGCTGAATTACTCACTGTTCTCAAGGATGGAACCATCAGGGAGATCAATCCGCGATCCCTCGTTCGCGACGATGATCACAGTCCCACGTAGGGTAATATTACGGCCGAACCAAACATCGCCCTATTAATAACAGACGATTGAACGGCCGTCAGCAGTCCAACCCCGAAAATTGTAAAGTGGACAGGACACACCGCAACCGTCAAATGATCCAACTCGAGAATATTCGGCACCGTACGGAAACGTTTCTGGAAGTTAGCAATCTTCTTGAATGTATCGCCGAGTTTAACGACAGGAGTCTGACTGAACATTCGTTTAGGGTTCATGACGAGTTTTCCATGCTCCAGACTATAAAGGTCGCTGGTGATGAGGAGCAAATCGGAACAGCTCTTCACGGGTAAGAATCGCGAACGGGGAACGTTGATACCGTGGGCATTCTTGAAGTGCTTGATGGCTGCACCGATGGCTGTCTCTAGCTGGACGACAGGTTGGCCATCATCAGTCACCTTGGGGTTGACAATAATGTCCAACTCCATCCCTCCGCTCTCCATGATTTGTTTCAAAGCCTGAATAAAAACAAAGGTTATGAACTCTGATTCATGCGCAATCAATAAGGAATTGGGCCTACGGGAAGGTGGATGTAAACAGAGTTTGTGTTGAAGTAAGCGAACTTCCGAATACTCTTGAAATCCTCGACGTGCTCGGAAGGCACCTGAGCAATTTCGAGAAGCCGAACTTGCCCCTCATAGTTGATGATCGTACCACCTTTAACGTCAGCCTTGGTCTTATCAGTCAGCTCCATCAAGAAGTCGACCTGACTGTCAACGAGGTGCTTCAAGATGCGGAGATCCACGTCCGCGCCAAGATTGTCCACGTTCGAAACAAAAATGTATTCTTTTCCACCAGTGATCAAACGATCCAGTAAGCCAGAGTTCGTCAGGGCATCAAAGAGATCTCCGTGTCCAGGAGGATACCATTCGCTCTTGTCCGAAGTCGGACTGCGTGGGACGGGAAGAAGGCTTTCCTTCCCAATGCGAGGGTACCGACTCTGGTTGAAGGTGATGAGCTACAGGGAACGGAATTAAGTGGGGATTTCTTCGAAGAAAACAAAAGTCTTCCATACCTGGATATTATGATTAGCGTACTTCTGGATGATGCGCTGGGTATCGTCGTCTGTGTTGAATGAGTTCATGAGAATGAACGGCACGGTGACTTTGTGGATTTCGTTGAGGTGCTCGATTTGGCGGACGGAGAGATCCAGGAAAGTCATTCCCTCTCGTACTTCAATGGCAGACTTGGGTGCACCACCCCTGATTTACTGTTAGCATGGGTTATCCCATTCATGCGCGGAACCCAACCTACATGCCCATGCTAGTACCAAGCCCACCATTGAGCTTCAGGACTGCGATCTAAACGTCAAATTACGTAAACACGTTGACAGGTTGGTACACCTGAATCGATGATACCTTGTTAAGGACGGATGCGTCAATCGTTGCGGGAAGAGTGTTATAATCGACCACCTGGTCCCTGGAGGGCGAGATGACCTTATCCCAGTCACTGTAGAAAAGTGTAAAAAGTAAATCGACGATTGTAAATCGCGAATTAGCGCTAGGGTGTATTCAGTGCAGTAGGCACTTGGAACGTACAGCTTGTCACCCTTCGCCTTGTTTGCCAGATATCGACTGAAGAGGGAGAAACAGCTTTGCATCTCAGCATCGAAAATCTATCACAGGACCCAAGGTCAGGATTGTTGAATCGGTTGACAGGGACGTGTTTGTTGAGCAACACATCGAAATTGACGCACCTTGCGCGTTTGGGGGTCCTGGACTTGGGATACAAGGTTATTGAGTTCATTTCGCATGGCCTTGGCGGCCACACCAGTCGTCGCGCTTTTGAAGTCCTGTCCACAACATTCGATTAGGACTCAATCAACTCTTCAGGAATTGTTTTCATGGGATGCTCACCATTGCAGAATGTCCTCTGGCGCGAGGGGACTTTAGTTGGCTTCCCTGGCCAGGCTGGCTAACGGTAAGATGGGTGCTCATGGTATAGGGCAAAATCTAGTGGTCGTAAGGGAGATCGAGCGTGATTCGGGCTTGGGGTAACCAGAGATCGCGTTTTATATAACAGCGTCGGCTTCAAATTCTTGAATTGCTAAATATGGTGCGCCCCAAATCCATCGCCCCCAAGGAAAACGCCGTCCACGTTCCTCCGCGTTATGTTATCGTAGTACATAGTCTATCGGGAAGTGGCGGAATCTCCAGCGACTCCGACCGCGATCACTTTCGATCGGACACGATGTTTCAGCGCTCGACACGATCCCCCCAAAGTCGCAGCATGCAGTGCCTCAATCTTTGAAATAGCTGAGCAGGACGAACGTGCCATAGCTACACGGCAAACGAGTTCAGGAGGTTCAATTCATATACGCCCATCAAGATATGGATCCAGCATCTTCGCACGAATGGCACAAATCGAATCCTATGTCTGGAACTTTAGTGTCTTGACGTTTGTGCGGTTCGTCCGTTCAGCATGCATGGCATTTGAATTTTGCCCGATAGAAGTAGCCAGCTGGTGGAGGAATGTATATATCTAGCTCAGGGCTCGGCGCAAGCAAAATCCTTGAGGGAAAAATCAGGAGGAGATGAAGAGAGTTTAGCTGCTCAAATAACTTTATATATACGAGCGCAATGTCGGGCATACAAAATCCAATGAAACCAATTCTGCATCGTTCCAAACGAGCTGTGACTTATCAATGTATCTTGCTATACGAGATAGAAGCACTGGGCTTCGAAATGGCCAATGTGCAGCAAGGAATATAGTTCCCCTTTCCATCCGCAATACCAGATTGTGTACAAGACATAGCTTCCCTTCCATTCATCCCGAAAGATAGGACATCAAATCGGCCGGTGATTTGATCTTATCGTGTCCTAAGCGCCCGTCCACTGCGTGGAATTCAGTAAAGGCGGTGATGGGCCGGCATAGAAGCAATCCGTAAATGTTCCGGTGATACTAACATGGGCAAGGACGGTGCCGTGGTGGTCGTGCCAGTTATGAGAATCTAAAGAATTTGAGATGGCATTTCTAGCCGTGGGAATTCGTGATAGCCACAAATCAGCCTTCGTCTTGACTGTTCTGCACAAAAAGTTTCTCAACGAATATCGAATCCATGGCCAGTACTTTGGCGCAGAATGTTCCCCGCATCCCCCCTAGTAGGATGCCAACCGCCATCCCTACTCATATCAAAGACGTAGGAAGCTCTATAGGCGGGAAAGTGAGGCTTGTTGGGACGTACGTTCAGTCCAATATTTTTCATCCTTTCTTCTTTTGTGGAAAAAGCGCGGCTACCGCTCATTAATCCCCTTCCTCAGGGCCTATGTTTACGACGTATTCACAGGTTTGATGCTCGTGGGATATGAATCATGGTCAATCTGGGTCGACACCTCAGTCTGCTTCGATCCATCGAACACTAAGAGCGTCCCTTTCCTACGAGAGTACAACTCTGACGTGATGTTGATCGGTAATATCGAAGAAGCATACGTGAGTTGTAGTACCTTTCTTTTTATTTAGGCTCCCTCTAAAGGTTCAAAGGATTCATTGCCTCCTCCCTCATTGAGAGATTGCCGCGCCCTTAGAGGGTTTTATTCCCAGCTCATTCTCAGAGCTATCCATATCCAGGGGGTGCACGGACTTGATATCGATTGTTGGAACAGCAGTGTAGCCGTATAGACTGCAAATTGTCATCACAAGTAGTCACCTCCAGGTGCGTCGGGCGATGCCTTTTCGAGTTGAAGTAAGCGCACAAACAAAAAATACAAGCATGAACAGCTATTGACGGTTTCGTTCAGCTATGACGTTTGGAAGTTGTGTGGTTTTCCCTGGAGCGCTTCAATCCAATCTGCAACCGGAGTGTTGACTGATTTATCCGGTGCCCAGCGCATCTGTCCGAGATCGTGAGTGGGGAACTTATGCCAGGAATGTCTTCGATTGCGTCCTCATCCCATCCAAGCCTGCTGAAATGATTGCGAGAGCGTCGCAACGGCGTGCAATCGTATTAATTGATAATCACGGTGCTAGGGAATGTCAAAGCTACAAAATTATTCGTGTCAACTAGTATGGAATGTCTAATAAGATAGAATGCTGCCAAGTATGTAACAACCCAAACTACACACACAAACCAGGAGCGAAAAGCCATAAATACAACAAGGACCCGCGGATCTACAAAGCACTGTCTTTCGAGCAATCTCATTTGTCATTGGGAATATCATACTTGAGTTCCGCACTGTTCAGTCGGAACGCTGAGAGGGCTAACAGCCTTACTGTCCGCAACGAGGGTAAGTTCAGAATTGTCCCGTGTTGAAGCAGTTTCTTGGACAATGGGAGGAGCAGATTTTTCATTCCCAAATGTCAGGGCTCGGATGACTGTTGCAACAATATTCGGTTCTTTTGTATCCATCGCATGCGTTTGATTGGCCGAGTTCGTAGCAGTGATGGACGACGCTTGCGTATCAGCTTCCGTGTTCGACGAAAGACTGTCAGGGCGTGGGTGCCGTATTGAACTGCGAGTCTCTGGGGAATCGGAATCGCTGTCTTCCGAGAGGTCTAAGGTTGGAACAGGTCTAGCCATTCGTCGGCGCAGAGCGAAAGACGCAGGGTTGGGGTGAGTCAGATAGGCGAAGCGGCTGGGTGATGTCGGATTGTCAGGAAGGAGAGCCTTGGGACGAATGGTTGTCGCTGGGGCGGACGTGCAACTTGGGGCTGGAGAAGCTGTGACACGCTTAGATAGCCGGGTGGAACGACGAGCAGCTGGCTGATCTTCAACGTCATCCCCCGATTCCTCGACACGAGCTCGCTTTGTGCCTCGAGAGGCTTTGACCACACGCGGTGGGCTCTGTTCTAAGCGTGCAGGGAGGCTGCTTCGGGCGCGGCCGCTTCGCATGACACCAGCACTGGCAATGACGTTTACTTCCTTTTTATCCATGTTAGGATTCTCGCGGATCAGTTCTCGAGCGCGAGCCCTTATATCCCGAGTAACATCCTTCGGGAGGTGGCCTGCAGCGACGGAGCGTCGTCGCGGGCGAAACGAGGGGAAACGTCCAAAGGAATCCTCGGGAGTGTACCAGGAGGTGACAAGTCTACGCGTTCTCATATGTGGAATTGCCACGTTGGATCGTCCGGGAGGCGCCAACGAAGTAGGGGCATCAAGCTTGGATAGTTTTTTTGTCATTGGCTCACTCTCAGAGTTCGAGGAAACTTCACGTTGCTTTGCTTGACGAAGGGCTGCTTCGCTCTGATTTTTTAGCAATGCGGCCCTTTCGGCCATTTGGACTGTAGTCAGCTTCCCTTTCTTCCCAGAGGAAAGCACAGGGAAGCCTCGCTTTCGAGATCGTTCGGCCTGCTCTTCCTTCTCATGCAACAGCTTGGAATGAGTTCGAAATTGGTCAACCGGATGGGTAGGTCGGGCCAATTTATGCTGTTGCCTCATATCACTGTTTCCAGTAGCGATTTCATCTTCGATTGATGAATCTGATGCATCTCCGGATTCGGATGCTTCACTTGAACTCGTTTTGTCGGAGCATAAGTCAGGTGGTGGATCACTTTTGTCGGGCCACTTTTGACCATAGATAGCTTCATGACGAAGACATCTGCAAGAAGTCGCGCATCAGCCAACAAATTCTGGAACGGCATTAGTAGCCTTACTTGTCACAAATTTCCGTGTCCGGTTCGTCCAAAGGAATAGCTTCCTCGATATTGCAATTCAGGCACGTACCAGGCGGGAACGACTGCCAACCTTTCCAGCGCTTTGGAGCCTTTTGCTGCAAAATCTCTAGATTGACAGCGCGGAGATCACGCTGGTTTGGCTGATCAGGGCGTACGGTTACAGGGACTTCCGCGGTGGTTAGCCTTGGTCTCAGCGATCGTCTCGGAGCATCATCCGGCTCTTCCGAGTTTCTAGCGGAAGTCACGCCAGCTAGAGAAACCGAACGCCGGGCGGCGTTATCCCGCGAGAGGGAAGTTGTTCTGGTAATGAGGCTGGCGCATTCTGTCTTCTTGCTAATGGAGCTGGCGGTTGGAGAGGCACCTCGGGATGATGATGACATCCTGCCAACGCTCTTGATAGAGGGAACTACAGAGTATTCTGAGGGTTTTAGCTTCCGCGTTGAGCGTCGAAGTGCCTCAAGTTCCTCACTCAGAGGTTGACGAGGATTGCTAGAGCCAGGTGATGCGGTCTGAGTTGGCCGCCTAATCCGGGGTTCTGATGGTGTGACGGTGGTTCGGGTGGAAGAACGAAGTATTCGGGAGGTACACTAAGAAAGATAAATTAGAGAACGAATGATGAAAACCAATGATATATTCACTAGCTCGGAGTTGGATTCATCCTCGTCCTCAACTCCGTCGTTCTTTCTAGTCTTTAATTCGGACCCCTCACTGAATGCGTCGGGCGCAAAACCTCCCACACCCGCAATCTGACATGTTTCACACAGGCATTCGCAGTTCCCGGGCCCGACTGCAATGCATACGATATATCGGTTCGAACGTAGTGGAAACTAGGGCACTCACAATAGTCATCCGCATAGAAGCAAGTGATCTCTTCCGGCGCTTTGATCAAGCGCCGTACCTTAAACCGCATGACTTTATCCTTCCTCTCGAGTTCGCAGTTAGGATTACAGTCGTGCTGTGGGGTGGGTTCAGGAGACTGCCGGGGTGGGGGGGTCTACATGTTGGGCTCACATTGACAAATCGTGCCGGACCGAGGAAAAGCATGCTGCTGTTCCCGCCCATAATTTGAACCACAGAAAAATCCTTCCGGCTCCCAAGGCCATTGTTTTTGGATTTGCTGAGCTCAGCATCTTCTGCGGAGGTCAAACGCGCAAGTGAACCTTCGAGCTGCTCAATATAATCCCCAGGATAGAGATCCCGGGTGGCTAGTACACAAAGCTCGGTTTTCCCCGTCCGATGAGTGTAGCGTTTTGTGAGGGTAATCTCGACAGAACCAGTGGGGATGTACAATTTGAAGTAGCGCCATGCATGAGTCGCAAATGCATCGATCTGAGACCGCGACTTCGTTCGGATATGTTTCTGGATAAAGGGAAGGCTGGGGAAGGTTCAGACGGTGTGGGTTGGAGAAGTTTGATGACACTCACGCAAGTAAGGCGTTCGTCGCTTTGACACAGCGGGTATCAGTATCCTGGTCAGGAGGTCGAATAACGCGCTTGAAAAACAGGTACGACGATAACATCAGTGATAGGTTTCGAAAGTCGACTTGAGAGTTGAGATGAACCTTTTGAATAATTTTCAAAACGGCCGCGGTGTCGTAGACTGGGAGACGCGTCCGTACGCGCATGTGGTGCACCCCTAGGGGTTTCTCTAGTCCTACTGTGTCGAGAAGGACATGACTATGAAGTGATCAAGGGAGAGAAGCGAGGCATGACAGTCATCGCTACCGTGAACCCTGGGCAAAGCGAAAAGTGAGACAGGTAAGGCCTACCTCAAAAAATCATCGTCATCAGAGAGATCTTTGGCAGTCATGTATCCATTAAAGAATTTCCATTCGACTTTTTTCGTCATCGTGATGGGAGGAGCCAGGAACCTCCGGCGATAGGAGTTGGGCGTTGCAAGTCACAGGGGGCACGCAAAGAGTTACGGCACAACAGAGAACGACGGTGCGAAAAACCTTAACAGCAATGCCCGAGGAATGAAAGAGTGTGATTAGAGAGAAGAGAGTGGCGGGAAACGCAACCGGGTCACTTAGCCGTGAAGGCCAAAGCTGTGGCAAGGTTTCGGAAACACCGAATCGACCAAAATAGGCAACTATCGCTGATGACACTCCGACACAGCACAAAATGCGCGCATTGGTAGAGATAGTAACGGTTCGGATGGGCATAGCAAATACTGATGGATGCATACAGATGAAACCGTAGTTAAAAACAGAGGAGCATATGGCACGAATGCACGCAGACAACGCATCACATTGACACCAAACCAAACTGAGTCACTTCCCCCTTTGGCGCGCCTTAATGCTTCTTGGCCTTCAATTTCCTCAAGTAGAACTACGAAGAAAGGAAAAAATCAGGAAACAAGCACCGTTGTCAGCGATGCACTAACCTCGAGCTCCTTCCCCTCCACAATATAGCCATCAGCGCGGCCACACTGCCCAGGTCGGCTGGATATAGCAGCGTACAACCGACCTGCATTGAACTGCGCTTCGAGCAAAGGATCAATCTTGGACAATGCCTCGCGCTCCGCAAATTTCTCCGCAAGGCGAGGGCTGACTTCCTCCGGGACGGCAGCAGTAGCCTTTGCTGCCGCTGCTGCTTTTGCTGCCCTTGCTGCTCTCTTCTCAGTTATAGGCTTCCCGTACTACAGTAACTGGGCGTCAACGATTTGGGCAGCTCGTACAACAAAAGGACTTACGTGCGCCTCGTACCATTGCCTGAACGGACTGGAATCAATCTGGACAATGACACTTTTGACAAGCGTATTGGTTCGGATATATTCATTGTTAGGAGCGCTATAAACCTGGGGTCGGCAACACCATCTAAGTTGATGCTGAAACCGTTCTCATTAGTTGAAATCAACGCACAACTCCAATGATTCGAGTCTTCCGAGTTACATGTTCTGAACCCCAAGAGAAATTACCTGCATCCAGGCGTAAAGCGCGAGCCTTAGAATTTCCACCTAGAGTGCGGATAAAATGAACACGTCTGGGGCCAAGCCTGGTGTTGGCGGGTTGGCGGCCGAGCTCGAACTTTCTCTTCTTTCGAATAATAGACCTTTTGCCACCTGTCTTTGTCCTCTTATGCCGAGCCGATCTTGTGATACCTATGTTTGAAATGCGGGGTGGAGGAACGATGCGGTGGGGAAATAAAAGGCCCTGATCAGCTACAACATTGAAGCGGTGGAACAGGCAGCGCTGACTGACCCATAGTGGTCTTGAGGAACGAACGGAAAGGAATGCACCGCTGTACAGTTTTCTGAGAAAGTCGTCACGTGTTTGCGGCAGTGCCCTTAACCATCATCTTATGGCTTGCTCATGTTCGTTGCAATGTCTGCGATTAGCTTATGCTTCTTTCCCTGTGGAAGAGAAATCTGATTTCTATTCCCATATGAACACCCGTGGTTGTCCTAGGCATTGGTAATTGGGAACCACATTTACGCCCTTTACCGCCACCTCAAAATATTTAGGCACGTTCCATTATCACGAACAGCGTACGCATTGGTCTCAAGTCCAATTAGGGTGCTGTACCAGGTGGTAGAAACGATGTATCCTCCGCCTCGCCAATAGACGACTTGACGAGCTTCCAGCAACACAGTTACCAACCGGATCAGTCGACTAGTGACTACCACTTACCTGGGCTTTAGCTGATTTAAGATGAAGCAAATTCAGATGACCCGGACTGGTCCCACCATTCTGTAGAGGCTTGATAAGTACTATATAATATCAAACAGATTCTGACGTACGACTAAAGTTTCATCCAAAAACCTAGTATGACCTACGCGCAGGTCAAGCGGCAATTGGCTAGGTAATACCACGACATGCACAGGGGCTTCAAACGGGCGTTCAGAAGCTGTGACTGAGGAGATTCCCTGAAAAAGTTTGAGATTCTGGACTATCTTGAGACTGGAACTGTACCCACTTCGGCCAGTGCTAGAGCAAGGCGGATATCATTCCGCTGAGACCGAGCGTCCTTTCCAACAATAACAAATAGCTCTAGTATGCCGTCCACAACGTACACCGTACCATGATCTAAGTGCTGATTGCCAAAAAATGGGACAAAGTGAATCTGCAGAAACATATTACTAAGTAGTGGAGCTGACAATATAGAAGTAATAACAATTACCCTGGGGAAAGCCACACTCCACGCACTGGGTGTCCTTTTCTGTAATTCCCGCCGCTCGCTCCAAAATCTTGCGTTCGCCCAACTGCCATTACCGAGATACGTCCAAAACTTTGAGTCTTCCCTCCCTTCATTAAATTCCTTTACGGGAAGATTGTCCCTGCTCATAAGCGCTGCATAAGAGACTGCTTGAGACTGCTCGGTGGGGAGACTACCCCGCCCATGCCAAACATATATTTGACCAAGGGCCCCGATGACATAGGAGAATGCAGAGCAAAGGTTTGAAATATTCTACGTATTGGTGAGTTGACCAGCCCATATGCTGCCGGGTAGGGACTCACGAGGTCGACCTCGTCGATGACAATCCCGATTCCAAAGGACAGCTCACGGACACAGTGCATTGTTGCATTTACATTTGTCCAATTGCCTTGAGTTCCACGACGAATTGCTACAACCCCTCCGAGCAACCCAACCAAGTCGTATGGCTCTCCTCCTTGATTGCACCGTATAGCTTTCGTGCCGAATCGCGATTCCAAATCTCGAATCTTCCACTCTTCTTCTCCTCCCATTGCTGCATTCCTCCCTCGCCATACCCATATAACTGTCGATGCAAGTTCGCTACTGCGAGGTTCCTTGCATCTGTACAAGATAACTCGAAGTTCCGTGTCGTAGAATATATGAGGGTATGACGACACCGAGTCTGCATTTCGACCTCTGATGACAAAAACCTCGGTAGAGATTGGGGTATAAGCCAAGTCGAACGAAAGGGGTGGCTTCACGGCAGCAGACTGTAGGATGGATCTCACGTCGACTACGGGGAGGGACTCGTCAACTTGGGGAACTGGGTCAGATTTGGTTTTCTCCGAAATGACTGCTCTTCCTTTCCTGGAGATTGTTGTGGGTGGAGAGGGTGGGTTGGGAGGAGGGGACTGGGCCTCAGCACTCCTCAGGATGGTTGGTGTGGCGACCTCTTTTCTAATTGTGACTGCAGTCAACTCTTGGGGGCTGATGGACACGACTGATTTGAGCTCGGATTCGGATTGGAGCTGTCCGCCCCATGACTCTCTAACTGACGCTCTCGGGCCTGATGCACGGGGTGCCACAGCTGAGTCCTGTGACATTCCGAGTCTGACCAACTTCGTTGTTGAGGATTGTACCAGGCCCGGGAGGGCACGCGTACCAGAAGAAACGGGAGGATGTGATTTGTTCCCGTCAGAATCAGCGTCCCTGTCCCGCGGAACACTTGCCGAAGCCGATGTTTCTTTCATGGTGATAACCTGACCGTCCCGTGTATCCACGACGCGCCCTGTTGATCCAATGATGGACTCTGTTCACGCACGTATTGAGCTATTAAAGAACCCGACAATCCAGACTCCGTAGGCTTACCCTCGACGAGAGGCTTGGAATGCATTGAAGCCTCTGGGGCGGTCACAGGGCTGAGATATGTTGTACCCGCAACTTCTGAATCATTAGTCGCCGAGGTACCTGATTTGCTGGGAGGCTTGCGTGCTCTATTCTTAGTAACCTAAAAGTGTTTCCTGTAACAAATTTTCTCATATTATGGACATTGCGCTTACGTGCGTGAGCGAAGATGACCCCTGGGGAAATCGTGACCCACTAAATGCTTTATCTGCAGAAGGACCGACTGAAAATTGTGTATTAGGAACTTCCGAATTGGAGGACGTAACAGTAGAATGGACACCTGAACTTGGCCTCGAAGTTTCCATCCCCTTATACACGAGTGTTGGGCGGTCGCCATCATTCAGCGACAAACCAGGCTCCTGTGTGGCCCCCATTGATATGATACCCGAAGCCCTCGCACGATCGCTATTATTACTAGAATGAGACTGATCAGAAAGTTCGTGACCCCTTGAGGATTGTGGACGGTGTTCAACAAGACCACGTTCACCAGATATATTGGCGGCAGGCGGCCAACGGTTAAGGACTGATTTATCGCGTACCAGGGGACCTGGAGGCGACCGAGGAGAAGCAAGGCCGCATTCCGTTGGAAGCACTGGAGACACTGGGATGACAATGCTTGAGGTATTAGAAACTTTAACTCTTTCCCCTACAAATCCGCGGCCTTGCAATCTTGTCGGATTGGATGTTAGAGCCTTTTCTAACCCCTCATATTCGGAAGTAGGGGATAAAAGGTTCAGGTTGGTACTTTGCATTGGAGTTGGAGGTGACGAATCATGCACTGGTAAAGGATTTGCAGTGACGGACAATTCCCTGAGGGATGACATGGAGGCACTATGTTCATCCTCCTTATGGACTGGGGGATTAAGGCCGGAAAGGTCCGCTCGGTCAGGAGGTGATGCTTCGCGATTCTGGCCAGCTTGGAACTCTGGTGTCATGCCAGGCAATCGCACTCCTCCCGGTGGCCCATGGGTGTTTCTCTCTTTTATCATACCCAGGGCTACTTGGAATAAAGGCGATCCGCCATCAGCATACGGTCTGAGATCGAAGGCGGCGGGATCATCGACATTCTGCTGAGGTTTGTGCTTGTTCAGACGTGGGCCAGGTGCCCGACCGCCTATAAACTCTGCCAAAGAAGTTGGAGGCGAGCGGTGGGACGGAACGTGTACCAAGTTCCCCTCTCAAACATCAGATGCCAGACTCAGCAATAGCATTAGTAGCAAACTTCGGAACGCATACCCGAGTCCACCTCTGTCGCGTGGCGGAAAGCGAAATTCCCTTGTCCTGGCTGTGCCTTTTTATGGGATCGCTCTCCTCTGCTTTTCTCGATCTCAAGTTCTAGTTGTGTCCTTTCCTTGGCAGCATCTTCGTCAACCATGTTCTGGAGGGTTCTGATCTTGGACGTCCATTCTGCGAGACTAGAATTGGGTTTACCAATGTTATCGGCGGAGGCAAATCTCTCAGCCATGCCTTCCCCAGGATACAGTCGGTGAAGCCCCTGCTTGTGCGAATGCTGGGGAAAGAACTGTGAGTGGCTGTGCTTCAAATCATGTTTTTGTGCGACCGAACAGGCACCAAAAAAGTGGCGCGGCGACAAGCAGTGCATACGGGATCCTACCTGTCAAAGGTCGCAATACCTTTACCCTCAGCAAAACCGAATACTTACAATCAGCAAAAAGATCAAGCTAGCAATAAAGAACCGAGAATCAGATCGCGAAGATACATCGAAAAGAATATAGGCGCGGCCGAGGCCATACATCACGAAAATCGGACTGGCGCTCCCACATGGTCCAGATGCTCCCAGGTGCTCTGGAGCCTCCGGAGTGCTCTGGACCAGGGGACCTTGCTCTAGTTGCCTGTCCGATTTTCGTGATGTACGGCGGCCGCCAGGCAAGATTGACAGTAGGCACGGAGGCCGGTGCGTACAGTGGATGCGAAGTAAATAAAGGAAGCGCGGATGCGTGCAACGGACGCGAGGAAAAGGAAAAAGAGACAACGTACCGAAAACGGTAGAGTGAGATTAGCCTAGGAACAACTTGAGACCCCTAGACCACAAACTGGGTATACGCGGATGATCAGTATATGAAGGGCTATCGGTGGGTATGGCGCACGCGAGGGAATGGATGTAGAGTACCAGGATCCAGGGGCCACGAATTTCATTTAACCTCGTGCCTCCAGTAAATCCTGAGCGTTTCCGGTCCCTGACCGCGTGAATCTAGAGAACGGCTCTAGCTCTGGCCCATAAAAAAGGCGCCTCTCCCTGTTCCCAACTTGACGGCTTATCGAGGAGTCAGCGCCGTCCGGACTAAACTGCGCCACTAGGCCGGTTTTCTAACACGGCGGAGATTCAACGATTCGTGAGGATTCTGCCTTACCGAGTCGCATTGAGAGGGGGTTGGATGTGTCGCGCAGAATTTGGACAAGTATTTCTGTATCCTGCTGCGCATTACGTAAAGACTCTTACTCGCGCTTGGCCCACCCACGTAGGTAATCGTGATGCTGGGAAGATTCGTGAATATAGCCTCAACGAAAGCACCTGAGGCAGTAGCGAGACTCGAAGTGTTCTTCTGGGTCGCTTGGAGCGTCTCCGATCCTCTCTGCATTGATACTGTGTTGAAGGCTTCCGGCCCCGCTCGTTAAAATGCGCTAGTCAGGAATGCTAAATAATCAGCTAGTTGACTTCGCGTGTTATCATCAATTCATTATTCACAACCTCAACCCGTGGTCAGCCTGTTGATGACTACGCCATACTCTTTAACGGGGTCCCGTCTGTACCTGATGGACAAGATGAGATTGGCCTCGGTTGGAACTAAATGACCCTCACGGAGCTACGCTGGCGGTCCGGAGGGTATGATGTCAGAGTTCCGTGTGGAGATTTTGGTATGGAGTTCGCGTTTCAATATTCCTAGACTTTGGGATTCGGGGTCGATGCTTGTTTGACCCGCCCAGAATTGGTACGATAACGTCAAGACCTGCTCAGACAGCTGATTTAAACCTGGTGAGGATAACCATTAATAATATTGTCTTCGGTGTCGTAGGCAGGGCACGTGAAGCCTGTTTGGGAACTCGGAAATCCGCACAGCGTTGGTGGCCTTATCATACACTACCGGATGGCCTTGAGAGATGATTCTGCACACCTAGCAGGTGGCTTTGAGTCTCATGGAAATAAACCAATGGATTGACATATTTGACATTCTCGGAAATTAAGCCGAATCACAGGGCTTAGCGATTAGCACATTGTACGTAAGCAAGCACATGCCAATTAGTTCGATTCCATGGTGCCAACAGTGTCGCCCTTTCCGCCAGACGTATCGGTTTTCCTTGTGAAACTGGTGATCCATTGAGGGATTCCCGTCCATTATTCCCCCGTTCCATAGTCCGAAGTATCGCCAGCAGTCGAAATTTCCTGTCTGAGGGTGTCGGAATAGGCTGAACATCCTCGGCAAGGAGGTCACAGGCATCCGCCACATGCCGTTTACATAGCAGGTGCTCGACCAAATCTAGCCGTGCTGCAAGTGACATTGGGTCAGCACCGAGGACGTCCTTCAGGATTTTCTCGGCCTGCAAATCTCGGCCCTGAAAGGGAATTATTGGCAAGAACACAGATCAGTGCCGAGACCGACCCACCGCTTTTGAATGGTCAAGGAAGAGCAGGCGGTTCACTTCTCCTCTAGGATCAAGTTCTAGCCGGCGCTCGCCCGACACGTTAAGTATCTCTGTCAGTGCTGCATGAGTGAGCTCGTTGTTGTGTGACACAATTCCCATTGCTGCCAAGGAGGTGATAGCCCTGAGGTTGTTTGGGTCATCTGCAATGCTGGAAGTGTATGAGTCTCCAGTCTCGCGAGTTTAAGCGGGTCACATACAGCTGCAACAATTGGTCTTTCCCGGCTTCGCGAGTCTCATCGCTACGCATCGCCCACAAAGTTTGTGCCAGAAGAATGGCGATATGACTTCGAACATCTGCTAACTCGACTGATGTCTCCTCCAGCCCTGCTTCGAACGCCGCAAGGGCATTTTCCAATTCCCCCAACTTATGACATGATAGACCCAACCCAAAACGCGCTTGGGCCAACACTATAGAAGGAGAAATTGATGACTCCTGGATATCAGTCGCATTTCCTTCAAGAAGATTGATAACTATTTCGAAGGACGCTTTGGCACTAGCGTAGTCTCCGATTGCCAAGCGTACTCGCCCAATGTTGACGTTCGCGACGGCGTACCGATATTCAACCCCAGCGTCTTCAGTTTTTTCATATGCCGCCTCTAGGAATTTGATGCTACGTTCGAGCAGTTCCAGAGCGAGGTCATATTGATGCAGTCTCTCGCAAATAAGCGCAAAGAGCTCCATCCCCCTGGATCGTCACCATGTTTGGCACAATGCTGTCTCATGGCAAAGTAAGGAGCAATGAGGAAAGAATTCTGGACTTCATATGGGACATTTGACAACTGTGGATCCGTGAAAACGCGGTATGAATACTCATATTCCGACCAAGGCTATGAGATGATGAGTGTTTGCGCACAATGAACGGGCTAGATATTCGTACAGTAGGTGTGAATAAGATCAGAGCATGTTCAAAAAGCGCTCTTGCTTCTGGAAGATGCTGGTTTATCGTGGCGACCATCGCCTGGCCGATCCAAGCTGGTCCATAATCTGGATCTGAAACTTGTGCTTTATAGAATGATTGGTTTGCCAAGTCTGTATCTCCGTGGTGGAGATAAAACACGCCCAGATTGGTCCAAATTGTGGGGTTCTGAAGGAGAATGTTAGGGATGATATCATTCTGAGAAAACCGCCCCTCACTTTAGAGTCAATTTCTAATGCCTTGATATATGCATGCTGAGCCAGTTTAGGCTCTCGCAGAAATTTAATATTACCCAAGGCGTTCCAGTACCATTCATTCCCAGGTGAATGCTTGAGCGCGTCCAGTATAGCGCTATTGGCTGCATCGGATAACGCCTTTTCACTCTGGTGTCCCACCAGTTTAGGAATGATTGAGTGGATCGCAATGGAAAGATCGAATAGCGCGCTTCCTTCCGTCATTTGATCATTTTTGCACAACCCAACTCGGGTGCTGTAGCATGCGATGGCAAGCCAATGCAAGTCTAGCCCTTCTAATCTGTCCCTATTATCTCCGAATTTCCCACTTAATTCCGTTGCAGATAAGGACTCGACGATAACCGCTATTTCACTTCTTTCGGGAAGTGCCTCGCAGACCGGACGTACGGCGCTTAGGACCAATGTGGGATTGACAAAAAGAGTGATTTTGGACAATTCGAAAATGGCATCCGCGATTGTCTTCCATATTATTCGGCGGAATCCAGGGGCCAAGTTTACTAGCTTCATGGACAACTCCATACAAATTGCAAGAGATTCCTCGAAGCGTGTGTGGTAGCCAGCAGCAAATTCCTGCCGGGCACGGGAGAAATGACTTTCTGCCATGGCCAAAAGGACACCAACTTCGTCAGGTCTATCTACGAGGAGTGGTTCGAATGTGGCGATTGCTAAGTCAAACTGGCCCATCTGGCGGTAAACTTCTCCGATAAAGTACACTGCGGTCCAATCATCCTGAGAGATCTCTCTGGAACGAGAAAGAGCCTTCAATGCAGCAGCAGGACGACCCGATTTGGCGTACGCCTCTCCAAGTCTTGTCCAGGCTCGATGATCAGACTGATTGGCCCTTAACGCGATCTGGAGTGCGATGATTGCAGATTCATGGTTGCCCCGGCTCTAGAAGCCAGCGGGGCATCAGCCTTCATGAGTGAACACTGACACATGCCTCACCATTTCAACCACTCCCACAGCTTTCCATGCCCATGCATTAAGGGGTTTGTACCGAGCAGCGGCAGCGATATTGCCTGTTGCCAACGCCTTTATCCCGCTTTGATCTTCCGCACCACCTTCCCCCTCAATGGTCCGCCGTGCAACCACCTCGACCAAATCCCAGTCACTCTCATCAGCAAAGCCTTCAGCGAGACGACGCGCAGCATCTGCTTCGCGCAAATCTAGTTCAACAGCTTTTTGGAAGCATTTTGTAGCGCGAGAAAGATCAGGTGGGTTCGAAAACTCAGAGTACCATACTCCCAGGGAAGTGTACGCAGGCGCAAAGGCTGAGTGATATTTGAGGGAAGCAATGAAATGGGAGTACGATTCTTTCCTAGAACTGTGATCTAATGATTACGACGAGACTAAGGGTAACTGAATCTTTTCCTGAAGGCGGACTGGCCTTACCTCTCTTGTCCCATAGCGTGCGACCAAGCCGCCACCATGCTTGGGCCTTCCGTTCAGGTGTATTTTCCGTGTCGTCCAAGCTGGAAATGACGTTGCTGATTTCAACAAGAGCTTGATCATATTGCCCAGAGAGCGTGAGGCACCATGCAGCTTCCTCCCTTGCCTCTAGAATTCGCGGCATCTGAGCATTGTCAGCTTCAAATATACCGTGTGCAGCAAGAAATGCATCTCGTGCATCTTCATAACGACCCGCATGACGCAGAATATACCCCCGCTCCAGGAGACACATTGCGTCGTCAGGGCTCATGGAAAGGAGTTGTTCGAGAATCCCCAACGCTCTTTGATGGTACTTGGGCGGGTAATGATGTGTTAGAGCCGTAGCTATGAAGGAGTTAAGAGCGTGCTTGACCCTTTTAGAAGGATGGATTGCAATAAACAAGCAGACAAATCGATGTGAAAGTATGCTCACCATGCAAGATCCCTGCCTGAGTGCCGCTCGGCCATGGAAGTAAGCTTCAATCCAGTTTCTGCGACCTTGATAACACTTGGGTAGTCACCCTCCGAAGCGTACACGGCAGTGATAAGGCGGTATGCCAAAATCGAGTCTTGGCAGTCAGCCAGGCCGTCCTGCAAGGGGTTTAGGTGAGATATTCACTTGTTCGAGTAGAATAGCCTACCGATGCAAGCTGAAATGCTACTTCGTAATCCATGTCTCGGAACCTCTTCGCCTCTTCCGCGTCTGCTTCAGTCTCTCCAAAAAGAGGGATCCCAAGACAATACATGCACCCCGAAATTACGTTAGAAAGAGGTGACGCAGGAAATAGCCGAACATAGCTCCTCAATAAACTGATGTCGTACATTTCTGCGCCATGATTACGTGAAGATTTGAGAGCGCGTCCCGATATGAATACTGACCCACGGTGCGAGCATTTTTGCTTTCAATTGCAATAGTCCATGCCAGTTGATCAGGCACTTCGATCAGAACAGTTCCCTGTACGATGTCATCGATTTCCTGTCGCAGTTGAGTCTTTGCGTGATCGGCCGGCGGTAATGCATATAACAATTGAAGTTTGTGTCGCAAAATCTTCCCTTCCGTTGACCGTCTCAATTGGTCAGGTGTGTTGGGGTGGTTCACTATCTCGGAATACAAGGAAAGTAACTGAGATACAAATTAGCACGGTTTAAACTGACGTAGGGGAGACATGACCTCACATTTGATGACTTCGCAATCTCGAGGACAACAGCATTCCTAATCTCCTGCGGTGTTCCAGCATCGATGCGCTGGCGCCGCTTCTGGACTTCTTTATCTACAACTAACTTTTCTTCTTGCTCGGACAGGGTCATTATCTCCTCTAGTAGGGGGAGGGAGTTATAAATTGCATCTTGAATCGGGAATGTAGTCGTGGATGTGGGTTGTGTATAGTCAGGTGGTGGAAGGGCACTTAAAAATGGATACAATGGCGAGGAGGGAAGCAGGAGGCTCAAGGCACCGATGATCTTTCAACGACCGTCAAGATGTCATACTCAGCTTGGGTATTGCGCATACCTCAGCCCGTGTCCCACTTTTCTTTCTGAGTTCAATGATTTTTTGAACAGTTTCTGCACATTTTGAAACGTCTTCACTGTTTTTTGTCAGACCCCGCGCGAGAAAGGGAGAAACAGTGATCACACATTTTCATGAATATGTCGACTAGATTGTTCAACACGTCGAGGAGTTTCTGAGGCATATTAGCGCGGGTATATACCCTTTCAAGTCCCTTCAATAGACAATAAGACAATAGGCAATGACACAGCAGGCCTATTATGTCATACCTGCCAAGCTAGCGCTTGTTCAGGGCCAGAATTTCTAGCTTTTAAGTATGCCTGCGCATGATCATCAAATCAACGACTGTGACAAGACCTGTTGCACAGACAAAAACCTGTTCACTCTTATCCACTTCTTGCAGCTCGAGTGAAGCGTAGCCTAAGAACACTAGACTGCGAAGTTTGAGTGAGACGAAGGTCTCATGGATCTAAGTCCTCTCCTCCTACGCATTGTAATTATCTGCCTCATGATGCAAGGCCTCTTCGGCAGCCAATTGAGCAGTTCTGAAATCCTTCTTGCCTATCGCATCTCGGGCAGCCTTGATCTTTGCTTTGACGAAGGCAGCCATCAAGAGAGATGAGTGGAAGTCAGGTGTGCGATAACTGTCGTGATATGATGATATAATCAATCTTTCGACCCCAGACACTGAGACAGAGCTAACAAATATAGTGTGTAGTGTTGTGATTTGGCTGCATCGCCACCAGTATCTCAAGACTCATGGTGTTGCAGGCGGATGTCTGAAGTTAGCGGTCGACGACCGTCCGTTCCAGCTACAACTTTATCTGCCCCCGGAGATCATACGACGCGGACGGTCGACCAACATCTCCATTATCATCGGGCGATGAGTATTTGCCGCGTCCATCGAGCGAAGCCACTCCGCGTCAGATATCAAGAGCACCAATATACGGCGAATTAGCTAGTAAGGGGCTGTTTCCTACCAGCTGCAGCTATTCCTGACTAGTCATGCAGGGTCTGGGTTACACCCCTATAGAAGTGAATCTCGAGGGGAAAGTGTCCATCCTTCCCGTGAAGGAGCACCTTCTCCGATTCCTGGTGGGTTTCTCGCCACACCTTGTGTCATTATCCAGAATTATTGATTCCATTCAGGGTCGCGCCCTTCTCCCCAAAAGGCACACAGAACATATGATAGCAAAATCATGACAAGAGAACTTGATCGTCTCGGCGTGCACCACCACCCATCGACTTCCGCATCTGCCTCGGCGACATCGGCATCTGCTTCTGGCACTACTCTGACTCCAACCATACCGGAACTAAAACCATCGCCTTCTTTGAGCTCCAGCACGAATGTTCCCGTTGATACTCCATGGGCCATCCTACACGTGCATGTGCTTCCCCTATTTAATGGAGAACCTCTCAAAATACCTATCGAGGACTTGAATGCCCACGTACGGGAGCATATTCAGACTGTCGTCTCGGTAGGCGTTCCGGTAATTCTCTATTTTCATTCATCTGAGAGTGAGTCCAAGTCCCCTCGAAGGCGCTGGCTAGCTTGGAGTCATCTCTGGTGGACTTAATCAGCAGAGGAATGCAAAACCTGAATGCGAAGCTTTCTGGAATCGATGATGAAAAGCTTATAACACGATTGGTCGAGATCTGGAATTTCTTCTGGGTCAATGTACTTCCATATATTGAAGGGGTATGTTCATTATTTGTAACTGAGTAGCACGTAGTTTGACAAACCAATTGCAGGTATTTTTGCCGTTGCAAACGGAGGCTTTGTTAATTTCGCTTAGTCGCAGTGTGAAAGCTGGGCATCGCAGAGGCTCATCGTCCTCTGGAATAGATCTGCCACTCTCTGACTACCGAATAGACGCACGACAGCTATGCCTAATTGCTTTCCGCGACGCAATCATATTGCCACGTTACGAGAAATTGACGTTATTGCTTTCTGAAGGGTTAAGTAGGACAAATGACACAGAGGGTGACCCCGGGGAGAACTGGCAGTGGGCCCGTATCCAGCAAATGTCAGTGTTACTCATTGAATGGTGCCAATACTGAATTTCCGTTATCATGAAAGGTTACTAGTCTTAGGGTCAAATTCTAGGACCTCAAGTGGCGATCTTCCTCGTGGGGAACAGGCTACGAATCAGCTTTTGGTCTTCTTCCGTCGTTCACTACCCCCATGCCACCTCCGAGACAAAAATTCTGATGGCTTCATTGGGACGAAGAACAGGTTCCCGGAGCGGCCTACCGGCTTTTCAGGTGCTGCTGGCGATAGACGGGGGCGAATTGATTTCAGCTCACTCAGGGGAAACAAGCGCGGGTCGCCTACGGCAAACTACCCCGAAATCAGTCAAGGTGGTACCCATCAATGGGCACCTCATAGACGGATGCAGACGTCCAATTCGGATGACGATGACAGTGATCTTGGCGTCCCTCTCGGCAGTGCAACTCCCACACTGACCAGCTCAAGAAACTATGTGAATCGCTATTCTCCGCAGAGGCTCTACACATCCTCTCCTGAGCGGGCAGAGCCTGGCCATGTCAATCACCAGCAGAAAAGCACCGGAAAAGAAGCGGACGAACCACGAGGGGTGGATGATTCTGATGAGGACGAAGATTATGGGCAAGTCGTGGTAATTCATCGTTTTCTTAAAGGATCGTCATCTTGCACTGACACTCTATTCCAGCGACATCTATGACGGGCTTGGATCCACGCTGGAATATTTATCACTACAAATGTCGGTACATATGAGATAGTCAATGGTAGGCAGGTGACCAGCCTCTCTTTAACGAGTCAATGGAACGGATACATGGACTATAACGCTAGTCGGTGGTCCGTGTCTCTATGACAGCTTGTGGGGTTGACTTGATCGTGTGTTTCCTGTAAGGAGACTTCTTGTATAGCTCTAATGCCTTGGGTAGAAGCCTTTGTATATTCTGAATGTGTCAAATGAGCACACCAAACATAGTTTGTGAAACTGATAGAAACACCTTCTGTCGTTGCAGGGAAGTGGGATGGGTCCGAAGCAACGTCATTCGGTCCTGTATTGATATCGATTCTCCAGCAGCAGCCGCATCTTCCCTAAGAAAATCATCGGTACGAAAGATCAAGCAGTGTTCTGATTTGCACCAACTCTACCGCAGCCATGACCTCCCACAGATCAAGCGCACCTCTTGGATCGTAGCCTGCATTGGCCATGAACTATACAGAAGTCAGGCAAGGAACAGTCAACTTTGAAACCAAACCCACTTCGAGACCTAAAGAATCTGCCTCCTCTTCCAGTTTCCGTGAGTACGCGCGTTCAGCTAAGTAATCATTCATTATGTTAAAAATTGAAGCTGCTGCATCATTGATCCTGAAAATTATCCGGTTATTGGAAGGGATGAGTCGGTATCAGGCCAGAAACACTCACATGGGGAAGGACATGGTGAATACATAGGAGATCCCTCGTAAAATGTCGAATACGATCGTAGCTACGTTGATAAACTGACTCGAATGATTATGTAAATGATCTATTTAATCATTTCATGATGTTTCCTGCTCACTCCAGCCTAGAATGAGAAACGTATGAATAACAGTCAAGAAACGGAGCGTAAGGGACGTACATTCTCAACGGCATGGCGCTGAACCACGTGGCTCACCTCGTGCGCCAACACAGCAGATATCAGCGTATCGTCCTCGAGAAGATCTATGAGTCCGGTGTAGACGACAAGCTCCCTGGTAGGAAGCGCGAAAGCATTGATTCTGGGCTACCGACATATAGTCATCATCGAATCCACCAAATTACCAGACCTAATTACCAGATCCACGACATATATCTTCCACTCTGAGGAATCGAAAACCTTCGCAGGATTGGAACTTTCAGGCAAGAAGGGTAACGAGGCACTGCACACAGCCTTTGCACTGGGGGGATACTCTGTATGCAATCGAAGATTCATCTCATAGGCGGCGGACGCCTGTAAGGGGCTACTGGTGTAGCGATCTGCTGCAGTAACGATGCGACTTGCTGGATCCGGTTCTTCCAGAGCTGTCACGATCCGTTCTGTTATTCGCTTTATCTAGAACATGTTAGAAAATAGGAGAAAGGAATTCTTCAGATGGCCCATGAGTGTTCACCTGTTGGACTCTTGGGTCGTCTTCTCCCAACAGTAGAGGACCATCCGCCCTAAGAAACTCTTCAAAGCTGATGAAGAGAAATAAGCGGTCGATTGGCGCTTGTGCCTAGTGGTACAGACCGATGACGAGCCCACTCTATCTCCTCGCGATGTGTCATCAAAAGCAATCTCCATCGTTGTGTATGCGGGGACTGGTCAAGGGCAAGGGCGACAACGATGCATATAGCAAAAATCTAGAACAAATACTCCTTTAGCGTCCATCCCGGATTCGTCATAAACCCTTATTTTACTGGTATTTGCAGCAATGTAAGGCTCGTTCGAGGGTCTGGGGATATTACATCAGACGAAGGTGGCAAGCGGAGGCTTGAGGACAAACATTTCTTATGCAGCCTAAAATAGAAAGCTTGGCTGAGTGTAGGATGTATATTTTCAGCCAAAAGTCATGCTGACCTGTAGCGATACACAAAGGGGAGGACGATTAGGCATATTCGTGTCAAGTTCAACAGTTGTGCCTTGAGTGCAGGGAAAGCGACGAAGAAGACGTCCCTCTGGGAAGGAGATGAAAAGAAAGGGCGCCTAAAGTGGGCCGCGGATGCTGGACGATTCAAAACCGACATTCGGTTGCTGGATGGCGTTAAGTTCCAAGGATGGAAACGCCGCGATACCAAGCTCAGTGGAGCAGAAGGCGTGGTTTTGCACAGCTTGCTACAAGAGCGATTGGTCCCACGCATTAATGCCTTCCGCGCTATCATGGCGAGGATTGAGATGTCCTGAGATTGCTTGAGGGCTCAGCTGCCTTGGACCGTCATGGGTAGACATGTGATGTGAACTCAAAACTTGTTGGCCGGATTGACGGTCATTGTCTCAGCGAGCGGCCGGCTGCGTTCCATTGCACCACTTGGGATGGAACTAAGTCGCGTTCATTTGTGTGCCTCATTAACATCGCTGCAACGTTGGCGTCCCAAGAAGAAAGTCTCTTTCTCTCACACGGTGCAACATTCACGTGGTTTCACAGTTCTGGCGCTAGAGAGCTCTGCAGATGACACATGTGCTGCTGTTGTGACCTCCGATCGTCGGATACTTTCGAATGTGGTTATGCGCCAGCATTCGGTGTAGGCGTCATGTGGGATTAGATGAAAGTGTCTTTGCACTGATACGATCCACTTAGCCATGAGCAGTGGGGGGGCATTCATCCCGCCAAGGCAATTCTTCACCATCAAGACAATATGGCCAGTATGCTCAACATTCCCCCGTATGTATTGGAGTTAATTTGGGAGGCTTGATAGCCTCTCGCCGTGAAGGACGCCCTCAAAGAAGCGAAGGTCACCATGACTTCAATAGATGGGGTTGCATTTACCCGCGGGCCCGGGATGCCTGGATGCTTGGGCGTTGGAATGAACGCCGCAAAGACATTGGCATCGTCGCTGAATAAGCCGCTTGTCGGTGTGCATCATATGGTGAGATATATTCAATCCCACGTTAAAGCTGTGCGATGCTATCCACAAACCAAAGCAAGCTCACGCCTTGACACCAATGCTCACGTCAAGCCAAGCCCCAGAATTTCCATTCTTGGCTCTAATGATCAGTGGCGGACATACCATGATATTGCTCGCGTCTTCGGAGACTTCATTTGAGCTACTGGCAAATACGGCTGATGTGAGCATTGGGTATGGCATTTCGGTCCGGTAATACTCGGGGATCTTCTCATTTGACCATCCAAGAAACGCTTTCGACAAGGTCTCGCGCGAGCTCGGCCTCCCGTGGACCGATGCAGCACATCGCAATGTTGTTGGTGCTGGTCCAATGCTGGAAAAAGTGGCCGAAGAGCACGCATCCATTTCGTCTTGCGATACTCCCGCATTTCCTGTCCCAATGCGTGGACGACTCGCGTTCTCATATGGGGGCTTGATGTCTTCCGTCCAAAGACACGTTGCCAACCTGAAGGGTAATGGACCATTAAGACGTGATACACAATCATCAATTGCGTACTCGTTTCAGGTAGCGGCAATAGACCAGTTGAGGGAGAAGCTCTCACTTGCCCTTGATCTTTGTCGTCGACGAAGTACTACAATAACGACCGTTGTGATCAGTGGTGGTGTCGCCAGTAACAAATATCTTCGATCGCGGTCAGTTCCTACTTATATTGTTTGGGCGGAGCTAATGTGTGTCCAGACTTGAAAACTTTTTGGGACACCGGCAGCTTGCTGTGCATTATCCGCCGCCTTCCTTATGCACAGGTCAGTACGATCGGCCATTGGGCACCCTCAGATCTTCACGTTCTTACTTAAATTCAGATAATGCAGCAATGATAGGGTGGGCCAGCATGCAGAGGTTTCTTCTTGGGGACTGTGATCCCTACACCATTCGGTTAAAACCAGCTTGGCCCATCACGGAGCTCCAGGGATCGCATTGAATAGATAGTTCGGTGGATCACTCAGACGCACGGAAGCAAGTCATATTGTAAATATTTTTCACTTCTAGAGATGGTTTGAAGGATTGAAGGAGATGCACAATCATTGGACTGGCATTTCAAACGCATGCCGCTTCATTGGCAGCCTGATGCACATTCCTCCGCCAGCTTCAACACGTCTTCCGCGATCCCCCAACTCGCCTTGATTTTCGAGACTCAGGACTCTACCCTGTCTGAGCAGTAAGACAACTCACCTGGAACCCTGCGGGCCCGATTCCATAGGCATGAATAATATTCACTTCTCTTGAGGCAGCAAACTCGTTGAGGTTGTTTCCTCGAGGTTTGAATGGTTGCGGCTGGAGAGGAACCTGGATTGTCTCCAACTCTAGTCGGGCTCCGCCCTTACGTGCGGGTCGGAGCCCAACGTTCACCTTGACAATCGGGATCGATGCAGGATCCGGGGGAGATATTGAGTTTGAGCTATGAGTATGTGCAAGAAACGGGTCTAGAGCGAGACAATCTTTAACGATACGCTCTGTATCAGATTGGGAGGAAGACACGTTCCAATCGTCTTTTCCGTATGTACCACCTGCCCACATGTTCAGCTGACTGAGCCACGTTCGGCTCCTAAGCCTGGCTCCAATAGCTGACCTAGAATGACTTGCCCACCTGGACGAGGTATTATATATGACACGTTCCCCTCCCAGTTGGTGCTCCTGGTGTGAAACTGTTGGTTGTGATTCAAATGTGCGAGGTGATTCTTCACTCACAGTGTTTTCTTATAGTGAGGTGCCCATATAAGGACCGTTTGGCCTCTAATTGGGAACGCGGCTTCATCCTCAACACCACGTAAAGTCCTTGCCCCTAGACCGGTGGCATTCACTACTATACTTGCCAGCCCTTTATCAGTGTATGGGTGAAGGAATGGCTCCTCAATGGACTGAATCGTGGCGCGGGTCAAATTCACTCCCAATGACTCGAGTCGGGATTGCAGCCATTTGATATATTTGGGTGCATCAATAGACCAGGTCGTGTACGCGATGCCATGAGTAACTCCAGGTGGGAGCTCATTTGGAAACATCTCCCTATACTATTGGCCTCTGAGCATCAGGAAGTTTGGGTACTGTCGAAAACAGACGAACACACGTTTGGAGTAAGGTCCTTGGACCAAAGGGGAGGTGGTGGAGTTTCAGACCGGAAGTACTCCTCCGCATCTAGTTTCTGCGGTTATGATTCAACGGGGATACGTGGCTTTTCATTTGTCATAGAAGACAGTCGTACCATGGCTACTCCACTCGGTATGAGTGACCATATTTTCTTGTACGCATGTGTTTCCCAGCGACACTGCCTTTCGTCCTCTCCTGTTGGGAAAGAATGCCAGTTGGCCCCAGCCCAAGGACTGGCAAACTGCTGAGAGTCCTCATCTGATGGAAGGTCTCGCGCGATGATGTCCACGTTGAAGCCATTTTCTGCCAATCGCAGAGCACAGGTCAACCCTATAACTGTGATGTATGTTCATGACCAATGTGATGATTCATGTTAATTCCCTACGAGGTGCCTACCTCCGGCTCCGACCACTGTAACACGACCTCTCGGAGGACTCATTCTCAATTACAGTTGAAGAAGACGCCCTGAGATTGCGGTTGTTGGCTGGAGATGACAAGGTGGGAACATCAGGAATCCTCCGAGGTCGATCCTCGTGATTGAGATCACCCGATTTGCTTAATCAACAGGATCAGTGCATCGGCTCGGTTTCAACCAAGTGTATGTATTTTTCATAATTCTTGTAATATTGCCAATATTATGTGCAAAGGTATAGATACACTAGAGTGCGTGTCTTCGCACGCAGTCAATTGTATTGTTCAATGTAATGGGTGCTGAAGTTCCCCATAGATGTCCCAACGATGAAGGTTCAGTGCAAGAAATGCAAGTGGATCGGCAGCAAGTCACTTTAGATGGAGCATATGCCTTTACGGACTATTAAGGACAATTGAATACCTATGGGCAGATATTGGAACGCCGCTGAAAGGTCCACTCACACCGTTCAACACATACATGACATTGTGGAGGTTGCAATTGTTATGGGACTTCAATAATGCTTGCACTCTATTCACAACCACTCCATGTGGCATGTTGGAAAGAGAAGATGAGAGGATGATGAGAATGCACAAAAACACAAAAAGACAATGCTCACTCCACTCCTGTAGCACATACATAGTTCTCCAACAGAAAAGGGAATGGATGGAAAGGATTGTTGGAGGAACAACCTCAAAGCATGTATTTACTATTGTTTTGTGATAATCCTTCCTAATCCTTCCTAATCAAGAGTCCACCATATTCTCGTCCAGCTGCCCTCAATTTGGTTTCCTCTACAGGTTATGAGCCCAGGCAGCTTGCCTGGACAAGCTTAGGTATCAAGGGAGTCTGCCTGACTCTCATGGCAGTTGGTCAAAGTGCAGTTGACCACCTTCATAAGTCCTCAGCAGAGGCAGGGGCAATCCCCCATATCTTAAGTCCCATGCAGCATTTGTTAAGTCCTGTACACCAGGCATCCTTTTAAGTCCTACATGGCATTGTTTTGGGGCACTAAAGTCCAGCCCAGCGCCCACTGTTAAGGCTGGTGTGTGGCATCCTTCAAGTTTGTCTTTGAGCACAGAAGTCCAGCCTGTCATATCCATCCATGGCCATCACCTCCCACTACCTCCGGTCCTTCCGGATCACCTCCGCTCCTTCATCACTAACCTCAGAGCCTCCGGATTCTGCAACTACCTCTGACTCCCCTGATGGTCACCACCCCCTCAATTCAATATATTACCTATGCCTCCCTAAGTACAGAACCCCAAAGGCCTCTGGACAGCTCTGATGTCTGCTAGCACACTCCCGCCTCCACTGGGCAACTTAGTTGCTTTCCCTGCAAGCCTACCTTCAGGCCAATCCCTCCTTTCCATTTCTGGGTTATAGCCCACCACTCCGCTAACCCTGTAACCCGACTTGTCAGTAATATTCAGTCAGCTAACATGTAACTCTGTTAGCTCTGTGTCAGAGACCAGATCGAGACGAAGGATTTGTCTCCATGGTGGAGGGCTTTGGCCTCAGCAACTCAAGCCAGGAGCGCTGTGCCAAGTTACACGTCCATGCCCTAATTTACTTACTGGCAACAAGAACTAAAGGGGGATCAACTCTAGTCAATTTTATTACTGAGGTGTAACCTATGTACAAGTTAAGTATATATAGTTACAGCGAGGGTGGGCCTGTGAATGGTGGGGCCGAGCGGAGTGGAGTGTCAGGGGACGGACCCCAGGTCCCCATGACCCCTCTCTCTATAGCCCACAGCCTAATCTGTAACAGCCTAGTCTCAAGGCACAACTACTGTGGGTAAGAAAGTGTATAAGATAAAGAAGCAGTGTAGAATACACTTGCCTACTGTGGGTAAGAAAGTGAGAAGAAGGTTAACTTCTCACTTTCCCACAGTGGCCCAATATGGCGAAAACTTCCGGGGATACCTGGAAGTCACATGAAGAGTGGGAACCGGGCCCGGAGCATGCGGCGTGCGGAGCATGCAGGGTGGAGCACACATGCAGGTGCAGGTCCGGGTCCGGATGCGGGTGTGGGTCCGGGCTAGTCAGGGTGTGTGCCCTGACATGGAGCTAACGGAGTTAAACATTAGCTGATTGGATATTACTGACAAGTCAGGTTACAGGGTTAGCAGAATAGCAGGCGATAACCCAGAAACGGAAAGGAGGGATAGTGTCAGGGACGCATCCGGGGTCGAGAGGGCCTGGGGGTAATGCCTGGCACTGAGGCTGTCACGGGGTGTGGAGTGGGCGTGCGTACTGGTGGGCCCGATCCGGGACAATGGTTCCTGGCCACTCAGACTGAAGTGGAGAATGTGTTATTATTATTAAAGGGGAAAACTATACTACTTACCTGAAGTGGAGAATGTGAGAAGAAGGTTACTTCTTCGGTTCCCACTTCAGGTACATTTATGTACATGCGGCTTGAGTCACATGATGAGTGCCACATCATCCTTGGAGACAGCCGCAGGCATCCGGGTGTCCCCGTGGGGGATCCTGAGAGCGTCCGCTGCATGCGTGCGTGCTGGGCACAGCGGGAAGCCATCTGGGGTGTGTGGGCCGGACGGGTCAATAGTACATTGATACAAAGGAAGATGGTCTGTGTAGATAGAAGGAAATAAACAGGAAGAGGGAGATGAGAAGAATGAAATAAAGAAAGGAGAAGGAAGAGGGAAAAGGAAGGGGGGGAGAGGGAGGAAGGAGGAGGGAGAGGGATGGACAGCAGGGAGTGGGTGTGGTGTGGCCGGGTGGGTCCGGGTGGACCTGGGTCAGGCGGGTGTGCCCTGACATCACCCCCTCCTTAAGCTGCTTCGCCTCGAAGCTGCCAGGGGGTTCGTTCTCTCCCTTCCTGGGGCGTGGGGGTGTGTTTGGTGGAACTCCTCGATCCGGTCAGGGGCATGGATTAGTTGGTCTCGGGGGAGCCATTCATTCTCTGAGTTCGGCCAACCCGCGAACTTTACTAAATACCAGAGCTTCCGGCATAACCACTTAGAGTCCAGTATTTTCTCTACTTCATATTCCTCCTCTCCATCTATGAGTTCTGGGCCCGGGCGGGGGTCAGGGGGTTGTTCTGGGATCTCATCCGGGCAGTAGGGTCTTACGTTCATCACGGATACGACTGGGTGAATTCCCTTTTGCCATGCGGTGAGCTGGAGCTTGACAGCAGCCGGGGAGATGACCTTGACGACTTTGAAGGGGCCTAGCCACTTATGGTCTAGCTTCTTGGTTGGGCGGTCAGTCGTATAGTTTTGGGCGCTGAGCCAGACTCGGTCGTAGTAGCGGGCCATCTTGTCCGCTGTGTGCTCCAGGGCTGCCTTCGCCTCTTCCTGCATCTTCATCATCCTGGACGAGAAGGCGTCGGCGGCTTCTACCTCGGACGTACGTGTGGGCTCCGTCCCCATCCTGGGATGCTGCCCGGTGTCAAGTTCGAAGGGGGTTTGACGGGTGGACGAGTGGACGTGGTTGTTGTAGGCAAATTCTGCCAGTGGGAGCCAGTCCACCCAGTCGTCCTGGCGGTGGTTGACGAACACCCGAAGATAGGCTTCGATTTCCTGGTTAACCCGCTCTGTCTGTCTGTCAGTCTGGGGGTGATAGGGCATTGAGGGGGTTAGCTTGACCCCCAGGAGATCTGCAAGTTCTTTCGAGAAGTGCGAGATGAAGGCACTCCCTCTGTCACTAATCTCTTCTGGGAGCCCGTGGTGCTTCCAGATGTGCTCTAGGAAGAGCCAGGCGATACCAGCCAAGTCCATGGATGTCACAGTGGGGATCGCATGGATGCGTTTGGACAGATGGTCCACTACAACTAGGATGGCATTATAACCTTTCGACTCTGGGAGCTCTCCCACCATGTCTACCAAGATTACCTGCCAACGGTGGGTGGGGACTTTATTTGGGGTGAGCTTCCTGACCTTCCGTGCAGGGAAGGATTTGACACGGTTACAGGTGTCGCATCCACATACGTATCGCCCGACATATTCTGCCATCCGAGGCCACCAGTAGTCACGGGAGACAAGCTCCAGGGTTTTCCATTGCCCTGGATGTCCCGTCGCCCACGCGTCATGGTGTAGCTGTACCAGATCGTGGCGGAGTTGTGGGTCTTTTGGAACGTACACCCTGCCTCAGTAGAGGACCAACTCTCCCTGTCTCTCCCACTCGTCCGACCTTAACGTTGTAGGAGAAATAATATTCAAAGAATAAAACAATGATCTATCAGAATAGTCAACGAACAGGTGACAAGTTCAGACGTTTAACAGATCTCATGATCTTTATGAGACTGGACAGACATTAGAAGATCATTATAAAATATCTACACCCATGTAGTATGAGATTTAATCTACTACAATCATGCCTAGAACTTGACATAGGTGTAATATTCAAAGAATATATCCCTACAACAGGAAAATAGCACATAGACGGCAGAATAAGAAGGAACATTGGGAAAGAAATGTAAATATCTCGGGAACCAGTAAACTTTTGACTGTAATCTTTTTACCATCTGGAAGGACTGTTTCTTAACTTTATCCACGGCTTTGTTTCATTCTAAAAGCTTCAAAACTGACGGAGATATCGCTCAAACGGCGAAACACCTTATAATTCATATATATTTATTTGCTAATTCTTACAAAAGGTAATGTGACTCAAGGGAAATATATTGGCGCCCGGAAGTCTGGCGGACCGAATACCATATGATAGAGTATTCCCCGGCACGGGCGGACAGTTTTTGATTGTGATGACTGCGCAGCGCGATACCTCAATTAGTTAGGTATGAGTAGTGATGGACGGACTTGCCTGCGCAGCGCGATACCTCAATTAGTGAGGTATCAGCTGCTAGCGCAAGTCCGGTCCTTATATACATCTTGTAATGACTTTACGCCACTGAGGTGAAACATAAATGGTAAACAACAAGTTGAAAACAAAAGCGCAAAGCGCAAAAACAAAGAGTCCAAGAGGTTGCCGCCGTTTGTGCCTCAAAGCGCCCCTCCCCTTCCCAAAGCGTGAATGTCCGGCCCGGGTGACTCCCTTGACCACCAGTGGCGTTGGGCTGCAACTTCTAACATTGATCGCATCAGAAG